TGCAAGGAACAGATCTCACTCAGAGTGGGCTCGTTACAATACACTTTACACGATACACAAACAGTTACTCTCACATCATCTTCTATATATATAAAAATGGATTGCTGTTCCTTAGTCTCGCTAAAACTCGAGAACGGCTGAACCGATTTGGCTAATTTTAGTCTTGAAATACTCCTGGAAGTCCAGGAAAGGTTTAAAAGGTGAGAAAAATTGGAAAAATTGCCGGGAAAACCCTAAAAACAGCCCTTTTCTATTTCCCATACAAACAATTTTTTGACATTAGACTTGATAACTAACTAATATGTCAATCATTCTGTTCGATTGAAACAGTAGAAATTTAATAAATACCAATACCGGGTTATTGAAGACGGAATAGAGTTTACCCGGTCAGCTATACCTATATTACTAATGACGAAACTAACACGGACGAAGTCGCGGGCAAAAACTAGTATGAAATAAATTTAACGAACTCGTGATATCTAAGTCGTACTCAAAATATTTCAGGGTATACAAATTTTTTGTCACAAAACAATAATATTTATGTTCTGTTTATGTTGATTGGACGTAACGCGATATTTTAGTGAATAAAAAATATATTTTCGAATAAAATTACCCCAGAAATAAAGTATGTCCAGGCGTTCGGCGTTCAACAATAACATTCCAGTATTACCTGGCAGCGAGCGATTACTTTATTTGTTTAAAGTATCGTATTACTTATTGTTTTGTTCGGTTCTGTTTGCGAGTCTAAGACGTAACTCGATATCAATCCACCAATACTATAATTACCGCAAACAATGTTATTATCAGACCATCATCGGCGAGGCCGGGGAAGACGGTGGAGAGTTTTTATGAAGATTTTTTATAATATATTATGTCGGCTGAGTTATTTTACGGAAGATAACTCTGTTTATTATGAGGGTTAACTTAAATCTCACATTTAACGTGTGTACATCTCAATACAAATAATCTACAACCTCAAATAGTTGATCATATCACTACGCACCCGCCGCGCGTCGGTTGCAACATGATTTTCATTAATATAATGTACAACAATTTACCGCTGGACGCCTCCCGAGCCCGTGTCGGAGTAGATGTTGGCCAATAGATAATATTATTACAAATTATTTTGAAGAAAGTCAACGTATCGACGGACGAGCGGCGGATACTTTGATCTGGCGATTGTTCCTTTGATGTAGCCGACCGGTTCTCGTTAAGATCAACACAACGCGTTCCGATGAAATACTGAAACGGCTTTTACAGGGAAATCTAAAATGGGTCAAGATTCGATTATCACGTCGGCTCTGTACCCGCCTGCTGTACGTGTACTACTATGAGGAGACAACGAACTGTGGTGGCTACTTCACCTTACTTAAACAGGAATAATGAAAAGACAAAACATACCTATACAGCATTCCAAGGTTCTTATAACGTGTATAGAAGGTTTGTATTAAATTGGTCAATATCGAGGTCCTCAAACGATAGTTTTGTAACATTGTAACATTTTAATATAACATAACTACTATAAGTTACTGACGTCACAAGTCACCGCTCTTTTTTCTTTCAAAAAAATATCTAAAACCATCCATTAATTAATTATGTAGTGGCATAGTTAGTTTGGTATAATATTAATAATATATTGTTTTATATGTACCAACTTTAACCGATTTAAGAAAACTTCAGCTAAGTTAAAAGTGTATTCTATGAACACACAAGCTTAGAGGTTCGTTAAACAGACGTCACGTAAACACAAACATATAATAATATTAATACTGAAATTAAAGAAATCCTCAGAGATGAAAATAATAAACATATCAAACATAACAATGGATCATCAACAGTTCCTGGAAGAAGATGGATTGTTAGGAAACATAGAGGAGGAGGAGGGAGCTGGCCAGAAGAATGGACCGGGATTGATTAGAAAATATGGAATAGATGGTTAATAAGACGTACAGCAGGTGAAGGAACAGAGACAGGGGGGAGGAATAGAGTTTATAAACTGATGGTGATAACTAAGAAGTGTTGTTACTCATATATACATATAGGAACGTAAAGGAAGGCTCGAAATATGACTTGACAAACATAATTAAATACAATGAATCTCTTCCAAAACATTATTACTATGACACGTTATTGTATACAAGTAATTTTAAACTATCAAAGAAACAGTAAATAACATACATGCGATGTCCTTTCGGATCGTTCCTTTATATTTTTTCTAATTCAAACTTCCATTATAATAATTACACCAGTTCTAAGATTCTAGCAAATTCCATTGACAGAAAGAAAAACATCCGCTGTAAAGGGTAAAGATATTAAGAAGTAATGTGTCCAAATAAAATACTTTCCAAATGAAATGTGTACAAACAGACGCACAATGGATTGTAATTGTATTAAATATAAATATTAAAGACGTTTTGTGGACGTCCGAATAATCTCTTTTTTGCGAGATTAGAGATGCGTCCCGGACTTTACATTTAATATTATTTGTCAACTCAACAATGACATATTCATTATATTATTATTGTGCGATAATAATAACATTGATTCAATACTGAAACCTTTTCACTATAAACACTGTCATTATATACGTTTATAAAACTATTTCCATTATTTTAATCGTTTTCTGTACTCAGTTTGATTTTAGTGATCACTTTTGGCATCGACTTAAATGATTATAACAATACACAATATAAATATTGTTTTTAGTGATAATTCGGGTATATTTGAAGGTTCAAGATTAAATATAAAAGCATAAATTTTTACTAATTACAATTAATTTATAGTTTATCACCATTATAGAATTCCAAGATTCCTTTACTAAAATAAGCAATCAGAATGGTCATGTAATAAAATGTATATGACATGCGTACGAGTGTGTGAAGAATATATACTTGTCGAAATATTCAGACAGTGTGAGAGGAAAACAGTGAGCGGAGAACAAAAACAAAGAGAGATCCATATTTAGGAGGTGATTGTCAATAGACGAGTGGCTCGTATTTAACGGAGATTAGACGTCTGTATCGGGAAACAGTGAGGGACACATAAAACACAGTAAAACGGGTTAATCCAGCCCGTAATCCCCTGACATATGTATTTGTCGTTGCGTCTCGACGTAGATTTACAATTATTTACAAGAAACTCTCGCCAAACACCGGCTGCGACCGTTCCCGCTAATCCTTGGATCAGCGCGGGGCTTGTTTATGGACGCCTAATAGTCTGCGGTCGGGACTCGGGAGAGCGACTTACAGTTTACAGTTAGACGAGTCGAACCCAGCTCCAGCGGTGTGAGGCGCAAGATGTTTTGTGTCCGATGAGAGATGGCCGGGCTTACGAGTCTTAAATCGGTGTCGTGTTACTGTCAAATGTTTTCTTTGGCGCGGGATACATACACACCTTACGTTATAGTCGAACTATACTGCCAGCTTGCTGTATTTCATGAACATGTCTCGGAACAGACGCTTTGTCATTAGTTACAGCGACCACTAAGAGTACTTTATACATAGAATGTATTATAAATATTAATTACATGAAAAATAAGATACTGCTTCCTGTATTTATGTTTATTTCCAAACTTAATTTTAGGTCTATGAGTAAATCTAACGTATATTGATTAGTTATTAGAGGTTCTAATTTGTTTTCATAATAACCAGGTCTTCTGTTATCACTAAGTATTGAAGCTGGGACGTTCACGGAGAAAGAAACTTAATTATTTTTTCTCCATTCTGGTTTCGTTCAACAATCTAAGATTAAACTATTCTAAACTTTTCTTACGTCGCTCACCGAGGGCTACGTAATAATTACAAACAAATAAATATTTAGTTCCGAGACTAATTATAAAACATATTATTTATAACATATATATTTTTGTCGTATCTGTAATACAATTTTGTTACAACATATTTTATAAAACTGCGTTGTTTTTTTTTGAGTCAATCTAAAATCAAGAGTAGGTATCATTAACATAAAATATCAATCGTCATATTAGGACAATAAATTTATCTTAATATGTTGTTCAATTTGTTTATTCTTTATATAATATTATATTATATGTTTTAATACACATATCTATTGATATATAACGAGGGCGTCTTAGCAAAACTCACGGATACAACTTGAATACATAAAAACACACACAAATCTTGTGTTGTTTAAAGAAATTGAATGATATAATAACATAAATATTAAATATGTACATGATATAAATTAAATAATTATTTTAAAGTAATTAATTGTCAATTATGATAGCGAATTAAAAAGTAATCATTCAATGCAGGGGTTCTGCAATCTATTAAAAAGTTTGTCATTTTCATACTACAGACAAAAAGTAGACGCTATTCTTATTGCATTATTTTAATCTGTTTATTAATTTAATTAATTAAAGTGTCAATATTATAAAATTTAGTCAAAATCCAAGCTGTATCTTAAACTATCAGTAATAGTCCAGCAGTAGTCAGTCAGTGAGTAGTATTAACATAACTGAAGGAAGTTATTTTGGCCGTATCGGTTTATTGAGTCGTCTTAACGACGTCGGGAGCTTGTGGCAGCGATTATTACACGATGTTGTGATATCAGAATGTAATCAAGAAAAAACATTCCGCCACTAACATCGAACATTTAAATAAAATAACGATTGAATCGTCTCTTTATGAGCCTCGCCCAAATTAAAGTAATATTTTGTGTGGTAATAGGAACACTGATTAAAATATTCGCAGCGGGCCGGTAACATATTTTTTTCGTCGTTTTATTTGGTTATTACATTTTTTTCCAAACCAGTTCATCGCAACCCTAATTTGTCACAATGTAGACAAGCTGCGATCATTATTTATCATTATAAGCACGTCTCAGGTTCAATGTAATTAAATTACAAGCGGATGATTTATCGGAAACGTATTTATTGCGTCCATCGTAACTTAATGTAGCCTCTTAACATAAATTAATATCATTAAATATAATCTTACTTCAATAAATAAATAGCGGTAGCACTTTTTACAGACAATACATTATAATACACGGCCGGCTCTGGTCCTATCACAGTCTCACACTCAACCACTCGACTCACTGGACCCGCTGCTCCTCCTCGCTCCTCGTGGCTCCTGGCCCGGTCATGTCAGGACATCGACGGTCTGCGGCGACTCCATCAACTGTGCTTCATGAGATGTGAGTCGGGCTCCGCGGGCGGGCTGCCGGGAGGCGACAGGCCGTGGATCCTGCGGTACAGCTGGTGGTAGGGGCTGGGAGGAGGCGGCGGGAGCCTTAACAGCGGGCTCGGCAGCGCGTACCTCCCGTACACTGATAGTAAGGGGGGGTACAGACCGACCAGAGACGCGTACGGGTTCCCGAACATGGGGTGCAGCACGGCTCCTCTCTTGAAGGCTGCGAGCCGTGACCTGGACGCCGCCGTGGACCTCCTCCTCAACTTGCCGGTGGTGCCTCCTATGAAGACGTCGTCAGACGAAGGGTCCAGCATCCAGTAGTTACCCTTGCCGGGGTCGTCGTAGTGGCGCGGGACTTTTACGAAACACTTATTCAGACTCAAATTATGTCGAATAGAGTTCTGCCAGCCCTGCTTGTTCTCCTTGTAGTAGGGGAAGTTCTTCATGATGTACTCGTAGATGCCGTTCAGCGTGAGCCGCCTCTCGGGGCTGCTGCGGATGGCCATCATGATGAGCGCGTTGTAGCTGTAGGCGGGCTTCTCGTTCTTCTTGTGGTCGGTGGAGCAGCCCGGCGGAGGAGTCTCGGTGCCGGTGACGTCCAGCTCGGTGTCGGAGGGCGAGGGGGAGCGCGAGGAAGCCTCCGGCAGCAGGTCTCGGATGGCGAAGCTCGGAGGACTCATAGCTGTGCGGCATCGCGCGCCGCTCGCTCCGGACTAAGCGGCGCGACTGAGAGCCGACTCCGCCTCGCGCCGCCCAGACAGACCCCTCCTATAACACGGCCGCTGATACATGCACGAGCACTACGGTAACTGTGCGGCCGCCACCACCCGTAATACCAGGAAATAGAGTGGAGAATCCACCAACTCCATCTTAAAGATGATTGTTAAGTTTTTTAATAGTGTAGGGCTGCTCAGTGTACAGGGTTAGGGTTCCAGCAGGCGGTGATCACATCACCTCTGGTGAACACAGCGTCTGAATGTTCCGCGCGTTGTTTATAAGTTTATTCAGTGTGACTCCTTAATGGCCGGTGATGGTGTCACGGGTCTCGACACACATTACACATGTTATATAACAATAACTTGCGGCTTGTGTTGTTTCCTCGCCCCAATACATTAATAAATTATTTTAAATGACAATGTGTTTTTTATTTCATTGCAACGATTCATTTATTTCATAAAGACTGTTGAATATATTATACCTAATGGGAACTAATATATTACACATTCCATTTGATTTAGTTTTTTATTTCTTAACGCTAAATGAAGGACGAGCAACAAGAAAACTTTCTGATTGGGAACCCAGAACTGTCAAAATCAAAATTCACACATTATAAGTAACCAAAAATCTTATATTTGTTGCGAGTATAGCGCGTAAAAAAGTGATAGGAAGAATGGATTATGGATGGAAGAGATACGAACTTAGTTACAACTTCCGACTCTCATAAATAAAAAACTTGTATAGATTCTTAATATCGAAGTTCTTAATACTTAAAATACTTCTCTTGTCAAGCCAGCACATGCAGGAGATGCTGCTTTGTATATAACTACAGACGTCTGGACTCACACATAAATTCACAAACGTTTTGTTTATCGACTCAATACGAATTTTTGTTTTAAATTATTTACTAACGAGGTTTAATGATGAGATACAACACACAACGAAACATTTACATATATATTTATTTTTATTTTTATTTTTATTTATTGTAACTTATATTAAGAGAAACAAACGTTCTGAAAACTACATAAAAACATCATGAGATCATTCAAGAATCATTATTTCTTCGTAAAATTATTCGTTAAATATCTATCTAATTATGATTAAACTCTAAAGACATAAAAGAAAGTGTTTTGTAGTAGTCTACTACAGAGCCACTCCAAGCCGTACCTCTCTACCTGACTATTGTTATCCAACATACAGATATACATCTTCATATATACATAGTATTCTAAATATACACGTTCCGCCCACTCCGCCACGCCCCGCTACGTGTCTCTACATAGAGCTGTTGTTTTATACTGTTTGCAGACAAACAGACTCTAGGTTCGTATAGACTCTACTGTAGGTATACCTACCACTGAAACAGAATGTTGTTAACTTATTTATAGATAGCTCTACATTAGTAGATTGAGTAGAGTCGGTTAGATAGAGTTCGTGTTCATTAATAACATACATGTATTATGACAATTTAATTTAGTTTTAATGATTATTATTATATACATATATTACTGAAAATATATAAATGCTATCACTTATTTCAAATACCTAACATCATCGCTAGATTTGATCATATAATATACAAATATTTTTTTTAATAATAAATCGTATCAGTTCACGATACTTGTTTGCAAAACAATACGAACATTATATTCCGATGGTAACAGATTCGAGTCCTGTTTGTGTCTGTAATAATTTATTCCACCTAATCTATTTGGATTTTATTTGTAACATAAAAACTATTAGTATATCGGGAACAAAGGCATCAAGTATGGAGCCACAATCTTAAATGTTTACTAACCATGTAATGTATATATATATATATATTTCCTCCTCCCTCCTCCTCCTCCTCCCTCCTCCCCCGGTCCATGTTTCCCGCACTCCTCCCTCCAGCTCGTCAGCTGTGACCGCGAGCGTGTTTCCTCATGATTTAGCCAATCACTACAGACACCATCAGACGCGCTGCGTCAGGAACACTGATCATATTATAATGTGATGAAACCTAATACATTCAATGTGGCTACATCACACTCATCATACATACCAATAAAATAGTATATAACATTATTTTTTGTGATCATTATTATTCGTTTAATTCCTCCTTCAATATACGATATATAAAAAACAGAGCGTAACCATTGTCGTGGTCGCCCTCGTGATGACTAAGTTCGAAATGGAATAAAGGCTTCTTCGGTGATGATAGACTGGAGATACCACAGCCTTCATCCAACACACACTACCTCATACTATCCTCATTATTATAAAACACTATTTAATTCAGTTACTTAGATATACTACGTTCTATTACGTTCTAATACAGGTATTCCTATACCCATCACGGGCTCCAGTCTCTCACTAATGTATATTTATATAAGATGATGTGTATCAATTATTTTGTGAAGAGAGAATAAATGAAAATATATACGTTTCCATAATAATATATAAGTATATTACTCTATTATGTGGTTGTATGTCATATATTACTAGTTTATAAAAGTCTTCATGTTTCTTTATTCTTGTACTGGGAGCTGCTGGGTGCTGGCTGCTCCAAGCTCTGTTTCAGTAAACACAAAGTAAATAAATAAATATCCTCGCGCGTGTTTTTCATCTTATTGGAGCAATTTCATCGTGAATTCGACCAGAATAAACATTTTGTAGATTTCGGGTGACGTTGGAACGTTTGTGAGATGTGATCCTTTACTTTACTTTGTTATATTATATAAATGAGGCAGGAACTCAACTCAAAACATTTAAGTAATCAATAGATTTGTTCCGAGTAAGTGACAATTGTAATGTATAATAAATATTATTGTAATTCGTATTGTTTATAATATAAACACAAGTCTCGTATTAACTCAAGTGTGAACGAGGTCACGTTCTGTTTGGTTGAGGGTCCTAGTGTGTATAGTTCGGGGTGTATGTTTATCTGCTACTGTGATTGTATCTCCGCTCATCCGCGGTGCCTCATTGTAATCTCTCTAGTACGAGCCAGGTCGACGTCTGATTGTTTAGTTAGCTCCCGTCCGCCGCGTGGAGTGTTTCTTTAATAAACATTTGATTCGTTTGTTTCGTTCAATACATTTATTAATGTATACAATTGTTTTTTGTGCCTACCCTCTAACAAACAGTATCCCACTGTTCTAGATGTCGCTGCGGTGCGGTGTTGTGAGCGGCGCGCGCTCCGGGATGTACGTTCATATTGTTACATTTAAATGTAATATAAATAATAACTTTTATATGTTTATTTATTATAAATTAATGTATGTGTAATCGATTCTGTGCTGATGTATAATCTATGGTATTTCCTATACAATAGAGAATTTTTATTTTATTGATGTTCAATATATTCGTAACTAGCTTTCCGCCCGCAGCTTCGCCGCGTGGAGTTCGGTTATATCGCGTTTCCAAGAGAACCTTTCAAAAGTCTGGGATAAAAACTATCCTATGTTCTTTCTCAAGGTCAACTCTATCTCTGTACCGAATTTCATTAAAATCAGTTCAGTGGTTTAGGCGTGAAAGCGTAGCAGACAGACAGACAGACAGACAGACAGACAGAGTTACTTTCGCATTTATAATATTAGTAGGGATAAATATCCCTGCTATCTTTAATCTGGGTCGGGGGAGTTCCTCCGAGCCGTCTCCTCTCAAGAAGTCTCTCTGCTCGAGCTAATGTTGTTGAAACATTGATTAATATTGTCGCCATGTTGGATTGGCTCTCGAGGAAGCGGGCCGGAAGCTGCGCCCTCGCGATCACTTTCCGGATACTTTTTTGTCTCCATTGTTACTTCGAGTGATGCGACGAGAGCTCTCCTTCAAACCTCGCTTTATAAATTTATTGCGTCATAAATTCATAAATATTTTTTATATATTTTTTTCTAAATAGAGAACAGTTTACTTGATTCAGCTAGAGATTTATTTATGGCATAAGGACCGCGAGCTGCCCCGCGGAGTTTATTAATTTATAGGTGGTATTAAAACAAAAGAAAATATTTGAGAGCACACAAAAACTTGTGAACGCTCAATTGAGCAACGTTTTATTCATTGATCGGAAACAATGCGCCCTCGGTTTGTATTGAAATAAATTCATTCGCGGAGCTGCTGCGGCTCCCTTCCGCTAATTGAGAACCCTTGCCTCCAATAAATAGGCTCTTTACAGTTTTGTTGCACATTCAGAGTTAAATATAACGAAACAGTTATAACATGCCGACGGTTTGAGACCGGTCAAACAAAAAACGACCCTAACCAATCAATTTAAGACTCATAGTCGTCAAACATGGTAAATAACTGGAGTGGCTCTTGAATCAAAGTGGTAGTTGCTGTTAGTGCACCTGGACATCTCGGAAGCGAATATAAATTAAAAACATTTTGTATCGCGAGCTACAGACGTAACAATAGACTCGGAGTCAGTGAGCCTCCCCGCGGAGACCGGCGCGAACAATTAGATACTTATTAAAGTTGTTACATCTAATACATTACAACTGTCGCCAGGCCTTCCCTGAACAGCTGGAGGGAGAACCGAGAACAGCTTTCTACATTAAATATACACCTAGAAAAAATCCTTCATCTATAGCATATTAATATAGAGTAGCCTATGTAAAATGTAGCAAAAACTTTCCCGAGTTATCGAAAAGTATGAAAAAAATTCAATATTTCGAGTTTCATGAATAAAGAAACTTTAAAAACAATAAATAATAAGTAAATCCTGTAAAACAGTTCTTATTTAATTCTTCATAAGGTATATATTTGAACTCGTCAGTGCGGGCGACACATCGCGGGTTTCGTCTCACTTTTAATTGCATTCGTTTGTTTCAAACACGATTTTGCTTTTTGGCGAATCTCACGTACTGTTGAACGATAAATAATAATATGGCGCTTATATACTGTTTATTATAATTACTATACAACCGAATACATCTGGCGTCTCTCGACTTGTTAACTTTACATAAAACTTATGGTGCCATCCACAACTTTATATATATAATTCTTCTGTGAGTGTGTATGTCACTGAACTTCTCTCAAACGACTGGACCGATTTTGATGAAATTTTTTATGTGTGTTCAAGGGGATCTGGGAATGGTTTAGATTCACAATTTTGACCGCTGGACAAAGTTTTTTTAATTAATTTTTAATTTATTAGTAGTTGTTGATACAAACGTTTTTTTTTTTTGACATTAGATTTGACAACTAACTAATATGCCAATCATTCTGTATCACTTCAAAACACGGAGATTTATGGCTTTAATAGGTAAACCCCAAAAATATAAATAAAAAAGTAACAGCTATTTCTTGATTATAGCGCGATACGAAGTTTGCCAGGTCTTCTAGTATTGCTATAAAATATACATAATGTTTATCATTTGACGGCAGATTGTGGTAAGAAACAGTATACAGATGATTCATTGGGATAGTTAGAAAGAGACGTTCCAACACTTTTGATCGTTATCTAAACACAATAAAGACGTTTAAGAAGATATTCATCTCCCCACTTCGTTACTTAACCCACACTCATTAGTTGTAATTAGTTCATTACAATCCGCTCATCTCCGTCCTAATTTCCCTGTCCGTCAGTCCGTCATCAACGATGTCCCACATCACAAAACAATTAAATCCATTGAAAGCCACAAATCTCTGTAATAATGTGATTTCGAAGCAGTTATTTTTTGCACAGCATCTGTCGTGCCTCGTGTCCATTTTTTTCCTAACTCCTTTTGCAACAAGTCGATCCGATTTGTCACCGGGGGGTCCGGGTTGTGTAGTGACGATTACTTTTGAGTTTTGTTATTTGTAGTTTGTTGCACGTACGGCCTTTGATTGTCCGAACGCTACGGATTTGCGTTTTAAAAGATATTCCATTATGAGCATGGACCATTTGGAAATGTGAAGAGGATTAGAGAAAGTATTGAAATTTACAAATAAGCTACGTTGATAATAACAGACGTACAAAGACTCACATATAAAAATATTAATGCTCTATTCATATGTCTTTTGATGCACAATTCACTGTGTTGTACGTCGGGCAGTGTGTTGCTATATAGCATATCACAAAAGTTTAAATAAAATATTGTACATTTTATTAAAATAGGTACTTAAAAGCCCTGAAAGTAACCAATAATATATTTGAAGCAACAGTTCAGGATGGCCGTACTTCCTCGTCTTGTACGTATTATTGTAATGTGTCTCAGGAGACATGTTCATGTATAAATCATATGATCGGAGACGATTTAATTAAGTCCTCAGGTCGGTCTGTAGACGCACCGCGCGAGGGAGAACTGTTCTTTGTGCGACAACTAGTGTCGCTTTGTTGGCAAGCAGTGGGAGGTGAACTCTGTCTCAGAACGCACCTGTCCCACCGGACCACAGACGAATATGACTTCTATGACGTACAGATAAAGTTCAAAACATTCTGCGGAGTCGAGAGAAGCGTGGGTCTTTATAGAGTAACGAATGTCTCAATATGGCGCGACGACGTGTGAAGATCGTATTGTAGGTTGCTGACAATGCCAATAATTGATCGTGTCGACTCTGCTCACACAGATGGCTCACCCTTTATTTGTGGCTCGTTACTAAATTCATTTCATTTGTTTAGATATCTTTATGTAGGTTACGAGTAAATCTTTTGACACGTGAAGTGGCGTCCGTTCTACATTATTTTTTTATTTACGGTCACCGCAACACTCCTGAGTTCTGACATTTTAATTTTGTCTTCTCAGAAGGATGGTTACAATACGCGTCATCAAAAACAAATTAAAACTGTAAAGATGTTAACGGAATGTGAGAGGAGTTATTTGATTTCTTAAAATGTGGTTGTAAAAACATATAAGTCGAATGAAACAACAATCATTGAAGTAAATAAAAACAATTTTTTTGAATTAACCCTAAACAATACAATTTCCCTTTTTATTGACTTTTTTGTGTTAAACTCTTATAATTATTTCATAGTTTTCTTTGTATGCAAAAACTATATAATATTTGTATTTGTAACTAATGTTACCCCATTATAAAGAGCGATGCATCAATATTAAATTTGTGCAACATTTAAATGTAAATTCCCGATGAGTCAGTGAAGCCAGAAGACTGTTCCAACTCCTGAGGTAGCTTAGCATATTAATGAGTTGAATTAGCTTATAAATATATATAAAAATAGTATTGTCAGTATGTTTGGATGCAGAGACTGGAGAAGCGATTTCTTATGTAAGAATTGTACAAAAAGATTAATAATTACTCAAGAACGTAATATTGTCCTAACGTTTCATTAATACTTACTTCTACATATTGGGCATATTTTGGTAATATTTGTGACTAATGAATCTCCATTTAAAACTATAACAGAAAATGATTTAAAGAGCGTTAAGGTTGCATTATACGTATTAATAACAAGAGTAATATTCTTCCTGTTGTCAAGTGTAAAGCACGTTACATGAGGCACTTTATCAAACGTAAGCCCAAGTCCAGCTGCAGCATACGTTATAGAAGGCACGATTCATCAAATGTTCTGTCAGACGAGCTGTCAAGACGACGCTACCGTTAGCTATATTATGTTTAAACTATTGTGTATAAATTAACTTGCTTCCTAACAGACCTTCTGCGACATTTGTTTAATTTTTTTTTTCCAATTAATTCAGTTTTTATTTAAATAAACAACTAACTGTTTTATAAAATCGTTCGTCCGGTTAAGGATTTGTAAACATAAATCCCGTTTACAAATAGTCATCATTATCAAAACATTAGAGCGTTGTCCGCGGGGCGCCAATTATTGTCCTGGCAGCCCCATCCGCGCTGGGCCGACTCTGCAACACTGTTCATTAATGGCAACACGCGCGAAGCCACGCGGCTATATTTTGTTAAAATAATCACCTATCTCAGTGTCTCAAACACGCAATTATAATATATGATTTATTTACGCTATATATTACATTTGTATTTCACTGTGACAGTACTCAGTGAGCTAAGTAAATCTGAAGTAATCGGTGCCCAATAACACAGTCGTAGTGGTACCAGCCAGCCTGGTAATATTCTCACAGAAGTCCCGGACCCAGTGCACTCTAATCTTCATAACAAACGGTTTATTGTGCAATTAGTAGTGAGCCAGCGACGCGGAGGAGCACGCACAATGCCGTCGTGTTTAGTACAAATAGCGTTAATCTCAGCCCGCTGACGACGACGATTAAACATGAAATGTTCCCGCCTTTGTGGAACGTATCGCCACTCGATTTCACAGCTTGGACTTTTTCTTTTCTTGTATAATTGTGGGAAAAGAACACTCAAATTTTTCGCGATATCGATTGTGGGATATTTCGCTCTATTATTGTGATCCAACAGAGTGTAGCTATTAAATGTTTACCTCCGATTCAATGGCCGAGTACTAATTGGTGCACATTTCGAAAATGTATTGTTTTATAACAGATTGCTGGCCTAAGATTTTATTACTCAACGTCATAGCTATTATTAAATTACTTCGATACCTTTCCTGATCTCGTAATTTTTAAATGTTACATTAATATGAGTTTAGTTTGTTTCATAATACATTAGCCCGGAGCTACAATAATATTATTTTTGCGGGGCCTCAATAGAAACAAATTAAAAAAAGACGTTACAAACAAACAGACCGGCGGGCAGACCGAGGGCAGCCGACACAGGTTACCGTTCAGAAAAAGATTAAAACCATTGACAGGCAGTCGTTGGGCCCGCGGCTCGGCGACCAGCCTCTCGTTAACAATTAGTGGCGAAAAATAAAGAAAAGGGCGATTAAGGTCTCATGGGGAGGCCGGGGGCCGTTCGGGGCGGCCAGGGGAGGCTCGAGGCGAGCTTGTGGGAACCCAGGTATTGTTTCGGATGAACCTACACAAAACGTTCACTCGCGTGTTTGACTCCGCTAAATAGACAGCCGGTGTCGCTGACTCCGCTCGATGAGAAACTAATACCTATTGAGACGCATATGTCGACTGTTTATTGTTATGGCAGCCGCTTAACACAGGAGCTATTAACACAATATTATGCTCCGCGGCGCTGTATTATAAACGGTGATTTTATAATTTAACGTCAAATGGGTTTAATTAGTTTGAGATGTTTGTCATTCATTCCTCTATATTGCATTCATTATTAAACAATCTCAGTTCGTTGTATCGTAATAAAAATCACATTAAGATATTTTAAAATAATCAAAAATGTAGTATGTATACAATTTTGCTATCATAGTCTCCTTAGCTCAAATGCTAATCTACTGAATGACAACGGCCTCTGAACCAGCGGAGGCGCTTGTTGGCGATCGTCGTATTTTGAAGACGTGACTAATTAGCCACAGATTTTCCACTTGTTGCCAAATCGAGAGGTTATCTAGATGAGGCGAGACACAGTGAACCATTAGGCACGCTCCGTGTGCACTATCTGAGCCCGGCGAGCCTCGCACACTCTCGGCTCATCTCCTCGGCACGTGTTCGGAGTGACTGTACTCAGCACGTGTTTACGACCCATTGTCTCCTGTAGTTGTGACTCGTATTATACGGAGAGCTAGATGAGGATGCTTCACGATGTTAACATGTAGGAAGTCATCCAACTAAGATACGTTTTAGTTTCAAGTGATTATCAAGCTTATTTAACTTGAATTACAAACAGCTCAGATCCAAGTTGATAATGATTTATATAGGGACTTAGAGACTACAGTTTAACTCATAAATTAATTGAAATTATCAATCAAAAAGTTAATAGTGACAATTACTGTTGCATATAAATTTAATAACACACTTTGACTTTAACCAAAAGGTCGAGAAGCGATATATAAATTGAATCCCGCAAAAAGAAATGAGACTATAATTTTTTTGTAATAACAAAATTATTTATACAACTTTTTTTTTAATCGATTTCATTTAGGGAATTTTTAGCAGCAAAGCTAAATATCAGTCCCATCGTTCCCTTAATAATAATCCCACCACCAACAATAAACATAAGCCTTAAAGTATCTAAAATAATACTAAAATTTATAAATTATGTCTTATTTTAACTCATACAACTTTGTATCACACAGAAGACCAGTCTATTGTTTTTTACTGAAACCATAATTTAAGGTAGGTACTAGCTGTCGGTAAAATTAGGTCACAAAGAAGTCCTTTGATATTAGAATTCTAATAGTTAGAGCTAAATGTAGACTAGGGTTACTAATACTGTTTAAGTTACTTGAAATGCTAAACTTTAGTTTACATAATTATTAATTACAATAAATAATGGCAACATTCTATTTATTTATAGCAATTTAAATATCTGTCTTAAAACATTGATTCCACTTGAATTTGAGCTTATTTCGAATAATATGAAAAACTGATAGAAATTATGATTACATGATTCGTTATTGTTAAATATCTGAAAATTTACCAAAAGATATATAAATTGAATTGATTTCATATTTAATTTTTAAAAGACTTAGATCGCCATCTTTTGAAATATAAGAGATTATCGTTATGATCTTATGTATACTGCCATCTTGTGTTGAATAGCCAAAACTTTCATATGATATAATAAACTTAATATTAAACTACACAAGGAAATTTTTATAATTTAAATTGGCTAAATATAATAATGCTCATTTTAATTTAAATTTTAATATCATTTTAAGTTGAATATATATATTAATAATACAAAAATAACTATAAATATTAATAAAAAATGTTGTTCCACCTAATATACGTACTCTCGTGATATATTTGAACTAAATATTTACGTGACTACTAAATAACGATAGGATTACAAATGATGTCGATAATATTTCTCGCAAAATGTTTCTCCAGAGTCTGCAAACAAGCAACATGAGTTGCTCACTTTACGTGAAATAAGTAATTTGTTTCATGTTTTTCCTTTCATCCAGTACAAGATGAACTTTTGTTACATATAAAACATTCACAACCGTGAACCATTTTACATTGGAGATCAACGGTTTCAAGTTACGAATTACGATCAACAGAGGGCCAGCAAATATTTGATGTCGTATAATTGTCATTCGAAACTCCCATCTCAATTTGCAACTTTTTGATGACCCTTACGAAAAAACCTGCTCGTAAAACTAGGGTAAACTTACCTTAGAATAATTTCATAATATACAATAAACATTCCATTCTATATGGTCAACTTTATGGTAACATTAAAAAATCCGTTTCATAATTAAATAGTTTAAAGTTAGTGAAGTCAAAAATTAAGCTTAGTTAATTATAATTTAAGGATGTGTAAGAAACATATAGCCGGCAAATTCAAGAAGTTTTTGTTTTTAAAATATAACATTGTTATGAAATGACATAACAATTGTCAATGTCAAATTAGAAAAGGGCTTAGTAGATTAATACAAGAAAATAATAGATCATAATATAATAAACATGAACGTTCACAAGCTGTGGGAATATAAAGAATACGTGAATGTGAACGGTATGATGCTGAGCAGCGAACTTATATCTTTGTTGCAGAACTCGTTGACATTACTCCAAGTGGAGAATCATTTCCTCCACGTACAATACTGGGGCCAGTTGTATGCGATAGACGCTGACTACCACATCGCCGTGGGCATAAACAACGACGCCATCAACGACAGAAAGTATTTCTATACCACCGACTTTAAATTCTGGGGTCTCCTACCGAAGGCTAAGAAGAAATACAAACATCTATCTCTATTGGCAACCTATCCGTTCCGAGGTGATCCGTCATTGAAAATTAAGGTGTTGGATGAATCTCTAGAAGATACAAATCCCGATAGATGTCAGCAAATGAAAGAGGAAAGCCGACTCGCAGCTACGATAAGCAATATCTGTGAGGAAGCGGAAATCTGCGCGAGAGGGCAGCTTTTAAAACAACCTGACGGCACGACTGTCATCAACCCTAACTATTACGGTCTGACAGCTGCCGAAGCGAAACACCTTAAATCGTATCAACACATCCGTATTCCTCAACATCGTTGGAATTCCAATCTGCTCACGAGACCAGACTACAACTATAGCGTGGATTTTCTGGACTCTGTAGATCAGGACATTCCGAATGGCTGTTGGAATTTATCGCTAGAACAGAACGGTAGCGTCGCGTACCTCAAGAGCCTGTACTGGCCCGGCATGATGTACTTCCATAAGATAAGAACTCCCGAAGTTGGCTTCCTATACGTAGGGAATGGACGAAAAAATCTTGATGTGCCATTTTTGCTCTAACGGTTTCAAATAAAATAAAATAAGTTTTTTTATTTTATCGTTTATAATTTTGGCATAGAATTTTTCCTGATACATATTTAAACTTTTATTAATATTAAAGGTTTGCTATCAAACAATCCATTTTTATTTATGAAAATCTGTTATACAATATCCGAATCGTATGTTTTAATATTTATATATTAATACAAATCTCTACTGATCGGCTAACATGATATATGTGGAAATCTTTAGAATAGCTTTAGGCCCCACTAGACGCTGACCGGAGACGCCGCCAACGAACCCACTAAGAAAATAAACCCACTAATATATTCTTACTATATGTATAAAACAATATTATAAATTATTGTATTCTTCACTTCCGTCACATATATTTTCAAAATGTTAAATTTTCTTGTTTATATCTCATATACGTTTAATTTACTATTAAAATTACTATAGTGTGTAAATGATATTTGTCTATGGACGATTCAAACTTCCATACGTTTTCATTCATTCGTTTATAAATGCCGATTGTCGATACTTAAAAAAAATTGTATTCACTTGGCGCCTATTTGTATTGTAACCGGCTTTTTCAGCCTTTGTTAATTTAATTATTCCAGAGGAGTCTCAAGGATAGACTTTAATATAATCGTCCGAAATGGCTACAGACGTTACAAAATCCGTTGAAGACGCAGAAATGACGGAATGTGAGGAAGATAAAGTTGTAACAATGATGGACGTCTTGCAGGAACAAGAAAATTTTGAAGAAGATGCTAACGCTGTGTTGGGAGGTTCCGATGATAAAAACTGTACATATTCTAAGGTTTGTCTGGCTATATATTAACCAAACAACACTTATAACTCAACAAATTTACATAAAATTTTTTAATGAACACCTGTTGTCAACATATTTACAAAACGCAATTCGAACATTTTGTGACCTGTATACAGTACTTTGTGACGATATAAAGAGATATATTTTATAATATACAACAGTAAATACTATATACAGTAAAGTATTGTAATCGTTAGGTAATAAAAATCGTTAGCTCATGAAATTCTGATTGACAGTTGGTTTGTATTAATTACAGGGCTACATTAAGAGACAAGCACTGTACGCCTGCATGACCTGCTGCTCTGAAGCCAAGTCTGACCCAGCTAAACGAGCCGGTCTTTGTCTAGCCTGCAGCCTCACTTGTCATGAAAACCATGAACTCATAGAACTCTATACTAAACGCAACTTTAGATGTGACTGCGGCAACTCTAAATTCAACTCTAATCCTTGTCAGTTAGCACCCAAAAAAGATAAATGTAATGAGGAGAATAGTTATAACCAGAATTTTAGTGGATTATACTGTGTGTGCCGAAGACCTTACCCCGATCCTGACAGTGAAAATGAAGATGTAATGATTCAATGTACTGTGTGTGAGGATTGGTACCACGGAACACACTTAGAAACAACCGTTCCTAACAGTGAAAACTACTCAGAGATGATATGCAAGGGATGTATGGAAAAATATGACTTCTTACATTCCTACAGTTACTTGGTCGTAAATGTTGAAAGCTCGGATGTTGATGTTGTTAATGTTGCTGAGAATGAAAATAAAACTTGCAACGGTGACTCCCAAACAGATGTCACAGCTGTAAAAGATAGTGAAAAGACTGAGAAAAATGAAGATATTAGTATGACTCCTGAAAAAGAAATTTCTTCTAGTAATGAAAACAAAGAGGAAACCAAAAAAAAAGTAGAGGATGATGTAACAAATAATTCTAAGATGGAAACTAATTCTGATGTTGATGGTAATGTTGAGAATCCTTCAACTGTTGTAAGTTGTAACACTAATGATGATACTGATATTAAAAAGGAAGAAAGTATTGCAGACAATACAAATGAACAAAACACTAGTAGCGACCAAAACAAAGATATTATTAATAGTGAGATGCAACAAGACACGGAATCAAACACAGATAATACTGCAAAAGAAACTGAAGACAAAAATACTACAGAAATGGCTAATGATGAGAAAAATAAAGAAGATGAAAATGCAGAAGAAGAGAGGCGTCTGGCAGATCCTGAAAGTGAAAGCTGCACCTCAAAAACTAATCTAGATATCACAGAAACAGGAAGTCAGGAAGATATTAAGACTACACATGAGAACGGGGAAATACATAAAGAAAATGATGGTGACAATAGTATGAACACAGATGAGTTAAATAACTTAGAAAAAGAGGAATCTCAAGGGACAAAGGAAGAAACAGTAAACTCAACATCTAATGATGAAAAAGTTGTACAAGAAACATCACAAGGAGTGGAAACTAAAAGTGAAAGCACTAGTAGCGGCAATAATCCTGTCGATGTTAATGATCAAGATGTTGCAAAAGACGAAGTCGAAGGAAAGAGCATAGAAGAATGTAGCCTGAATAACAGCAGTGTAGTAGACAAGGAAGAAGACTCGAGCAATCACAAAGGATTGGAAAAAAGGAAACTGTCCACAGAAGAAAGCACAGATAGTGCAGCAAGTAAGAAAAGTAAATTAGAAGAGGTGTCTGACAAACCATGCACTTGTCCCAAAGATGTCAAAAAAGTATACCGAGGAGCGACATTCTGGCCCTCGACCTTCCGCCAGAGACTCTGCACGTGCAATGTATGTCTGAGCATGTATAAGGACCTTTCTGTTATGTTCCTCATTGATACCGAAGACACAGTCATCGCCTACGAGAGCTTGGGCAAGGAGAAGACCAATGGCAAGCCATCACAGTATGAGAAGGGGCTCGAAGCACTTTCATCGTTAGATAGAATCCAACAGATCAATGCCTTGACAGAGTACAATAAGATGAGAGACAAGCTGTTAGACTTCCTCAAAAGCTTCAAGGACAGGAAAGAAGTTGTTAAGGAGGAAGACATCAAAGCATTCTTTGCCGGAATGAAGCCTAAAAGAGAACCAGAGGGTGTGTACTTCTGTCGGTGATCACCAACTAATGTATTATTTTTGTATCTTTATCCTTCCAGGCTTAAGGATAAATTGTTTTAATTTTGTAGAACTTGACAGATTAAATAATTATTTTATATCTTATCTCTTAATTTTCCAAAAACATTTTTATTTTATTAGATGTCTATAAACATATTAATGTTTTAGATAAAATAAGATTTCTGTCAAACAAAACAGCTGTCTTACTCATTTTAATCATACTTTGTTGACAACTAATTTTATTTTACAACAGAAAAAGTAATCTTATATACAGAAAAACACACATTTTAGTAAATTTGGCGAATGAATAAGACTAAGATACCTCTTAGTTAAAATGTACATTAAAGTGACATTTTATAAGGGGTGTAATAAAACAATTGGTAAGAGACAATTAAGTTTAATAAGTAATAAGAGCATGATCACGCGTAGAGGATGTCGTAGTGTCCGGGCCGGTACAGCAAGTGGACCAGCGGAGACGAGCCCTCGGGGAAGTCATGAGCTATCACCTGGGGACATACATTATATAACTGGGACAGTTACAATTAATCATTGATCCTATTAGGTTTGTTATATCACAGATTAAAAATATATTTAATTTGTGGATGTTTCTACATAACTTAGTTTCTACATAACATTTTATATTATCTGTAGTTTCCATAGTATTGGTAAACAATGTATAGACATAATAGTCATAAAACCAACAAAGATTCTGTGGTTCAGTATACTGATGAGTAGGGCCCGGAAAAATATGTATTAAAAAATCTAAAATATGGACGAAAAAAAAACAAAAATATGGAAAAAATACTCCATATAAAATAAAATACTTTCATAATTAAACATTGTTTTACTATAAGAAAAGGGTCGCTCGTGACATACATTGTTAAGTTACATTTAAAAAACGATGAAAAAAATAGCGAAATATTAATTTTAACAAAAAATAACAGATTTATTCAATTTCCATTACACTAGCCTTATCAAATTTGTTACAATACACAAAGACGTGCTTCTTTAAATTATCAAAATGAAAACTGACCATTTCGTTGAAATATAGCCTTATATCTGCTGAATGATCTCTCCACGTCACATGACGTGATGGGTTTATACTTAAACATGCTTAATTCAGTATTTGAGTAAACCATGTCTACAGCCATCGAAACTTTCGCACAGAATTTTGTTAATTTTATTTTAGCGTATTAAATCCTTTATTTTTATCCAAAACATTAGTGGCGGGAACGTAAATTTTATGTATTTTTGTGAATATATGGATGATTATGAAATTTTCTTGTAAAATATGGACTTAACTTTGAAATATGGTAAAATATTGAAAATAAAAGTTGGTTTTTCACCGTCTAAATATGACAATCCACGTAAAAAACACATTCTAGACCGAAAATCGCGTAAATTAAAAATGTGTATTTACATATTAATCCGGGCCCTACTGATGAGTAATAATTTAAATATTTATACAGTTAGTACAAGTAGTATTTATAATATAATAATGTACTCAATGACTATTATGGTAACAGTATAAACACCAACCTGACTGCCTTCCCCCCGGTCCATATACTTGACTCGAACTCCAACATTTAATGCGTTACTCAAGGCAATGATGTGAATGTGATCAGACTCTTTGTACATCGGCTCCACTTCCTGGAAAAAACACAACTATACTGTAAATTTTCTCACATAATTTATTTTGTCTACTTTGATAGTCTTATTCAAAGAATTAAATAATTGTATAATAATTAATTTAGAACTTGTTAATAAATATTACATTGCTGTAGTTATGAAATACTAAAGTAATTATTTAAAAGTTTAAATTTCTGAAATTGAAACTTTAAAACTCAGTGAAACATCACATAGTCTGTGCAGGGCTTGTGGTAGAATCATGGATGGTCGGTGATCTAATATAGATTCTTATATATTTTTACGACAAACTATTTATAAAACTTATATAATAGTTTCAGCAATCAAGATTGTCGGATATGAACTGACTTCATAGATTTCATTTCAAATGTTTATTAAACTGATTAACTTCTTGATTAAATTAACTGCACTCTCAAGGGTAAACAAGCATAATTACGTACGTATCAATTTTATTTCTAGTTAACTATACCTGTCGACAAAACTCTGTAACTGTACGAGGACCTTCTATGAAATTCTGATAGAAATCATGCTGGGTTTGCAGCTGTCCTGAGGTAATGAGGCGCAAATAAACAACTATGTAGTCTGAGTAGCCCTGCTTGTTAAATTTGTCATGAAGTTCCTCTCTGATGGAACTGAGCTCGTCTGGGGCTCCACCGGCCTGCTCACCCACTCTTTGTACAACTTCCATAAACTAAAACATTATATATATTATATATACTACAAGAGACCTTTTATAAACACTGTTAAGTGATAACATATCATTTTAATTGAAGCAGAATATATTTTTTTATTACTTTGTAATCTCATCGAAATATAGATGCAAGTGTGTGACTATTTACATTATGTAATTGTTCAGTTCGTATTCAACCCTTCAATATGGGGATTAAAGGGACAAAAAATACCGAGTTTCAATAACCGAGCAAACAGTAATCTCCGTGGATTATGACAAACCTCGCCAAGTATACAGTGTATTATGACATTTTTTTTCATATCCTATGGGAGATACACCCTCGAATTACATCACTAAAATTTGATTGATTAAATAAATATTTCATTTAAATGAACTTAGGATTTAAGGAGATTTTATTTGCTCTAAATTATTTGTCTTAATTTTTTTCAATATTCTTTTTTATCAAAATATTAGATAAATGAGTGAGGAATGATATATATATATTTATTTTTCAATTGTAATATCGTTAGTCCTTTAGTTTTGGTTTGTTTATATGTATTTAATTTTTACGACAGATAATGAAGAAATTCGTAAATATATATAAACTTCTTAGTAAGAAGCTGTCACTGAAGCAGAAAACATGGATAACAGCAATTGAAGCCATTCAACCCTGACCTATGTGATTATTGAAGCCTTAAAAACCAACTGCATGGTATATAGTACTACTTCACCAATATTGGTATAACGATTGTGTATTTATTGGGTAAACTAAACGTTCTTTACTCCCGTTAATTTAATTAGATAATGGTGACGAAGAACTTGTAAAAAAAATAACCAAAACAAACATGTATAACCTTAAAAACGTCGACTCACCGTTTCATAAAAATCCTCTACAGTGAACTGGGGGAATCCTAAAGCGACCAGTATTTCTTTTGAATTCTTAGCTATTTCATAAAATTTATCGTATTCCTTTTTATCAGTGAGTAGGTGCTCTAAATACCCATAAGAAAAAGCCCGAAAAAAGCAATTGCCGTCCGGACGTGTTCTTCTAATAGATTTATATTTGGACGCGAGATCTTTAACTTTCAGCATATAGACGGGATCCTCGTTATATTCTTTTTCTAGTGAGGACAGCTCCTCGAGATCGCCGACGAGCGGTATACTCTCGGATATCTGAAAACAAACACAAACAATGACATCCTACCTTATAAATTAAAAGACCCGCTCTTACTGACTCAAAGTGTACGAAATTATCAGCGTTACCTCTTTTTCTATTTCCCGTTGTTGTTTCATTATTAATTCATCTTGATTTACTGAATTTTCAATTAAATTACCGGTACACGCACTACTACTCGATGCATCGTCCGCCATTTTCAAATTTAATAAAAATAAAGGTGACAGTTTTGACATTGACTGTTGGCGGAACAAACAACAATCGTAAAATTATTCATTTATTTCATTCGTCACTTTCACAGATTCTATGCATACAGTCTTTTAAATATAATCAACGTGGGTATACAAAAATATAATTTTCTTTACTAAATTGAACTATACTTGTAGTTAAATTAAATAAGGAAAACATGCTAAAAAAAGGAAACTTATTTTTGTTTCATTGATTTGTTTAAATTTCTATAAAAACACAAAATAAAAGTAAAAATGATCTATTTATTTGGTAATTAATCAGCAAACATGTCTTCAATTTTCTTCTGTACTTCCTTTTCAGTCTCAGAGTTGAGCTTGTCGGGTAGATTCTTAACAGCTTCCATATCCATATCAGGAGTTTCGTCATCTGCTGTAGTTTGTCCTTTGGCCTGGTGAAAGGTATAAAAGTTGTTACATATGTTTATATTCAGGAAGCTTTTGAAAACTAAATTTTCGAATATCCACAAGAAATGCAAACATGTAAAGTTTTAAATAATATTATATTTTTCACAAAAGGACACTATAAGTGATCCAATATCTGTTTCTGAGTTGTCATAGTACCCATCACTATAATCTTAAATCTTTAAAAAAATATTTTTTTCTGTTTTGCCTGACTAATATCACATATTAGTTACTTTACTTGTATTTGATTACAAATCCCTTATATCTGGCCATCCTAGACCATAAAAAACAATTTTGTAAAGATCATATGAGCACCACAACTACTAGGTTTAAATTCAACGGTTAAGACCAACAATCATCCAAAATTATAATGTATGTAGTCCCGACCTTCTCTCTTTGTTGCTGTAACTGCAGCAGGGCTCGTTCAAGCCTGTAGTTGTCAGCGACAAGCTGTGCCCATCGTCTGCGGAGCGCCCTCAGTCTTGCACCGCTGGCCGTCTGTGATCGTTTACGCTCCCAGTTCACTGCTGCTATTTGTTTCCTAAAACACATAAATAATATGTTATATAATTCTCAGTTTTTGGTAAAAATTACATCCATTAAGCTCGGGTTAAGTCTTCTAAAATTAATATTTACAATATGCAGTTTTCTTGAAAAACATCTGTGGTGCAAATTTAAATAATTAAAAAAAATATTGGAACATCAGATGATCATAAGAAATGACATTGGAACTTGTTGAAAATAAAATGTTACCCTTAAAATACTATTATCTGGATAATTGTAGTATTCAATAAAAAGATATTAACTTTGTCATGTCTGTATTGTGCTAAGTAGCAAACTGAATGACAGTAACTAATAATATAAAGCAATCTACCTACATTGCACTTGACATACTATTATTATTTTAACAATACCGAGCAAGCATAACTAATACATAACAATAATCAAGTAAGAAAGTTTGAATATAAGTCACCTTAATTGTGCATGAACATTTTGTGATCTAACGACTAATGCTTGAAGGACATGTAAATATGACCGCCATGCCTCGGTGCTGTACTGTAGTTGTAGTTCCAGGTTCAAGACTCGTGTCGCTTGGTGGGAGAGTTGGGCGTGGGAGTTATCGACTGCCTCCGCCCATGCTGCGGGCTCACCGAGACGACCAACAGGAGGTGGGGGGAGCTCGTACCTGTTGAGATGAAATTTAAATCAATATTAGGAGATTATGATTACTAGGGAAGTGATAAATATGTATTAAAAAATCTAAAATATGTACATAAAATATGGACGAAAAAATCAAAAATATGGAGTATAAAAAAATACTTTCATAATTAAACATTGTTTTACTATAAGAAAAGGGTCACTTGTGATGTACATCGTTACAGTTACATTTAAAAACGACAAAAAAAATATAACAAAAATATTTATTTCAACAAAAAATTACAGTTTTATTGAACTTGCATTACACTAGCCTTATCAAATTGGTTGCAATACACAATGACGTGCTTCTTTAAATTATCAATATGAAAACTAACCATTTGGTTGAAATATAGCCTTATATCTGCTGAATGATCTCTCCATGTCACATGATGTGATGGATGCACACTTTTGTTAATTTTTTTTGGCATATTAAATCCTTTATTTTTATCCAAAACATTAGTGGCGGGATCATAAATTTTATGTATTTTGGTGAATATATGGATGATTGTGACATTTTCTTGTAAAATATGGATTTAACTTTGAAATATGGAAAATAAAACTTGGTTTTTCACAATCTAAATTTGACAGTCCATGTAAAAAACACATTCTAGACCGAAAATCGCGTAAATTAAAAATATGTATTTAGTATTTACATATTAATCTGGGCCCTAATTACTAAATGACTTTCTGGGACCCTTTTAAAATATTTGATCTTAGTACCAGCTTTCTTGGCTTGTTTATCCATAAGTTTGACAACTATTCACCAAACAGAAAGGGTGGATTAGACTTGTAATATAATTTTCACACTTTTCATAAACTATCACAATATACTAAAGTACTTGATGAGTTACAATGAATTGTTTTTAGGTTAGTATTCAATGCTAAGTGCAAAACAATACAAAAATAGTGTTGAATTTATCACTTTGTTTGGCTCATTATTTATTATGTTAAATGAAACTAGTATTATTTGGATTACTACACATATTTTATAAGTTACTTTAAAAAATGAAATATTCAAGACGTTTTGGTTACTTTTCACTCACCATAATCAGCAATCCAAATAATATTAGTTTAAATAAATACTCGCGAAAGTCTTCGATCCCATTATTTATCATGTTAACTCACCTCTTCATTGATAGCGGTTCCATCGGCAGTCGTTGTTGTACCCGCTCCATTTCTCTTTGTAGAGCTGCTGTCTCAAAGGCTGTGCTGGGCTCGGGACCAGCATTTTCTAGATAGTTTTTCGTGGGTCTGTATCTACGACATTCCTCTTCAACCATGGCCAGGGCCTAAAAAACATTAGGAGTGACTAATAATAAGAAACGACACTATAAAGTCATCTTGACGTAGCTAGGTATAAATAAAAAATATATTGTATACTATTTGTGTACTTTATTATTAAATTTGTTTAGTCTTTGACTTTAACATGAAAGACTTTTTTATAAATTAATTTATACTAGTATAAATTAGAATCTTACCGCTTCCCTGACACCCGGATCATCGTATCCTTGATCAATGTACGGTAGTGCGTCCACTATGACCTCTCCAGACATCTTCTATTATATATTTCAATATTAGTTGTTCTAAATGAAAATTCTGTTCCAAATACAGTAGTTTACAAATTGTTTTAATGTGTTTTCAGCGTAGTAGACCTTAACTCTACTTTTTGTTATGACAGAACATTCAATGTGTGAATATGACAATTGTTAGTTTTGTCGTTTCAATAGTTAATATTGCCACAACGGTTTCAAAAGTTATCTTTTAGAAATATATAGAATAAGTTATAATAACTATGGCAAAGATATATTAAAACAAAAATCAAGAAAAATATGCAGTTTATTAATATCTTATGTTACCACGAATGTTTTAGTATTTGAAGTCAACCTATAAACTTTAATACTAGAATCTAAATAAGTCTTTTAATGCATATAAATGAATAACTCAAAACGAATAGAATGTCAGAACATTGACATAGGACAATAAACATTAATTACCTCCCTACATTATTTCATATTTATTTCTTTGTTTTCTTTTTTAATTTTGTAACATCAAATGGATTAACGTTTGATATTTCAAGATAATGCCAGATATAATGAGCCACGAAGTTTCAGACGTTGATTTATCGAAGGCTAGTATAATTAACAGTTGCTTTAAAATTCTTAATATGCCCAGTCTACATAAAAACATTTTTTAACTTGTTCTTCTTCTGTTAATATAGATAGCTGCATTACAGCAGAAACGTACACTGGCCTTTGTGAACCACTTTGTTATTACGACGGTACAGTTTCTAAATAACTTTTCAAAAAAATGTGAACAACGTTTAATGCAATTTGAACGAAAAATTGAAAAAATTAATGCTACGATGGTGCTATTAGAGGCAAAGGTAAAAAATAATTTAAAATCCAATATACTTTTTCTTTCATACATACAATATTACTTTCAGTTCCTATATATACACATGTTTATAAAACTTACACTAATCAAAAATCTACTATTTGATCCAGCTGTCCTCGATTCCAGAACTGAATGATGTCACTGGAGACACGACAAAAAATAATGTTAAAGACGAGGAATTAAAACCAGAGGAATCTAATGAAGTGATTGAAGAATCAAAAACTGAATTGGAACAGAAAGATAAAACAAATACTGTAGAAAATAGTAATACAGAGAAAACGGCAGAAGATGTAGTAAAGGTTAAAAAGGAATATGAAAGATTTGTTAAAATGGTACAAGTGGGAGTTCCCGCGGAGGCTGTGAAATTAAAAATCTCTCTTGAGGGACTGGATCCGTCGGAGCTGGACAGAATATTACATAAATAAATATATTTTATACACACTTATAACTTGTTGAACTTATATATTTTTGTGCGAGACAATATTTAAATGTTCATAGTGCAGACAAGCTGGTTATTTTGCTAATAAATGATGTTTAACTCTAATTTCTATTGTCATTGTGTTATTAATACAGATTTATTGAGTATTCTTTACTATCAAATTATAATTGGCTAAAGATAAATTATATCATCAGAATCATGAACCAGAACTACAAAACAATAAGTTGAAGTTATTTTCCCGTTTTACAATAATCATGTAATTCGTTTTTCATTTACAATCGAGCTCAACTAGTCTACATCAGTTTATAGGACTTAAACCAAGATTCTATGTTATATTAGAATTGCTATTATATGTCATATTAAAGAATTCAAATATTTTTTCTTTCTATATTCCGTGTAAAGCCAGGTAAAGAGTGAATGAAACAATACATTAGTTGTTATTCTTATTTATTACATGTTTAGAACTGAATCATCTGTCCCTTCCTCTTCTTGTCTCCTCCGAGTTCGAAGTGCTTGCAGCGCTTCAGGGCCACTTGTGAACGAACCTTGCAGTCGGCGCACTCGAGACGCAGTACGATCTTTTTGGTGGTTTTCGCCTGAAAATATTTAACAGTTACTAAAATATAACGTATTTTATTTAACTTGTAAGGTAATACTAGAAAACAGAATGACTTATAGAAAAATATATTTAAGATATTAGTTACCAGTGCACTATTTAACGGATATAGTCGTTATGAAGTGACAGTGAAGTTGAATTGAAATGATATTGTTTTCGAAGTTTACAAAACTTTACATAAAACAAAAAAATTGTTGAAACTCCTCATATAATAAATTCTCGTCATATTAACAATCTAAAACATGTAAAGCATGTCACCGGTCTTAGGTTATGTTAGTAATGATAACTTGCCTTCTTCTTGAAGATGGGTTTGGACTGACCACCGTAACCCTGTTGTTTGCGGTCATAACGTCTCCTACCCTGAGCGGCGTGCCTTTCCTTGGACTTTTTGTATTGTGAAACTTTGTGTACTTTGTGGACCTTGCATTTCTTGCAGTAAGTCCTACGTTGTTTTGGTACGTTCACCTGAAATTTATCGCCACAAAATTTGAAATACAATCATCACTCGAGGCTTCATAACACTGTAGATAAGTTATACTGCATATTTAGTAAAAATGCAAAAGATTATTAAAGATTATAATGGATAAATATAAAATAAACACACCATTTTGGTTTAGTCTGACACGACCAGCCAAACGTCAAACAGAAAGAAGGATATTTTGGTACTAGCTTATGACATTGACAATCTAACATAAAAAGTTTAGGTTTGATCACATTCCAGGCCTTTAACACATTATTTCCCAATATTTCCGACTAAAGGTTTTATTTTTATAATAATTTCTACTTTACTCATGATATTCAAAGTTTTAATGTCCTTTAAAAATATATATTGTTTAGTTAACCATTACTGAAAAATTGTGTTATCTGTAAATAAATTTCTTTAACAATATTAGACTTTACTTTTGGCGCCAAATGTAACTTGTGAAACTTCTGACAGCTATTTATTTATATTTTATAATCAATTTCTGAGTTCTGTGACCTACCTTTTATTTTGTTTAATTCTTCAGCTTTTTTAAACGGTTATCAGTATTAATATTTATATTGAATATTAACTTATATTTCATAAGATGAAGTTCGCTATTCCTGAAATATCATGGCATAACAGAGATCCAGTTTTAAGTGTAGACATTCAGCCGAAATCAAATGCAAGTGAACCACTGCGGTTAGCTACCGGAGGCACAGATTCTCATGTCGTGGTAAATATATAAAACAAACTCGTCATAGATAAACATCGAATACTTCAGCATTTATTTAAGTTATTATTGTGTTTATAGATTTGGTATTTATCAAAAACAATTACCGGTTCAGTGAAATTAGAAGTCGCTGCTGATCTCACCAGGCATCAAAAAGCTGTTAATGTAGTGCGATGGTCGCCCAATGGTGTTTATTTAGCATCCGGAGATGATGAATCTATAATATTTATATGGAAGCAAAAAACTGAAGAGCCAATAGCACCACCGTTAGAAGGAGAGGAGCAGTACAAAGAGACTTGGGTTATACATAAGGTAAGTAATGTATTTCTTTTAATTTGAAGTTTAGGATCTCTTAATATAATTATTAATTTAATTTATAGACTCTAAGAGGTCACATGGAAGATGTTTTGGACATCAGTTGGAGTAGTTCATCGTTACATTTGGCGTCCGGCTCAGTAGACAACAAGCTTATTTTCTGGGATGTGGCAAGAGGTCGTTCTAGTGCTATTGTGTCTGATCATAAAGGCTTCGTCCAGGGAGTAGCGTGGGACCCTCAAGGACAGCTGTTAGCTACGGCTAGCTCTGATAGGTATTTGTTACACAGATCATTAGATTTCTACTTTGTATCTTGCATAAAGTAGCAAACAGTAATCTATTATGTGAAAAACAGTAATCTATTATAATATGCCTATTATGTGAAAGATATGATTATAATTCAAGTTGTCATGAGTTAAATATCAAAATTTTCAGAGTTTTCCGAACATTTGATGTGGGGACCAAGAAAGTGCTGTCTCGTAGTAGTAAGGCTATCCTACCGTTCCCTAAGGAGCATGCTCTACATGATGTAAAGGTCCGCCTCTATCATGACGACACTCTACAGACGTACTACAGGAGATTACATTTCAGTCCCGATGGAATGTTCATTGCGGGTAATGCTAATTTTTTTAAAGGTGGTAAATATTTTGATTTGATAGTAGCCATACTGCAAGGATTTATTTATTTATTTTAGGAACACCAACATTTACATAAAAATACAGTCAACACTATAGGTCTTCATATGTACACCCATTACAGGTATTCACAGCACTGTCTAAAAAGCTTTATAACGACAACACCTTAATCTAACTAAATTAAATCACTACTACAAAAAAAAAACAACACTATTTAATAAGCAACAACACATAAATTAAAAGTGAAACAGTTACAATTTTAAAGAGTAATATTTATGCAAATTATTTTTTAATTTTGAAAATGAATCATGAAACATGTCCAAATCTGTTATCTCTTTATTTAGGAAATTGTATAAGTTGCACATCCTAGCAGGTGGAGAATGCGCACCTAGATTTGTTCAAACTCTTGGATGGTAAAAAAATTTACTAATGCGTTGACGAGGAATTTTATTAGGTACCGAAATAGAAAGCTGAGCTAGTAGATGGCTGCTATTAATGTTACCATTTATGATATTGAACATAATCATTAAATCGTGAATTGATCGTCGAGCATGCAAGTTCTTCATGCCAAAATTAATTAAATGTTGTTCATACGGGCATCTGAATGATATTTCATGACAATTAAATGCTAAGTGACGAGTAAATGCTCGCTGGACTAATGCGTTAAACAGTATAATTTTGGTGTGGGGATTTTTAAACATCTTTGTATTGCATTTTAAAAACCCTAGCATTTGCATAGATTTTTTAGTTATGCAATCTACATGGGCCACAAATGTCAGTTTTTTATCAAGGATGCTAATAATGTGTTGTATGTTTCAGTGCCAGCGGGAAAGATAGAACCAGAACAAGGAAAACTAGAAATTAAACCGATGAATGCTGTATATATTTACACTAGACACTCACTTAAAACGTAAGTCAGGTCACACTTGGTCACTGATAAGTATACAAATCAAAATTAAATGCAAGATTGTAACTAAAAATTAAGTATTTCCCAACAATTCACCAATAATTAAATTGACCTTCAATTGATATTAATAGTCTTCGTTATTTCAGAATATTGAATAACAATATCACTCATTCTTAACCCTTTATAAGTTAGAGGTGATATTTTCACCACCATGATTTTTTTTTTAAACCGTAATTTCGTCCACCGGTCGTATTTTTATTCAGACAACTTTTATGATTGTCAGTAGACAGTTTGATAATGAAAGGTTTAACAAATATATATTTATATATACATATGTTTTTACTTCTATTATATACCCTTAACCATCATCAATTTTGTTTTTCCACTGTCCACTCCTTATGACCGTTAAAGGGTTAAGAAAGTCTTCTTCCAAGATATCCAAATACCCTTCGGCCTGTACTTTACCAGTTCTTAATCTCCTTTCAGTCCCGCGTGTGTCGTTCCGTGTGGCGAGCCGGCGCTGGTGTGTCGCTGGTCGCCAGTCCGTCGCGCGTGTAGGGCTCCGCCCCCGTCCTCGGGCCTGCAGGCCGCTCCCCGGCTGCTGCTGGCGGTGGCCACGCGCAGGTCCCTGCTGCTGTACGACACGCACCAGAGGGCGCCCGTCGCGCTCATCTCTAATATACACTACACGAGGTACACGGACCTATAGTCCAGGATCCATGGCTCTTTTTTGCACTTGATTACTAACAAGCTAATTTTCCGTAAGTAGCTTCGTTTTATTGAGACGCCCAACTTTTTCCTTTGCGATATTTCTTGATAGTGGTAGCTAACTTAGCTAGCAGAGATAAAATATGTTGATTTGATAATTTTCCAAAATTTATTACTAACTGGATTTATTTATGTTAAATCTTATGAGTATTATCAAAATTATTCGAAAAAAAAAATTGTCTTACAAAATGTATGGTTTGATCAAAGAATCCCCCTCCTTTCAACATGTATTGATAACGAGGTCATCGCAAGTGATTACTAACCAGCTGTTTTTTTTATTTACTTAGTTAATATTTAAATAATTTAACAGTGACATTGTCTTACAAGTTGCTTGCTATGTTATCCCGGTCCTACGCTTAAAAGTGGTTGATGTCACAAGACCATTTTTCTCATTACTAACTGTAGGACGAAATGCCACATGATAAATTAGTGTGATTTCTGCCAAAATGAAACAATGTCCTACAAAAAAACAAAAAAAATATTTTTTTTAATAAAAAAATAGATTTTTTTTAGTCAGATGAGTACAAAAATTTGTGTATTTACATAAACAAAAATTAATCTTCATCAGATTCATCTGATGAATCTTCGCTGCTTACATCGCTGTTATCTTTATTTTTTTCATTGTCCTCATTTGTGATATCTGACTCTGTAATGACGTGACAAAAGATAGAAAATTATATAATAATACGTAATAAATCAATAATTAACAATAGTATTAGTAGGGTACCATGTATGTCAGAAGATAATTCCTCAAAAGATGGACTTTGGGAACCATCAAACCAATAAAATTCATAATTACCATCAATAATTGTACATCCAAAATCTTTGCACCGCATGTATGCATTACACCATATATTGCAGATGAATGCAGTTCTTTTAATTTTTTGCAACAATTCTTGTTTTGGTTGCAAACTAGAAGAATCATGTCCGACGATTTTTGTTTTAAAATTTCTTCATTTTATTTTTTTGATTTATAACTTTTACAAATTTTCTGTCAAATAACTCATACCGCCCTTTGTGCATATCATTTTTTTGGTTTTTAAAGAATACATTCTACATACATACTCTTCAATAATTTGAACTAATTTATTAGATATTGTTAGTGCCGTATATACCATTAGTAAGAGTTGAATAAAGGCCTCTTAAAAATTAATATTTTTTTTAGGATACTATAAGGTCTCTTTTTTCCCTTACGAAAGAATGCAGGATTATAAATAATCATTCCCTGTAAAAATATGGCATATGGCGAGTGAACAAGATAATTGATCTCCAAGCTTGACATAAATGTCGTTGATGTTTAAGTTCATTTTTTTACTCATGCTTAAATTGATAATGATTGTAATTTCATCTTTTAAATACTTAAAATTTGATTATTTATTAATTTATCTAGCTAGTAAGTAATCATTCGTGATGACCTCGTTATCGATACATGTTGAAAGGAGGCGGATTCTTTGATCAAACCATACATTTTGTAGGACAATTTTTTTTTCCAATAATTTAGATAATACTCATAACATTTAACATAAAAAAATCCAGTTAGGTAGTAATAAATTTTGGAAAATTATCAAATCAACATATTTTATCTCTGCTAGCTAAGTTAGCTACCACTGTCAAGAAATATCGCAAAGGAAAAAGTTGGGCGTCTCGATGAAACGAAGCTACTCACGGAAAATTAGCTTGTTAGTAATCAAGTGCAAAAAACAGCCATGGATCCTGGACTACTATGTGTACTATGATATAAAATAGACTACTTTTAATGACTAACAAACAACTCAGGTATGCATAGCGCCAACTCCTGGTGAAGATTTTATGCGTTAAATGCTTAAAACATCCAATAAATTTAAAATTTCGGCAAATGCAAAATATTGTTCTATGATGAAAGGACTCTTCACATTATCATGTTCCTTGTCTGTGTATATTAACCGTCATGCCCCGTTCCAGGATCACAGACCTGTCGTGGTCGTCCGACGGCCTGACCCTGGTTGCCTCCAGTACGGACGGGTTCTGCTCCGTCGTCAGTTTCACAGAGGAAGAGCTAGGCGAGGCGATCACTAACACCGACGCCGCTAGTACAGGTACAACCTTTACTGAATATAAAAAGACTTACTGTGAACGCTTCAGGCCTCGGCCTCGAATTTTGCGGGCAGCGGAGCGGCAGCGGTGGCGGCACGGAAACGCATACTGTTCTCCAAACTAGCGGGCAGCGGGCACCGCTGTATTCGAGGGTCGGTCCATTTGATTATACGCGTAAGATCCTGCCGCTCCCGCTGCCGCTCCGCTGCCCGCAAAATTCGAGGCCGAGGCCTAAGTTCCTTCTTTGAGTCTTTTATTTATAATAAAGTAGCTAACGCTTGTGACATTAAACATTGCTCTGTTAAACAAGCCAAAACAAAAATTGTTCCTTGGCTCTCCTCATTAACCTACAATATCACCGAAGAAATTTTCTTGCACCTAGTATAGCACCTTTTCACTAACACAAGAACACTTGTAACTTAAATTATGCAATGTATCTTAAATAGTTATGTAATTTATATTCTCTGCCGAGCGACAACAATAAACATATAGTGTAAATCTATCAATTGGTACCCACGACACAGGAATACCTAGTGTGGGCACCACCGGACATTTCTTTGTATTATGTTGTGTTTTTTTTTTGTTAATAAACATTTTTCATTTTCATTTTTCATCAATATTGTTTATAATAAAATGCATCGATCTATCCACAGAGCCGATGGAAATTGAGGAACAGAAACACAACCAGGAAACTCCCAAACAGAGATACGCTGAGGCGAAACCGATAGAAGTGAAGCGGAGGCCGTCCAACAACAAGATAGACGCATTCATCAAGTTTAAAACTCCCGAAGACAAGTCTCCCAAGAAGAGGAAGATCGAGAATATTCAGCAGAAGACGCCCGTCAAGATGGACGTGCTCATGGAGACCGCGCTGCCCTCCTGGTCAGATAACTCCAGCAGTGACGTTATCAGACCCAAGGACCCGGAGCCCACCACGCTCGGAGGAAGTGACGTCACTGTTATAGAGGACAGCGAGGACATACAGCTGGTGTACGACGAGACCAAGGACAGCCAGTCACCTAGGACGGAACAAGAGGAGGAGAAACTTGCTCCCAAGATGTCTCCCACACGAGGAGACGTTGCCGACACCAACTTCCTGATGAAGGCCAAGATTACGGATGTGAAGGAGCCGGCGCCCCTCCCCGCCGCGCCCAGCCCCAAGGCACCGCGGCGAGTCAACTTCGTTACGCTGTCGAGCCCTAAGAGCACCAAGAAGAAATAAACATTGTATATAACAGAACATAATTTTTATTATACATAAATATATAATTATTTTTTTTAATTCCATCATGTAAGTGGTATTATATTATTAATGGAGTTACTACGACTATTATTTCCACATTATTGCCAACGAGGGACAGAACTACGTTTTCAAAACGTCTAGGATCTTCCCTAGCAACATGACTGTTAACACTTTGTATTCAGTAATAAATCATACTTTGTCAGCTAGTGCCAGACTAAAATTTGCTGGCTGGACTAGAGATAACATCGCTTTTAAGATATACGAGTCACTAGCTAGATATATGGAATACATATTTATATCGTAAAATATAAAAATCGTCACAATAAAAAATTTAAACTTGGATTTAGACCACATTGAAGTAAAACTTCTTTCGCTCCATCTGTATGTAATATATGTATGCATAAGTTTATTTATGTATAATACAGACATTGTACGGGAACTTGGTCGCTCGTACACTTAATAAAATGATATAAATTGATAATGCTTCTTAGTTTAATTAATTTGATATAATCTTATATATTTATTGGAATCTCGGAATCCACTCCAACGATTTTCATGAATTTTAGTATGTAGGGGATTTCGGGGGCGATAAATAGATCTAGCTAGGAATCTAAGATTTATTAAAAAAAATACAAAAAGTAGGCGTTTAAAATATGACTCTTCCTGACATCTATTGGCGAATAGTAATACTTTTTGCTAATTGCTTCTACTAATTGCTTTATGACGCAACAGCAGATGGCGTTGTTAAGTACCAGGAAGTCAATGGGTGTTTGTTTTGAGATTACTATAGATAATACACTATATTAGAGATAGATGCGCTGTGGGTTTCAGTTTAGAAAACTACCATGTACGCTAGATGTCACTGCATTTAATAACTAGGACGTGGTACCACTAGATGGCCCTTAATGGTATTCGAATTTTATAGGGAAAATGCAAAATTACAATTTTATTATTAACTTTAATCTTTGGTTGATTAAAGTTAATAATAAAATTAAAATAAGAATAAATAATGTGCATAGGTTTAAAAATCCAACTTCTGGTGTTTTGCCTCTATTTACATTATTTACTTAGCACCCTTAAAAAATAAATAAAATGAAAAGCAGAACATATATTCAAATATTTATTATATGTAGGTGGGTTATCAGGGTGGCGGCGTCATGACGATACGTTATATAGGAAAACACTTGTAATGCTCGTTACAAAGGTTACAATACCAATGGCCGATATATTTAAACTGGTGGTATGTATACAAAAATATCTTGACCTAATTTAATATTATATTTGAAAACTTAAAAGATAATATTAAACATTGTTTATCTTAATTATTCTAATGATTATTTACGGACAAATATTATTTAATAATACAGGATGATGTAACATTAAATATTAAAGATTAATATATTACACCGGAAGTTGATAAGCAGCAGATAACCTAGCCCGATCAGTAAAATAAGATTCTAGTAGCTTAATCCTTACTTATACATAATAAAACAAAATTATTATAGTATTGATTAATCGACATAATTTGAGAAAATATAAATAACAATAAGCACTATTTATTAAATGCGCTGGAATTATTAATTGATAACATTATTTTTTTCTTTTTGTGAGTATTATAATATGTAATCGATTGGACTTTAACATTATCCTTATTATTTTGACAATTTGTAAACTTTCCCGTAAGCAGCCTGTTAATATTTTTTGTTTGTGGTTCTTCACCTAATTGTGTTTGTATGACTGCACAAACATCATCTAAAAATGATCATAACACATCCGACGGATACTTAAGGATTTTGAACTGTAATCTCTAAATAAAATATAGTTATCATTAGCAAGAGGTGTTGTGCTTAACAACTGCATTTTACATGTTACAATGTTTACATTCATTTTCACATACATTTATGTACTAAATACCCAGCAACATAGCATTTAGCTTCTATGCTGATTATGTTGCCGGGTTTTAAATTGACATTTTCTTGCAACAAATTAAGTAAAGAATCCACATTTATTTTTTCATTTAATGTATCTCTAACTCTTAATTTCGTATTAATAAGGCAACTTAAGGGTTTTAAAATTTTGTTACTGTCATGTTCACAGTTTGCACCAATGGAATATGGCAAAGTTAAATTATTTACAAGTAAAGTTTTGTATGCTCCAACAAATTGAGAGCAAGTTGGAGATACATTACGGATCCCATTACTTCGAATATTACAAAAAAATTCTCTAAGGGATCTACAAAAAGCAGCAGGTCAGCTGTGGCGACACACTCTTTTGGCAAAATATTATGATCTGGAAATAAAAAATATATTAAAATTATTTTTAGACATAGGCCTTATTATTAGATAGATAAACTTTATATGAATATTTATTATTTATTTATTTAATAAGAAGTTTATCTACAGTTCAGAATTAATAAAAGCAAAAGAAAAGAAAAAACATAAGTATGCAAAGGAGGTCTTATCACTTATAGTGATCTCTTACAGACAACCTCAGGGGTAAAAAGCTGTTATATTAGAAATATGTTAAGTGCATAGAAAGTTTATGTCCACATAATAATAAGTAAAACTTGCTACTACTATGAAAAGAATATATACTAACTTGCTAAGAACAGCTGATACTCGCTGGCTGAACACTTGGGACACATATTTCACTTTCGGTAATTTATCTTTATATACTTATATGTGTTTCTGTTAATGTATTTAATAAGCGTATATCACTTTCTCCAACGTCAACCTGTAACAACATATGCAAATGACTCCATTTTGCTATTTTAATTTCTTGATTTTGTTGAAATCTTAAATTTTTAGTCAATAAATTGTTCCTTAAGCCTTTAAGGAGATGCGGTCAAAAATTGGTATGCTTTTTTTTCCATTTATTTCAAATCCCAAACTTTTCCATTCATTTCCTTCATGAAAGTACCTTTGCTTCGTTTCATATACTCAATTGTTTATTACACTTATACTTGTTGGCGACTGGTCGCAAATTGTCGATACTACAATTAGTCCAGTGCTTTGTATTTGTGTTATTACACTTTTAATGATAACTTTCAAATCAACACTTTTTGTTGCACTCTGGCAAAAAGTAAACGAATTTGGCTGTTTATATTTGCTTTTAAGGCCTTTCAACATACCGAGGCATGGTCTGCTAATTTATTGGTTTTATGTGAACCAAAACCTTCAAATCCAATGATTTCGTCCATTATTTTCTGAAAAAATAAGCCCGGTGATAATGCCACTTCATCAAATATTAAAGTACACAGTTTTTTCATTACTTAACTTAATGATTGCTTTTTTAATATGTTCAATAATGATGTCATTTAAACCTGGGGTAATTGATATACAGCTTAAAACTTTCTGCATGGTTCTTTTAGATGGCAAACAAAATAGTTTTTGTAATATATTATAAGCCTTTTGACTTTGTTTATATATAGTCAAGCACAGTATCTTCACCTGTGTAGTAAATCTTCTACCTCTTGGCTAAATAGATGATTTTTTCAATTGTGTAAAAAATCTTATTGCTTCTGGAAGATTTTCTATGGCTTTTAAAAATGCCTTATTCTGTGACAGTCTTTTTGCCTGAAGAATAAGTTTCTTTTGGGTCTTACATTTTTCCTTCAATTTCAAAAGTCGAGCTTTTAACAGCCTTAACTCTTTTGAACAGTTTTGTGTTGGAGTTTTAACTGAAATATATAAAGTATTTGTTTTATTGTAACATGATAATAAAATATATAGTAATGTTTTTGTTATTTTATGTAATAAAAACACTATTGATATAGCATTGCATTATCTGGTAATTAAAAATCTATATTTATCAAAAAAATTAAACAATAAATAGCATGCTTTATAAATATTGATATAGTTACATAGTTATGTTTAATTATGTATACAGTAGTATCTCTAATGACGGGACTAATAGTAGTCATAAGGGATTTCAGATAATCAATTAAATGATGAGAAGACATTTTTGAATATCTTAGGTTTAAATGTAGATGATGATCTGAGTATATATCTGTATTTACTTAAACAGGAATCAGGTTATCTAAAACCAGGATTAATGTTTATTAAAAGACAAAAAATATACATATTTGTCGTTGTGTACAAATTATCTACGGACATAATTATTGAATACAATTTTCAATATATTGCAATTTTAATTCATAAATGACTACTAACAAAACCTACCATCAATATTTGCAGAAGAAAATATGAAATAAATCTGGATACTTGCAAATCTAGTGAATCTGTGGTTTAAATTTATATTGTATTTAAAATGCTTTATGCTGTTTTATAATTTAAAAGTAAATATAGCAATCATAGTTAATTTTAAGCTTAATTATATGCCCGTAACTTACCTTTAGGAAATAATTGAGAGGAATTAGGAGAACTCCTTTGTAGCTGAACTTGATTAATATTTAAATCCAAGTGGTGACTACAAGATGCGTCATTGTCTTCTTTTTGGGTATCAACACATTTTTCAGTTTCAACAGAATGTAATGAGGGTACAGTCTCAAATGTTGATGCTGCTAAATAAAATATTTTTTTTAACAAATAAATATATTAAAAGAAAAGTTAAATGAAAAATCTTAAAATAGAATGATAACATATTGTCTTGATCGTATCTTCCTTTCTTGTTTCTTTTAGAGTTTCTGATTGAATGTAAATAGACTTGTAATTTTTACTGAATTAAACACTGCCATTCTTATATTACCTACATAAAAAACTATAAACAACTTTTTTTGGTTTGTAGTTATCCAGTGAAATTATAATCTCTGCATATTTAGAACACTGTTTTTGTTTTACCTATGTAGAGACACAAGTAGTTATTTTGTGATACTGTTTGTAGGCACTTTCCTTTATTTAGATAAAAAAGGTAATAAAGACCGCACATTATAAATCTATCAAACCACATGTATATAAAAATGTTAAGATGACTTGTATACCTATTTCATTATATTCAATTAAATCTAATTTTTTTGTTTTTATTTTTTAATTATGAGCATCAATTTCTAAAGTAAAGTAATAATAATGTGAAAAATGATCTATAGTTATAAAATATAATTGATTATTTATAGTTTTTTTTATATTAGTAGTATATATTGTGTGCCTATTATTACTTGGGAAGTTGCTTACTTTAGATACTTACTTAAGTATAGAGTTGGTACAGCATTTTGAGTGAGTCGTCCACTTGAAGAACGGTAAAAGTGTTCAAAATGTCGTCATTTTAGTCGTGTGATGTGATCGTTCACATATTCTTGTGATGTGATCGTTCACATATTCTTATATTGTTACTAGCTTTTGCCGCGACTCCGTCCGTGTGGAGTAGTGACTTCCGGCGGATTTTTGGTTCTTCCCACATAGTTCCCGTTCTTACGGGGTTTTCGGAATGGTCGAGTTCCCGTAGAGTTTTAAGTATAATACCTTTGTTTTTTTTTAAATTCACAATGAAGTACTCTTAACCAACAACATATTTATTTGTTTATTTGAATAACGATTTTATAAAATTATTTCGACCAAATTAGGTACCATAAAAACGGTTTTTGTGAGTTAATCTTAAAAGATAGACATATACTGTCGCGGACTGTTTTTTAGATCATCAAAAGAGCTATTATTCTTTAATCCATACTTTTTGTGTATCTTGAATCGTTTTCACGGCGCACGCAACGGAAAGCTTCAAAGATGATATAATTTCTCCCGTTTTTTACACATTTACCACTATGTCTTTGCTCCTGTTGGTCGTAGCGTGATGTTATATAGCCCACAGCCTTCCTCGATAACTGGACTATCCAACACAAAAAGAATTATTCAATTCGAACCAGTAGTTTCGGAGATTAGCGCTTTCAAACAAACAAACTCTTCAGCTTTATAATATTAGTATAGATTTTCGAGTCATGTTACAATTCTGTCACTTCATCTGGCCTAATTCAACGACTTAAAATATTAAAGAAGGGGCGAAAACCAGTTTCAAATTAGAGGCAAGCTAAATAATTTGAGCAAAATTTAAAAAAAATGGGTCAGTTTTCAATAAACTTTTTGAAAGTAATTTTATGCCAGTCGTTGGAGTATTTGCTTTGGTAAGCATATACCTATATTTGTATTTTATCAACTTTCTTAGCTAATAATCAAGCTTATGACAATACCCTGCTTTGATTTGTTACTACTCTGGCAACAGTCTCACTCTTCTGGTTACACATTTTCCTCTGGTGCTTATAAAACTGAAAAAAAATAATGATGAAGAATAAAAGAGCTTCATTTACATATATGATCGATGAGAATTCCCGGTATAATTGGTGACCGAATGCAAACTGAATTAAATTATCGAAATTTTATAACAGAACATGAATTATGGTGCCTGCATTTACATGATTTCATAATTTTGCATTATAATAAAAATGATGCTGTGTGTATTTACATGACTTTGCAATTATGTCGAGCATAGCTCGTACATATATACATATACACATTAATTTTGTACAAATATTTGAATACATTATGGGTTATCATCGATAAATTAATATTTTTAAATAGTAATTGTTTCTTTTTATTTATTATTTTCATTATATACTTACATCAGTATGTATCCGATGATGAATAATAAATTATTATTGAATTACTGTGTTTGATTGTAAGACCGAAACAATAGGCATGTGACATGAGAAATAAGATACATATATGTTTTCGAATGAAGATTAGAAAGATATCTAGAGAAAACTAAAAACGAACTACTGACTGAGATATTTGATGCCCTGGCTTTGAAGGGAAGCGAGAAAAGTGCGTGCGCACTGCTCTCTCCCCTACAGTAATATAGGAACCTTTTCTGTCCTTTAATCTGTTCCAAGTATAGCAGGGTTGTTTTAATAGTATCTACATTTACTAATATCATCCTCTTATACACGTACACGTAACAGTTTAAATAAGTTTATATTGATTTATTTTACATAGTTCATCTGAATCTGAAACACAATTACCATCCATCCATTCATGCACTAATTCACGCATCCATCCATCCATCCATTATGATGATAACGATGATGATGATGATCCATGATCCCTAACACTATCTATGTTCACTAACTTATATCTCCCTCTCATTTTCATTCGCCTCGCCCGATCACACTTTTCGTAACGCTTTCACCAGTTTACCCCCAAGAGTGCGTAAAGAAGTTTTACTTCAATAAGTGTTTCAGTTGGGAGGTGAGAGTACGATTACTATCTTTTTATATGACTTCAGAAGATCTGAAAGAGGGGTTGGGAGACAGAAATGAAAGGACCGTGTAAAAAGTAAACATTTTAATAAATATTTACATTTCAATGTAGCTTTATCACATTTCAAGTAATGAAAACTTTACTCTAAATATCTTTATACAAGGAGTCCGGAAGTGTTCCGGGTGAGGAGGTCACCGGAAGATCTCATTATTTACAAGTTACAATGTAATCAATAGTTCCATATAATTCTGTTAATCTAATTTATTCTCTCATCGATACCTGTGATATATTTTTGGTCAATAGAATATTCCAGAAGTAATAATTTTAGTCGTAACACTATGTATAGTAATCTATAATTCCACGGTATGTCCATATTTCTTTTATATAATCAACGAGTCTAAAGTCAGAATATATAACGTCCTTCCTACAGGCGCTCCCCGCCGAGGACACCTCACGTCCGACGCTTCGTTTGGTTTCAATTATTAAATTATAACATTCACTATAAAACTAGCAATAGACTGAGACCACTCGACTGAGACGCGCTACACAAAGTTATTGATCATTAAATTATTGTTTCCGAGCTATCTCTGAGGAGTGACATTCATTTGAAGAGACGAGTTTTTGATACAGAGTGTATTGAATGCATTCATATCAAGAAAAACATTCAGAGACTCACATTGAACATTATATAACACAGCACATGAAAAATTAAATACTCCAACGAGTACAAGAGTTCGAATATTCCTCTCAAAGATTTAATTATGTTTTGTTTCACATCACTCGTTGGGCAGGACTTGAATATTGTAGATTGGGACCTCGACTGGCACAGGCCTCAGACAGGTCCGGAGACATCTTTCCGTCGGGCAGGTTATCGATAGAGGCGGGCGAAGTCTCGCAGCAGGCGAGTCATCTCCTTGCACTTCTCGGCCCTGGAAAAACACTCGTCAGTGAATCGACTCTTGGATATTTGAAACTTCGCTGAGTTTCTTTCGCCGGTTCTTCTCAGGTCAGGGTATTTTTTCCGAACCGCTGATAGTATCTCAAGTGACCATCAATAAGAAAGTGTAATGCTTCTATATTGAATAAAGTTATTTGTGTTTGAGTTTGAAACCTCGGAAGGCATTGTCAGTTTACCTGAGAGCGTACTGATGGAATTGTGCACACTGAATGTCAGTGGGCGCGGGAGGTTGTCGCGGCAGACGTAACAGACTGGCCCGCAGCCAGTCGCCTTCTGCTGAGGGGTGCGCTGCTCGCTGCCAGGCCAGCAGCTGCAGCAGCACGTCCGCCACGTCGCCCAGCATGTACGCGTGCAGGTGGAGCGCCGCCGCCTCCAGCAGCGAGTACGTCAACGACTCGCCCAGGCCCTGCACCGCGCTCACCGCCGCCGCTGAAACGATAACCATTGAACGTCACGACGAGCCTCCAGCAGCGAGATCAATGCTGATTCGTCACAGTTACCTTGTACGGGGCTTCTCTCCGCTTCACTCTTGTGTCTGGCCGCGTTGGCCGTCCTCACCACTTCGAGCAGGAACTTCATGACGGTCCCGTTCGCGTCCCGGTGGTCGAGGGAGCAGGCGGCGGCCGCCAGCTGCAGCACGCCCACGAGCGCGCCGCCCTCCCCCCCTCCGCCGCCGCCCACCAGCGCCGACGGACAACGTTGCAGGTATCTGTAAATAAATTGAATATGATATCTTTAAAGAAGAATTTACCAAGTAAAAATATTATTTGAAGAACTTAGCACAAGTCAAAAAGAAAATAACAACAAAATCTTTGAACACATACTAGAAATAAAGAAAGAAATTCGAGAGATTAAATATTCATCTGAAAAATTTATAGTAGACCATTAAACTTTAAGAAGTGACTTAGAGGCAATGGAAGAACAAAATACAACACTTCAAAATAGAATAAATAGTTTAGAAAAAAATATCCATTCGCCCATAGTCAATCGAACATCATCCTCTAATCCGCCTTATATGTGAAAGCGTTGCCTTAGAAATCCAAGACCGATGCGACCGCCAGAAAAATATAATTGTTGCGGGTATTATTGAAATAAATGATAAAAATGCGGATTCAAGGCGTAACTATGATACACAAGAAGTTATGAAAGTTATAAAAGATATATATCCTGAATGTCCGATGCCTATAAAGTTAATAAGATTGGGTAAATATCTTCGTAATAAAAATAGAAACATTAAAGTATGCTTCTAAGAACCTTGTACTGCTCAATACATATTGCGTAATAGAAAAATAATAAATAATAATGTTCGTATCTATTGGGACCAAACTTCTGCGCAACTTTTTAAAATACTTAAAAATTTGAAGAGCGAACTGCGTCAAAGGCAAAATAATGGAGAAAATCTTAATATAAAGTACTATCATGGAGTTCCTAAAATCGTTAATTTAACATCAAAAAACGACAAAAGTATAAAGACACCCTAAATGATAATATAACTTATCAAATAGCATACGATTATAAAAATATTAATACAACTTCTAATTCATTAATTTTTTTACGCCAATGTAAGAAGCTTATTAAAACCATGCAAATTAGACGAAATAAAATGCATTTTAAAAACTTTTAAGTACACGATACACTTAGTGTTATTAACAGAAACATGGATAAAATCCGATCAAAATGCTGATGCAATACAACTACCCAATTATACTCATATCTTTAACTACAGAAGGGTATCATGTTACCGAAGAAAAATATTTACACGGAAATAACTTTTTATGGATTTACTTAGAGAGATACTCTATTAATATTGGATTAATTTACAAACCACCAAGTACGAATACAACGAGATTTTTAAAACAATATTCTTTACAATTAGAAACAAGAAAAAGATGTATAATTTTTGGTGATTTCAATATAAATTTATTAAAAAATGATTTTATTACTAAGAAATATATTAGTATTGTTAAAGAGGCTGACTATGATATATTATATAAAATAGACAACATTTACTGCACCAGAGAAACAGAGACATCCATATCTATTATAGATCATGTTTGTACAAATATAACTCTAAAATTTAATTTTCGGATCACAAACAAATATATTGTGAGCTAAAAAAGGTTAAACCTGAATCTAAAAGGAAACTTAAATATGTAATCATAAATTATGATACCCTTTATAAGAACATTGAGGAGTCTAATTTTATAAACCCTGATTGTGATTTTAAATAATTGAAAAACTTTATTGTAAGCCAAATACAGCAAAATAAACTAACTAAATATAAGATACAAAACTTACCTAGAAGTAATTGGATCAACAAAAATATAATCTATACTAATATTATAAAGCTGAAGAGTTTGTTTGTTTGTTTGTTTGAAAGCGCTAATCTCCGAAAGTACTGGTTCGAATTGAATGATTCTTTTTGTGTTGGATAGTCCAGTTATCGAAGAAGGCTTTGGGCTATATAAAATCACGCTACGATCAATAGGAGCAAAGATATAGTGGTAAATATGTAAAAAACGGGAGAAATTATTTCATCTTTGAAGCCTTCCGTTGCGTGCGCCGTGAAAACGGTTCAAGATACACAAAAAATATGTATTAAAGAATAATAGCTCTTTTGATGATCTAAAAAACACTCTGCGACAGTATAGGTCTATCTTTTAAGATTAACTCACAAAAACCGTTTTTAGGGTACCTTATTATGTCGAAATAATTTGTTTAAGTTGTATCAACATAATTCAAATAAACAAATAAATATGTTGTTGGTTAAGAGTACTTCATGGTGAATTTTAAAAAAACATAGGTTTTATCCTGAAAATTCTACGGGAACTCGACCATTCCGAAAACCCCACAAGAACGGGAACTATGTGGGAAGAACCAAAAATCGGCCGTAAGTCACTATTCCACGCGGACGGAGTCGCGGCAAAAGCTAGTTCAAGATATAAGTCAGCGAAATTTGTTATGGAATAAACTTAAACAAGATAAAAATAATAAGGAATTAAAATTTAACAATGAAAATAATAAAGTTGGTGAAAATATACGAAATACTAAAGACAATTACTATTACCAAGCTTTCATAAGGTGTTTTAATGATTCAAAACGTATGTGGGACTTAATAAATTCCATAGCAGTAAATAAAATCAAAAATAAAAGCTGTGCTCCTCCAAAATTAATTATAAATAATGAGACTATTACTGAAGGAACTAACATATGTGAGTGTTTCAATCATTACTTTTTATCTATAGGCAAGGTGTTAATGAAACAAATCCCGGCTAAATATCATAATTACAACACTTATAGCGAAACTTTATCTGTACATAAATACACACAAAAACTTGAGCTACTCAAACCTTGTACAGAGCAAGAGGTAATACATATAATTAATAGTTTAGATTCTAACACAAGTGCAGGGATTGATGGGGTTACAGTAAAATCAATAAAATGTATAAAAAACCTAATAAGTAAAAATTTAAGTCAGTGTATAAATAAATCCGTAAGTACAGGAATTTTTCCAGATAATCTTAAAATTGCATGAGTAACTCCAATTGTTAAACTAATTATTAAATTTAGCCTTTGATATTAATCTATATAATATGTATATTCTACATGTAAATATAATCTGTGTGACAGTTGAATAAATTCTCTCTCTGTGATTCTCTAACAAGTGTAGTTTAATTTTCAAGACATCTCCTCCATTTAATAATAAAGTTATCACCAATATATAAATCGGGAACACAATCAGACCCTGGTGACTGTCTATTTCTGTGTTACCCGTTTTGTCAAAAATATTTGAAAAAGTCATTCATAATCGCTTAAGTGAATATTTAAGTGATATAAACTTTTTTTATAACAAGCAATACGGTTTTCGTCCGAAAGCAGGAACGCTTTCTGCTACAATTGATCTCATCACTAAAATGAGAACATTGATAGCAAAAATATTGTAGTAGGAGTATATATGATTTAAAAAATAAGGGTTTGACACGGTTTCACATTGTATATTATTACAAAAAAATAGAAAAGTTGGAATAGCTGGGACCGCGTACGAAACTATTTCATCTTATCTTAGCAATCGTCAGCAAATTGTAAAAATAGATAATTTCAAAAGTAATCCAGCTCCAATCACGTTTTTTTTTGTTATTTATTAATGATATGGATCAATTGCCACAGCGTGGAGAAATATCATTGTAGGCGGACGATACCTGTTTATTTTATTTTGGAAAATCCATTCTCAGTATTATTGAAACAGCTCAAAACGATTTAAATATCCTAAATGAATGGTTACACTAAAGTTTACTTTCATTAAACGTCTCAAAAAAATCATATATGATTTTTTTGGCCAAAAATAAATCCTTCCCATAATGTACTGATACTTAACAATCAAACTATCAAACAGTCAAATAATGAAAAATACCTAGGATTAATTTTAGATAAAAATTTAACTTGGACACCTCATATAGATTCCATACATTCCAAAATAACTTCGCTTACTAGAGCTTTACGTGAATCTGCACCTTGTATTCCCCCAAGAGTACGAAACATTATTTACAATACTTTAGTAAAACCAATATTAGAATACCTTATAGAAATATGGGGCAACGCGGCTACAACATAAAAAAATTGCAGATCTCTTAAAATAAACTTATCAAGGTCTTATTTCATATGGATTATTATATACCTACTAAAGATTTATATAAAACAACTAAAATTTTATCTATTAAACAAATGTATAAATATAAATTATGTATACTTATTCGAAAAATATTAACAAACCTACTCATTCTCAAATTACATTTAAAACCAAAACCCATTCTTACCACACAAGGAACAGATATAACCTAGAAACACCTAAAACTCGAACCAAGTACGGCATTAAAACTATTTCATTTGAATTAGCACAGCTGTATAACTCTTTGCCTCTAAGTGTTGTCAATTCAAAATCTTTAAATATATTTAAAAAAACGATTAAGAACCTATATATTAGACGATTTCTCTGATCTTGTTTAATATCATTTATTATTATTTGTAATCGGAAGAGGATGATGAAGAAGAGGAAGATGGACCTGTACAAATCAACACAAAATTGCTAGTGGCAAACATAACTAAGGAAGTTGAGAAAGCAATCAAGAAAGAAATGAAAGAACTTAATGATTCATTACAATTTCATAGTGCAAAATTAGATGAAGTAGTGGAGTACATCGAAACTTTAAAGAAAAACGTTAAAAGCATAGAACGAAAGAATGTCGAATTAACAAATAAAAACAACAACCTAGAAACTCGAATTGGAGCACTGGAACTGAGAATTCACGAAATTGAACAAAACGAGTTAAAGTCTTGCATTGAAATTGCTAATATACCTTACAGTGAAAAAGAAGACGTCACACAATTGGTAGAAAAAATAGCATATAAACTCAACCAACCAACAGAAACTATTAAAAAAGCTCAAAGACTGCAAGCAAAAAAAGACCAGATTGCTAATATCAAAGTGGAGCTCAAAGACGAAGCTACTCAAGAAAAATGGATAACAGCTGCTAAAGGAAGTAAAATTGCGGTATCATCGGTAAATATTCATCCAACGGCTAAAAATAACAAAAACATTGTATATGTAAGAGAATCAATGACAAAAGGAAATAAACAGGTATTCTGGCAGGCTAAACAAGAACTAAAAAACAAATTTAATTTTAAGTATGTGTGGTTTAAGAAAGGCATTATACGAGCTCGCAAAGATAACGGGGAAAAAACCTATATAATAAAATCTACGAGTGACATACTCGAAATAACAAAAAATAAAAATATATTTTAAAAATTTCATTTAAACTAAAAATAAAAACGGCTACTTTTAATATGGATATTAATGAGATAACAGACTGTACGAGCATTAATGATTTTTTAAGCTACACACCTACTAATAATATGAATCTGCTATGTATACATTTCAATATAAGATCTACTCGCCTGCTTAGGAACCAATATACAGGACGTTCCCGAGTATAAATTATGTATAAATAATAAAAATGTAATAAATATGTTGAATGACATAGATTGGGAAAAACCATGTATGATGTCATGTCCTTTAAATATTTACGATTATCTTCACGCAAAGTTTACAGAATGTTATGAAAAATCGAAATATAAAGTTAAAATTAAAACATCCCGTTGCAACAACGACTGGATCACGAATAAAATAATTAAAGCATGTAATCACAGAGACAAACTAATAAAGTCTACAACAGATATCAGCCTGTATAACAGCGTATTTGTTTTTGTTATGAGACGCGACGGTTGTAATATTAAACTATGTAATATTATCTTTAATACTTTTCTGTACAAACAAAATATTATGTAGTTAGATTCTTTTTTTTCTTTTGTATTTAATTGTATCGAATATTTTTGTTTTATTTTATCTTATGTGTTTTGTTTGATTCCTTAGTATTTTAGTGTTATGCATACGTTATATAAGTGTAAAATGTATAATCGACGACAACAGGTGTTCGAAAAAATTTGAATTAATTTATGTTAACACCTGTAAATGTAGAACAATGTTACATGTACTCTTTTTATAATTAATAAATTAAATAAATAAATAAATATGGGTTCACCCATATAATAACATAATTTCATTGTACGTACACATTCATAGGCAAATATTAATGTAAGTATTGTCATAATTGAGTCAGTATCAATAAAGCGTTCACACCAACTCACAAACTAGCTGGTCTCTATAAACTATCAAATCTAAATGGTGTGTGTTATCTCACCGGACGCAGAGTCGGAACAGATCGTCGACAGTGTCCGGGTTGTCCTTTAGTCCGTTGGGCGCGGTGAGGAGGGTGAGCGCGCGTGGCAGCAGGTCGTGCAGCAGGCGGGTCAGGGCGGACGCTGTGGCTGTCCGGTCGTCCGCCAGCGTGTCCGTGATGACAGCCGCCAGGTACAGCAGGCACGAGTGGGGACAGCGCGCGTACAGCACCGGCAGCGCGCGGGACAGCTCATCCAGCATCTCCACCGCGTGCTTGCCGGTACAGCGCACCATGAACCGTACGCAGCGGCACGAACGCTCCATAACGCGCCACTCCGTCACGTATCTGAAATATTTAATATATAAAAATGAATTGCTGTTCCTTGGTCTCGGTAAAACTCGAGAACGGCTGAACAGATTTATCTTATCAAAGTCTTGAAATGTTCGTGGAGGTTCAGGGAAGGTTTAAAAGCTGAATTTTTTTTATAAATTTCCGGGAAAACCCTAAAAACAGCTTTTTTATTTCCCATACAAACGGTTTTTTGACATTAGATTTGGCAACTAACTAATATGTCAATCATTTTGTCGCACTTCAGAACACGGAGATTTATGGCTTAAAAGTAAACACCAAAAAAATAAATAGGACATAATTTATTTCTTGATTGAGGCAGTACGAAGTCTGCCGGGTCAGCTAGTCTGAAATATTTTATTTTATTTGGATGGGACAAAAGAAAACATTATTACATTCATTACATTATCAAACTATTAATAACTTAAATGTCCTTTCAATTATAGGCTATCATCATCATGCGAAATATAATAATTGCAGTAAATCAACATTTTAATTAAGAAACAATAATAATAAATTATTAAAACATTACATAATAACCACTGAAATTGACATAACTAATAACGTTATAGCAATTTAACATTTCAATATAATTCAAAGTTTTAAAATGTCACAGAATTAAATTATTATATATGTATATGTATATATTTTATTTTATTATAGTTATTAAAAAAAAAAGCATTATGTGTGTCATTTTAAAAAGGCCAAAATGTTTTTCCTAAATTGTACCAACTTGTCGTGGCATATGTCTAAATCATTTATTTCTTTAGAAATGTTATTATATAATGTCACCATTCGGGGTGATGGTGAGTTCTTACCTAAATGAGTCCTATATGTTGCAACTTGAAATAAAATTCTATTCAAAAGAGAAAGAAAAGAAGTTTGTAAAAAACATCAATGATAGGATTTTTCTTCTGTTTTCAAGCCTGCAAACGCTAAAGTAGTTTAACCTCTCATTATAATCTTTAAGGTTTGGTTTAAATATAAATGATAATTTCCGCAAGAAACGCTTTTGAATATTTTAAATCCTTGTGATATGATTTTTTTTTATAAGGTGACCGGATGTTATTACAGTATTCTAGTTTACTACGTACAAGACTGTTAAAGATCATAAAAACGGTTTCTGTTTTCTTGAAGTCTTTAGTGCAGCGCATAACAAAACCATATCGGAACTCACTTGTTCATGATCCTGTGTACGACGGGCCAGGCTTCCTTGAAGGCGGGCAGACAGGGGTGCGGCTCGGAGGGAGGCGTGGCCACGTCCACGTCCCGGAACAGCGCCGCCAGCCGGTCCAGCCACAGCATGGGGTCGGCGGTGGTTCCCTTCCGGACCTCCGTTGACGGAGCGTCCAGCAGGCGCACGAGGCCGGCCAGCTGCACGGCCGTGGCTTCGCTCATGGCTTCGGCGAGTCTGTAGGGCGGCAGGCGGCCCACCGCGGCGGCCAGGGCGCGGAGCAGCGTGGCGGCGGCCGGAGCGGGCAGCTGCAGCTCGTCGGCGCGGCGCACCACCGTCAGCAGCTGGCCGTAGTGCTGGGCGGCGTCGGAGCGGCACGCGCGGCATATGCTCTGCAGGGCGGCGGCGGCGGCGGGGGCCAGCGCGGGCCGCGGCAGGGCTCGCACCAGAGCGTCCAGACAGGCGGGCAGGCAGGCGGGGTGTCGCTGGACCCACTCGCACAGCTCGCCCAGCAGCGCCAGGCACGTGCGGCGGACCGCCTCGTGCGCGGTGTCTGGCATCGACAGGATCGCCTCCACCACCTTCGGTACATACTCGTACTCCTCGCTATGAATTGAACGAGTGTGAATGTTCAATCATAAATAAAAATTGGTATTCATCAAACATTTTGGGACTGATTCATTAAATGACAATACAATTCCCCGAGTCCCATGGGACCTCTAGTACTCACGGTAGTATATTTTTCCCAACAGCCTGCATAATGAATAGTGCAGCCTCAGTCTGCTCCCAGGGCAGGTCGGCCTGCAACACTCCAAACATCTTTCTGAACACTGAGCTGGAGCCCACTATAAATACTACGTCTTTGATCAACTCCATCACTTTCACTCGGAATTCCTGCAACAGTAGAAGATATTCATAAGGGAATTTGAAATAAATGATTTAGCTTTATCTTTTTACTTACATAAAACTCATCCCCTTCTTGTGGCAACTGTGTGAGATCAGGTTCATACTGGCAGTGTCTCGCTAAAGCCTCAATCAGTCTCTCAATATGAGGTTTGAAGGCATCTGTGAAGGGTTGATAGTCTCTCTCATAGACCTCCTCCGCTAAACAATACCAGACATTGAATGTGATCTCCGCTACCTGTTGATGACGGTCAACATAACATTTAAAGTTATATTAAGGTAAATTTTAGTTTGATAGAAATAATGACTTGTGGTTTCTTAGTCAACGGTAAAATTACTGTAAGATGCAGTCTCTGTGCTCTTATCAAATATAATAGAAACATTTTTGACTACACTAGTTTTATATTATAAAATACTTAAAAACAATATTGTATCCAATTATTAAATGTCCATTGGTAATATGAACACAACACTCACTTCATAGTCATGATGGCCAACACAGGTCAGAGCCAACTCTAAAGCCCTCATAGCATAGTGTGGCGAGCCGTTGGCCGTATTGATAATTATAACATGTAAGAATGTCTCGGCCAGCTCCGTAAACACTCTGGCATAGTTTGCTGCTTTTTCCTCTTCCTCCTGAGCTACGGCCATATGATAACTTTCCTCTAGGGAGGCAACACTATCAAATAACAGTTTTTTAACATCATCGTCACAATTACTGTTCTCTAAACAATGCAGTATAGCACACACACAGTCGGATGCTGCATCATGTAAAATGTTTATAGAATTGTGGTCTTTTAACACTTGTAGGCTGAAACCTATGATGGCATTCTGCGGCACTTCTTGTATGTTCATGGCCCCCGCTTGTATCCAGGATGTCATACACTTCACTATTTTTAATGCCACATGAGAACTTTGGGAATTATTAATACACTCTTTAAGAAAAAACGATACTATTTGCGAGTTAGCTCGCAGTTCTTGTTTGATTTCTTCCCGTCTGTTCTCACCGAGTTTCAAACTGGACGAGTCGATTTCCTGAGGTAGGACTGTCAATACTTCTAGTAATGCAAATTCATTTTTACTTGAGAACAGTTTTATAAGATCATTGACACAGTTCTGCCACGATGTAAGTTGGAGCGCCAGGTCGGCCAGGGCCAGGGACAGTTGAGTGAGGATGGCGGGCGTCACGTCCGAGGAGATGCCTTCCAAATGACTGATCAGAGAATCTCTCAAAGAAATCTGAGCCTCCTGTGGCAGCTCTGACAGACTGTGTTGTACCTTTGATCTCATCGTCTGCGCCGCAAAATAACATGATTTTACGTCTTTTTTCTGCTGCAACAGTTGATCTGCTATTTTCCATGAGTGTATCTGCAACGAAAACGTGGGTAAAATTTAGGCAATTGTCAAATGACAAGCTATTAGAGGCTTTAAGTTTTTAATATAGGTTTAATACATGAAAAACTTGTAAATACATACTAACCGATTTTTGAACGTCTCCCAACCAAAGTGAAGCCTTTTCTTTTTCCGATGTATTAGGGTTATCATACAAGGCACTGATGGCCTGATAAATAGTTTCCATTGAAGGCGAATCCATAGTTATAAATTACAAATATCTCAGACTCCTGTGAAAATATACGAATGAAAGCCCAACATATTCTACTCCAAATTAATATCAATACAAAATATAATAAAGTGAAAACTGAGAGGAATCAAACAACGTCAAACGACAAACGAACAAATTATTTTTTTTAATAATTTTTGCACAGATAAAAAATATATCGCTCTGAAAGAATTATGTTAAAGTATTTTCAAATTTAATTATATTAATAACAGCGTTTTTCTGAGTCTAGTAAAACGTAACTTTACATTTATTTTTATATTTTAAAAAATATTTATATTTTAGAGTACCGTATTGTGATAAATGAACGTTTAATACTTTAAAGTGTCTAAATTATTTAAAATTTTTAACTTAATAGATAATTTGTATAATGTTTGTCACATAATAATAGATGCACCTTTTCAATTTTTTCAAAGCTCTCGCTGCTGGTTTGTTAGACGACCTCAGTGTTTTGATACTGAACATGTCTTTTTGGACATGGGTTCCGTTTTTCGGCCCTATAATTGTAATTAGTGGTCTGATATTTTTTTAAATAAAAATTAGCCCCGGTAACTAGGCTATATAATAAAAAACCTCAACGTGATCTGATATTCGGTTGACGAGATCATCTAAGTAGATGAATGACCTGAGTGGCCAGTCTAGCGTTCAACTAACTTTGCCCACTTACCTCAATTAAATCCATTAAAATTTACTCAGTCACTTAGAAGGATACAAAATATTTTTATTACTTTGATCTAACTTTGAAAAAATGTCTTACTTCTTACAATTGCTATGATAAAAAACTACATTAACTTTATATAACCGTCGTAACGAATTGATTATAAATGTTTCAACCTGTGGACGGATTTATCAAAACGACTATTATTTTAGAAACATCTCGGTCTATATCAAGCCTTATAACACCAAAACAATGAAATTTAATTATTTTAAGTGCTTGCAAAGATTTTATAAATAAACACCATTTTTACGTTCTGTTCAAAGCATAACATTGTTATAATTGTATTAGTTGCAAATAGAGCAGCTGTTTATTTTATTTTTCACTTTATTTTTACTCTACAGAACGTAAGTCACTGTCAATATATGGTGAAGGTTTTATTAGGAAAGTCAATCGATTCAAAGATAAAAAATTAATAAGAAATCAGTCAAATACAAATGTTGCTCACGACTGCGTCAATTATTCGAGGTGTTTCTGCATTAGCGAAACAATCGTCAAGTAGAGCGCTACACACCACTCTTTACGCTATGGCTCCTATTAAGGTAAATATTTAATTAAGGGCTCGAAAACATTATATAATAGGCAAACTAACATTTAAAACGTACAGGTCGGTGACAAACTGCCGTCGGTAGATTTGTTTGAAGATTCGCCGGCAAACAAAGTGAATATATGTGATCTTACTTCGGGTAAGAAGGTTGTGTTATTCGCGGTACCCGGCGCCTTCACGCCGGGATGTTCCAAGACGCATTTGCCAGGATACGTGCAGAATGCGGAGAAACTCAAGTCAGAGGGGGTGGCGGAGATCCTCTGTGTGTCCGTGAACGATCCCTACGTCATGGCAGCTTGGGGGGCCCAGCATAACACAAAAGGAAAGGTGCGTCATTAGTCCGTTCTCTAAGTTGTTAAAACTTATTTATTATTAACTTATTTTAATTATCCAATTTCAATTTATTTCAAAACGTGATTCAAAATGATTCTAATTTTTAAGAAACCAATGTTACAATATACTAAGTTATATTTTATTTCATACATATATTTTCAACATCATTCATTATTGATAAGGTTTGTTTCCAAGCACCAAGTATTGGTTGACCTTTAACTTGCTTGCATGTTTGATAATATCTTTACATAAATTATAAGACTCTTCATAGATTTGTATACAAGTAAATATTTATTAAATCAATTTGCTTTAATTATTTTATTGCTATAATTTCCATTCTTGTCACCAGGTCCGCATGCTAGCTGACCCAAGTGGCAACTTTGTCAAAGCTCTTGACCTTGGAACAAATCTTCCACCACTGGGAGGTTTACGTTCTAAAAGGTTCTCAATGGTCATTGATGATGGTAAGGTTGAAGAACTGAATGTGGAACCCGATGGAACTGGTCTGTCCTGCTCCCTCGCCGATAAGATCAAAGTGAAGAAGTAATCATAGCTACTATTAGAAGTAACGTCCCAATCAGACAATCATCACACCCTTAATGTAATGCCTTATATAGTTGTGGCAGCACCCCTTGTGATATGAGTGTGTATATATTATATGCCTTTAAAATATTATATATTTACTTGTTTTATTTACAATCTAGTATTCCTAACAACAATAATACTAAATCTTGTTAGTATAAACAACATTTTTAAGAAAATATAATATTTTTACACAATGGCAATCGTAATTGGTTTTTAAGAGTAGACTTTAACTGGAAAATAGTAATTTATTTCTTGAAAACTATTTGCTAATTTGTATCATATAACAGTATTTTATAAGGAAGTAGCTGTTCAATAATCATTATCAGTATTATATATAAGTTCTCGTTAATATTAGTTTCCACTTCATTAGCTGTCCAAGATAAACTTTCAATAGTTACATTGTGCCTTCATTATTTCCTGTTGTGACAGTGACAATGCAATCTATTTTTCTAAGTCAGTGACTGTGAACAGCCTTGAAGAATGATAGTGGTGGGTTGTTCTAGTATAGATGATGGTTGGTTAACATATGTTCGGAGGGATTGTTTATCACGTTTTATCATCACACTGCTTGCCATTATCAAGTAGTCGAACGGATACCTTCGGTTTCCTCCCTCGGAATCGCGTAATGGAATAGACTTCCTTCAGTTGTATGAGATCTGTTGCGTGTATTTTGGTTTTTTTTAGGCGAGTGACTTTACACAGAAGCTATGTGTAGTTTGTTGTTCAAGTTTTTGTGTCGTCAACTATATTATGGCTTAATAAGTTCACTAAGCCATGAATTACGTTTAGTAACTTGATGAAAGGTTAATAATGCATTTTTATGAAAAGTCCAAGAAGCTATGAATTTCGTGGTCCAAGTGTAACTCAATATGGAGAGGATGACCTTGGCTGCTTCGATGTACGTTATAGCGGATGGAAAATAACAGGTCACGCTTGGTGACGCAAAACTATGGCCTTGCATAAGGTGCACCTGAATAATATTAGGATGTAGTAGGCTTCCTTATATTGAGACCATTCCTATATTTTATCTCCCTTAAAACTTCTGCCGGTCTTCTATTTTGAAACTTTACTGTTATTACTATCAATGTTTCTTCTAACCATCGCTCAATACACTCCAAGGAAGCTCTAGTACATATATAATATATATGGTTATTTTAATATAAGTTGAGAACTTTAAGCATTCGACATGTTCCATAAGGACATTAGGTACGTTTTTCGTAAGAAGGTATTTTGGCCTCGCAGACGAGGTTACTAAATTGGCGAAACAGCTTAAATAGTTTTTTTTGCATAGTGGCTTACTTGAAACATATTATGCTTAAAATATAACAGCCAAAACAAGCAGGAGCACATTCCCGACACTTCAAGAGACTCCTAAATATTAGTAACTTTTCGTCGCAGCGAGATACATGTAGGTATAGTACTTAGTACTTTATAAATAGGTATAGTACTTAGTACTTTATAAATCTATTTAAAACCTCAGAACAAATCTTCATTCATTCTCCATGTTAGGATTGCTACCGGTCTCCTTAGTACTATTTACATTTATGAACATTTTGATTTGGTCACAACTTGATACTTTCAAAGCTTAGAAAACTATGAATCTATCGTACCTATATTAAGTTCTGTTTATAATTTTTACTTCAATTCTGTATATTTCTCTTCCTCTGTATATTATTATCTGAGATATAAGTATGTCTTCAAATTATTTCCCAAAATTTTAGAGTAGAACCCCTCCCTAGCAAAAAAGTAATGACTGTCTTACAATTATTAAGATGTAAGATTTTCGCGAGTACTCATTTAAATGAAACTAATATTATCGGATTTTTTCTATTGATTACGGTTTATACAGTAAGATTTTTTAATTATAGTTCTTTGTACCATTAGTCAAAATATTGCAAAGAACACTAAATACTACAAAGAAACACAACTTTTTAATATTTTGTTTTAAATTCGGGTTGACTACATTTTTAGCTATTTTTCATTACTTTTTAGAATCGCAAATTATTAAATTAATCAATAAAATAAAATAATAACAAAAAGTATTGATTTAATAAATTTACATTTGACTTTAAATAACAAAATTCTGTAGTTGTCGAAGTTGGAAGAAATGTGTTGTTTCAACAGAAAATACAAAGCCTGTAGGTATGTCCTTCACAATATTGATTAAAAGACTTTTCTACTTCATTACATATTAATCATATAAATACTGTGTGAACCTCCGTCTTGCTGACTTATGGACACAAGAAACGTGTTCTTTACTTTCTCTTTGTCTTTTGAAACCAAAACTGTGTTTTGTTTCTTCTGCTCCTGAACCAATCATTCTTGTTGATATAACCTACTGAAGATGATTTAGATTTACCTCGTGAAAGATTACACATCAAACTTACACGAGGGTCTTTAAGCAATATTTAACGTTAGAATTCTTTGGCAAGATTGGTAAGGAATTTTTTGTATCTAATTTCTTTGTATCCAATTCCTTTGTAATAAATATCTTAAAGACATGGAAATATGTATATGAAAATGTGTACCTAAATAAATTTTATCAGAGATGTTCACATTCAAACTAGTTGGGGATTACCTGCCACAAATATCACTAAAGACGAAAACAAAATTCAAGTTTTTGGGAATAACAGTAGATATAAAAAGACAAGAATTGTTACCTTATAATAGATTGTGGAACGAGTTGATATACTTAGTTCTCATAAAATTATTTCTTATATATTTTTTATGTATTTTTAGTAAATAATTTATAATAATAATGAAAGAAACAAAACTTTTCTCATGTACATATTTAGAAACTAACTTGTGAATATCTGTAAGCAATAAATAACTATTGATTATCTTGGAATCAAATAATAATGTCTCATATTTTCAAGGGAAAAATTTAAATAAATTTATGATTACTGCAAATGATTTTATGTGAGATTTGTTTTTTTAGCTCTGGCACTGATTTTTCTTTTTGTTATAACAAGCCACAGTAATAATCAAGTTTATATACACCATCTCTTTGTAAAGGAAGTTATATGAGGAATAATAGAAATAGAAATATATAGGAAGTTATAGGAATAGCTACTGATCTTAATTGGTCTTAGCAATTGGCTAACTTTTTGTTTGGTTTATATATTGTTTTAATGGAAACCCTGGTCAAAATGTTGTTTATTCCAATACTAGCATACTGTGAGTAAGATAAAATTATTTTTTGGATGCTGGCGAGGCACGGGCAGTTTGTTGTGATGTTTTACATGATGCAGTTCGGCCTCTAGATCGTCAGTGACCCAAGTCCCAAAGGTCTTCTGAAACAAAGACTTCCCAACAGTTTATTACTTTATTTATTAATAATTTTTTTATTAAAATAAAAGTTCGTTACTTCGTTTTTATAATTAAAAAAACTTTCAAGTTCTGATTTAGATATTACAATCTATAAAAATATATAGTCGTTAAACTTGAATAAGTAATCTTCTAGATGTTTCGATGTCTAATCCTCAAAATTAATTAAGAACAATCACTTCAAATATATAATTGTATTTTTCTTATCGAGCATACTTTTATTAAGTCTTGGCATGCAAACGACCATAATAAAAATATGAACTTAACGAAAAAAGATATCTTAATTATTATTGAACTGAGCACACGAAAAAAAGTGTAACAACAAATGTTCCTAGTTTTGCATGAATTATATAGGGTGGCAACCGGAGGTTCCAGGAAAACTACGAAACATACTTATATGTATATTAAAATACGAATTACATATTAAAACTTATAACCTATACCTAAGACTACATGATTGCCCCGATGTTAGGATGACAATGCATTCTATTTCTATTGCTTGTGTGGTATGTGGAATCTTCTGGCTCATACGGCTTGGTGTTGATTCCGCGGAGTCAGCGGCGTCACTCGTTATACGATATTTTACCGATACAAAGATTGCGCCCCGGCGATGTTCATTTTTTTTCTTCATTTGTAGCGCGTACGTAACACATGGTAATCAAAATAATATAAATGATCACGATTGATAAACACGAAAATGTTGATCACATTAAGTAAAGATTTATAGAAGTAACAAAATATTAAATTTTGGTATCACAGATACTGATATAAAAATAAAAAACTTTTAGTTTTTTATTTTCTATTTTTATAGTCAGGATGAATGTGGCAATTTATCCGGTGGCCGTAAATTATTATCAAATAAAAACTACAATGGACGTGATATTTTGAACGCCGTATAGTGCGTTTGATTTAAGCTGAGCTTTGCATTTGTATGGGTGCACACGGATAGTGTAGGTGTGATGTCAAATTTTTTAATGCCACCTTTTTTTCCGCACTCCAGTCTTTGTACTGGTAGCAACGTCAAATATTGAAATCGCAATATCAAGTGACGAAGAAAATGTAAAGTTTTTTTTTAAATTTAATTAATTAATTATATTTTTCGACCTAGCCTTTAACAAGTTTTGCTTATTTGAGTCTAATTCTAGAATAGCTCTTACACTTACGTTATGTAAAAAAATTAATTTTATATAATAAAATTTAGTTCTAAAAGGTTTTTTCTAACTATATTTTTACTCTCACTCATACAAATGCTCAGTTTAAGTCTAACGGACTATATCTAATACCTACTTTGAAAATGAATCTATCTATATGTATAAATCTTTATTATGATAACTAGAAGACCTGGCGAACTTCGTATCGCCCTATAATCAAGAAATATCTATTACGTTTTTTTATTTTTATTTTTGGAGTTTACTTGTAAGCCACAAATCTCCGTGTTTTGAAGTGCGACAGAATGATTGACGTATTAGTTAGTTGTCAAATCTAATGTCAAAAAAAAAACGTTTGTATGGGAAATAGAAAAGGGCTATTTTTATGGTTTTCCCAGTAATGAATCAATTTTTTTCAGCTTTTATACTTTAGCTGAACCTCCACGAACATTTCAAGACTAAGATAAGATAAATCCGTTCAGCTGTTCTCGAGTTTTAGCGAGACTAAGGAACAGCAATCCATTTTTATATAAAGAGTAGTTTTTGCCCGCGACTTCGTCCGCGTTAATTTCGTCATTAGTAACATAGGTATAGCTGACCGGGCAAACTCTATTCCGTCTTCAATAACCCGGTATTGGTATTTATTAAATTTCTACTGTTTCAATCGAACAGAATGATTGACATTTTAATTAGTTGTCAAGTCTAATGTCAAAAAATCGTTTGTATGGGAAATAGAAAAGGGCTGTTTTTAGGATTTTCCCGGCAATTTTTCCATTTTTTCTCACCTTTTAAACCTTCCCTGAACTAGCGGGAGTATTTCAAGACTAAAATTAGCCAAATCGGTTCAGCCGTTCTCGAGTTTTAGCGAGACTAAGGAACAGCAGTCCATTTTTATATATATAGAAGATAACATTATGTTTCTACACTCATCTGTTTTAAAAAAGCTTATGGATAAGGCATACTTTAATATTATGTTGAGCAGACAATATCTGGTTACCGAGCTTTGCGCGGTATTTAGAAATTATTAGTATTTTTTAAATTTCCCTTGGGCGTTTTTAAGTAAACACGTTAAGAAGACATAAAACAATATAAATCGACAATTAATTTCTTAGTCTAACCTTAAAACAAACCCTCATCGACTTTATATTGCTTAACAGCGCCATCTGCTGTTGAGTCCTTAAAGCAATTAGTAAAAGCAATTAGCAAAAAGTAGTATTACTATTCGCCAATAGATGTCAGGAAGACGATTTCGAGATACCAATTTATATATATAAAAGAATTGCTCATTTATAGATTTAAGATTCAGTACCTACTCTAGAATACATATACGAATAGAAAAATATTTAGATAAAACATTAAGCTTCGTTTTATTATTTTTAAATACAATATTATTAAGCCCAAATTTGTACCGTCCTTTTACATTTGGATGTTTAACAGATTTTTATTTATAAATATTTTATTTTTTTCGTAGGTTATTGAAGGAGAAACGGATGATATGTTTATAAATGAAGCATTCGTAAATCGTACATTCTACAAATTATTTTGCTTAACGTTATTATGTTTGTGAAATAATTTGAAATGAAATACATAAATTACAAAGGAAAAAAATGTAGATGGTTTTAGTCACTTCAGAATTAACGAGACATTGTTGATGACATCCTAATCAAAGAAAAGCAGCGTCTCGTCAATAACATGTATAGGTTAATAAACACACAAATTTTTCTGTTCACAAGACGAGGTTTGAACGTTGACATTGCGTCGGAGTGATGATTAAGGCTCAGTCCTTAATTTGGAAAAGTAATATATTAAGAACTATCAAAACTTTTTAGGCCTCAAAGACTTTAATGAATAGTTACTAATTTGTATTTCAAAGAGGAGAATTAATTTAAACATGTTTTAGTTTTGCTGTAATTTTTAGCAATCCTTGCAAATGATGGTTTTTGCAAAAATTTTGCGTTGACATCTGTCAGGCGTGACGTATGTACATGATACAAAGTATTACATATTATATGGGTGTAGCAATTGTTGTTTGTTTTCCTAAAAACTATGTAATAATGACTAAAAGTCCGTATTATGTTTAACAAAATAAACTACTGTGGTAATGTTTTTATTTTGTTAACTCTCATTTATATAACCAGATTAGTTTTAAGTGAGATATTTGAAGATAATATATCTGAAGTTGACGAGTGGCTCGAACAAAATGATCTCGGGGAATATAAGAAATTATTCAAAGATCTGGGTAAGTAGACTAATGAAAGAAGTAGGCATATTTGTTTTGGTTTAATACTGAGCTTCATACCCTATGTCTGATAGATAATAGTCTAATTTACATGTATGAATACTAGATAAATATTGTAACAACAAACACAAATATTTGTATTTTTGTATAAAAAGTGAACAATCTAAATTAAATTGAAAATTATATTGAAATTTTATATTTGAAATGGAATATATCTTGTACATATGAAGTGTAATCACAGGGTTTTAATAAAATAAAATTGAGACTGATGTTTCTGATAGAAAATTAATTTTCATTTAATTGTTTGTAGAAAAATGTATGTGAAATAAAAAATACAAATGCTCAGCCATTCAAAGCTTCTAATCTTCTTTAAGTTCTTACAGTGAGTAAGCTTGCAACTCATAACATATATGTACTATAATTGTTCTTATAATTTAAAACAAAACTGAATGTTATATATTATCACTTAAAAACAAAAAAACTTTAAAAAAATTATCTTTTTTTTTAACGGCATCATTCAAAATTAAATGTTTATAACTATACATATATGTACGGCTCGATTCCAATACAAATAAAGTAGATTTTCCGTTGGTCATATTAAAGTATTTGCACAAGATTTGCTCCGGCATGTTCAGGGACCACATCAATCAGTATATAAATATAATGCAACAACAATTAATAATGTTCCTCATTTAATTCAAATATCAAATTGACCAGTCCGACTCGACCTCTCAGTGTAAGATCTAGTTTAGCCCATTAAATAATATAATTGTTAAAATAGTTTTTAATTCTGATAATTTTTGCAAAAAATTATTCATCTTCATACTAATAATTTGTCATTCATTTAATTCATTGTCTAGTTTTAATTATCCTTCAGTAGCTCTATAGTTGGTTGTTGAATTGTTTTTTGTTTTATTGTCACGCCATAATTGCGGTACATCAGAAAAGGTTCTATGTTGACTAGCTCCACAGTGACGTCACTTCCACCCCCCCCACCCTCTAGTTCCGGCGGGGGTGTTTCCCGCCCGATCTCGCCCAAAGGCCGTTAGTCCTCAGTCGCGCCGCAACCTTTGTGTTGCGAGGACACCTCCAACTATATGCATATCCTTGTACATCATTCACTGTAAACTATTGTCAATGTAATGTGATAAATAATATATAATTTATATCAACTATCGTGTTTTATCGCTAGGGAAGATCGGGAGCGTACCTTGTATGTAATAGCTCGTATAATTTAGTCGGAGAGCACAAAGGCGGTGTATATTACAGTAGATCTATATTAGAGTATCAAATATGTGGCAGTTCGAGGATTCTGAGATCTGTTCCATAGGGATGATCCATCCTTCCAACAGCAGACACTCGGGCCTGTCGCTGCTGTCCGGCATGTCCACCTTCTCAGGTAATGACGTCAGGTCACTCTATAACTGGCCATTGTATGAGACACAACTTACTTATTATATGATCATGTAAAGAAAATAAGCTTCAGAAGCTGTCAGGTTCAATTCACCAATTCGTTCGCTTACTACCAGTTGTCATCGTCGCACTGCATACACGGCGTTAATAGTTTTTTATTTATTAATATAAGAAAGTTATAGTATTAAAGGAGGCTATTGAATGAGAAACGGGAGACTTGTCGTGTGTAGTGTGATGATACAAACTTGTGCTAAACGTACGAGTTTCGATTGTTATTGATTTTCTAATAAAATCGGATTATTTAGTGTTGTTGCTTTTTAGGAATAAACGTATTAATTGTATATTTTTATTTTAAATTAACTGTTTTAATAATAATAGATTACTCAAATATCTATGAAGTTTATCTTCGTAAAGTTTTTAATATGATTTCGTTTATTGTATTAACTTCTAGGTCTCAATGTACTATATATTAAAAACCATAATAAATATTGGTATACATACCATATATTCGTCTGTATATAAAGTTTATATCTCGATGTTTGAAGCGAGCGAATATTAATTTATCATTGAAAGTTTGTGAATTGTACTCTTAATACGAGTGCGTATTACGTACATACGAAGAGATTCATGTTTTTCATTCAATAACTTAGGTAAAGATACGCGAAGATTTACGAACGATAAAGTATTGACGCCCCGTACGGAGTTTGACGTGTAGACTAATGGTAAGCATACCAATCGAATTGATCGATATTTAGTTGATTTTAATTTTCGTATATCGTCCTAAATTTTTTTCTGATATGTCATTATATTTATTAAAAAACACGAAACTCATCTATTGATTACTTAATATATGTATGAACTAAAAATAGCAAGTTTTCATTGACAGGACCTCTTAGTAACTCCACTGAGACACTGAACTCACACATACATATATGTCATATAATGAGATCTAAGATTTTCGCGAGTACACATTTAAATGAAAGTAATATTTTCGGATTTAACTTCGCGTTTACGATTTAAAACGCGAAGTTAAATCCGAAAATATTAGTTTCATTCATATATGTCATAATCTATTATTGTATAAAATATTGTTCAACCCACACACATACACACACACATACATATATGTATATGTATAGTGTCGTGTAAAATTGTCTATTTTTAAATATATACAAATGTATTTTCTTTTTATGTAATTTTTTTTATTTTAATTTGTTTAGTAACTAGTTTTTGCCGGGGCTTTGCTCTTGTATTTAACCCCTTTGCGTTGAATGTCATTCCTCTTATACGGTCATATTCGATTTCTCTTAAATCACTGAAAAACATTGAAAATCAGGCTATAATTAAAGAAGTCAAGTTCAATTGAAATTTTTCTCTTATGTTACTATCTATCTGTGATTGCGAGTTGTCTCAAATTTAGTTCAACATTTAAAGAGATTAGCTAGAACAAACAAACAGAGATACAGACAAAGTATATAAGAATATTGTTCCATACGAGTTTAGTGCAAAAAATATTTATTTTAAATTACATTCCGCAGTACATATAAAATGTATTATGATATAAAACATAAGTAGCAGTGTTGTATTAATCTATGTCGACTTACTTAGCAGGTATTAAATGTAAGTCATTTTATTTACTCGTCGAGTGCGGTCGAGGGTGGTCGAGGGTGGTCGAGGACGGTTTATTTTCAAAGGTTGACTCAATGATGCATGAACTTGACCTCTTTACTTTCATTGTTTGGTAACAAATTTTAAAGGCACTCGAGCCGCTCTTAGCACGGACTCGGGAGCTTTACGACCAGACTCACAGACATACAGACGGTCTAGTAGTACGAGACTCATATACAATATGTTGAGAATACATTTTTTTAACATAAATATCCCACAAACATATTAAGTATTTAATTTTTTATACATTACAGCGAGCACACCCGACAATCTAAATTTACTTTATAAAACGTGTGCTTTTAAATTTTGTAGAACAACTATAGAATTAATGTTTCAAAGTTAATTAAGTCGTTGATAATATTTAGGGTTTAAATACTAAGTAATTATTAGTTATAAGACGTTTAAGTCATTTTAGTAGTTATGAATAATATCACTAACAAACAATTAGTTTCCAGTTACAAGTAAAGCACCTTATACATGTGGAACGAACTGTTTTTTTTTAATAAGGCGATACTTTTTGTGTATCTCCGTTGTGTCCGGGCGGGTCCCGGCCTACTCCGGGGCCTGCCACGCTAACCCCGGGGCCGGTCGTAGGCCCGGTTCCCGCGTCCCATTTACGGCAACAAGTGCATCGATTGCGTAATCCGTTATTGCACACATCGCTGACAATATTGACTCCACCATCCTCGCTCCTGAATTACATGACTCCTAACTTGTTCATTGTTTAACAATATATGTAAGTGTAACACATTCAATATTGAATGTTGTGTAATTTAAATGTCTTCGACAAAATTATGTCGGGTTTAATCTAGATTTTCGATTAGACGATGAAAACTACCATAGAAATATAAAAGCACTGAGGTGAATGGTTCAAGTACAGTCAACATACAAAGTTAGGAATGTTATCAGTTAAGAAATTTAATAATAAATCATCAATAAGATTATTATAGTTGCTAATTTTTATAAACAAATGTGATTGATAAATTCTCACAACACGTTTACATATTTAGTTAATTTAAGTTCACATTTTTTTGTTATATATAGGTGAGAACATTAATCTGCCTTTTTTTTTTTTTTTTTTTGTTATCGCGGTGAAAGGTTTTATACCTACCCCTCCGTCTAGGGGAGACAGAGGCGGTTATGTGGGATTCACGGCCAGAAGAGCCCATGTTACCCACTAAAACACCAGCGGTCACTCTCCGTTGCCGCCAAGTGGATCGCTACGGGAAACGCCGAAGCATGCATCCGCGACGATCCGGCGGCGGGCCGCGAACGGCCACCTCCCCCCCCGAGGGCTCACTCCAAGTGACCAGGAGTGTCCCCCCGCCTGGCGGGCTTGCTTAATCGCGAGAGGGTTAACCCCTTACCCCTCCCACCCAAGCCCACGCGGCCAGTCTCCAACCACCCACCGACGAGCGCAAGCGCCCGACGGCAGACAGAGAGGAAACCGGCCGACCACAAGCGAACTCAGGCCTCCGGAGAGACCCGAGTATCCCCTCCCCCCCAAGACAGCCACGGACGGCCTCCTGCCAGATCCGTGACCGTCTTACTCCCAGGGCTGTACCCCCAGCCCTCCCCCCCGTGACTGATTGCACCGGAATACACCAGTGGGCGATGGGGTCGTCACGTCCCGACGCCGGACTGCGCCGACAGTGGCCGAGGCCACCCGCCAACACGTAGGGCCGAACTTGGCAGCGGCGGTGTACACCGCCGAGCCTCGTCCTACCCACCTCCATGGGCTGCACCCCCAGCCCGGGCCAAGACCCCACGAGGAGGTCAAGGCCCTTCCCCCCCGTGACTAATTGCACCGGAATACACCGGTGGGCGATGGGGTCGTCACGTCCCGACGCCGTTACATTAATCTGCCCTTAAAGTGTCGTTAAGCTGGTTTGAAATTTAAAAGAAATTATTGATTCTTAATATTGTATTCATAACCTTATTCAACAATTTCTTATCTACAAGAAACCTTATCCTAGAAGTTTCATAACTCAAGGGTTGCCAAATAATTATTATCAGACAATACGAGTATATTTGTTTATATGTATTTTCTCGTGAGTTTCTCAGTCTATAATCTGTTCCATACAGGTCGCAGTATACTTTCATTACTTCTTCACTAAAAGACGAAACCTCTCATCATTCAACATATTCACGGTGCGTGTGCCGGGTTCATCGTTGTAGTGAGAGGAGCTTCAACAGTGACTGGGACTTGCGACCCAGGTGTAGGTTTAAGGAGTCCCTATCTAACGCGCGTTAAACGCTCAGTAATATCGTATTTATCCGAAATATTTTCTTATTCCTTTTCTTAGACTATATGATGTGTTCTTCGTTTTCTGGAATTGTAGTTATAGATTTTTTCTATTCTAATAATTGTTTATTATGAATACGAATTGAAACTCTGAAATATCAAGCTGCAAATGTATATTGTTGAAAGACTACTAGAAGTTCTCTGTAATGTTTCACTTCATCAAATTCAAAGTCTGTAATCGATTATTACAATGTCATCTGTCTAGTGATCGTCGAAGGTTTTATAAAATTATGTATTGATTTGAGTTCCAAATATTTGTATACATACATAAAGTTAAAATAATAAAACAGCATCGGCACCAGGATAGGAGAGGTCTTATAGAGGTTATATAGAGGTCAAACTATTAATCTGCTGTCACATCACTTTTTACCTTATTGACAACTTTTTCACATAAATCATGACAATTGAAAAAGTATATGAAAACATGTTATGATTGAGGTGAATGACCACACAAACGAATATTTTCAGCTTAAAAAGTTTCAAATTAAAACCTACTGCACCATAAACTTGTCGTGTTTAATCTTTGTAATAACTTAACAATCCGCCAACTATTTAATTCCTTAGTTCGTGTTTTAAACGAAAACTAACAGTGAAGATATTATCTATTTCTTTCTATCGTTCATTGGAACTCTGAAACCAAAGAAGACACGCTATAAAACTTTACCAATCAAAAATGATGTCGTAAAACCAAAACAACAATTATATTGTTCCAAAGTTTTACCAAAATCAGCCCTCGAATTGTTTATCTCTATAAATGTATAAGCATTGCTTTCACTCGTCCCTGGCAACCTTTCAAGTCGCTGCTTGGACAATAAATTACAAGATGTTATCTAATTTTCTTAACTTAGTTTTTATTAAGTAAATGTTTAATTCAAAACAAACCATAGTTAATTATAATCACAGTTGTGTAGCTTATTCATATTATTTATTTGTTTTTAACCAATGATCAACTATTTCGCTACATATAATAATAAATTAATAGCTTGACTTGTTCATGTAAATATTGGATCGTGAAACAATATTTCGCTTCCATACATGTGTCAAGGAAATTAAAATAGATTCAGGATGAGGAACAGGAAACGGAAGTCCCAGATGAAGGATAGATTTATCTTCGACTAGCTTTTGCCTCGGCTTCGTCCGCGTGGAATAGTTACTTCCGACAGATTTTTGGTTATTCCCACATAGTTCCCGTTCTTGCGGGGTTTTCGGAATGGTCGAGTTCCCGTAGAATTTTCAGGATGAAACCTATGTTTATTTTATTAATAATGAAGTACTCTTAACCAACAACATATTTATTTGTTTATATGAATAAAGATTAATATTATTATGTTGATACAACTTAAACAAATTATTTCGACAAAATTAGGTACCATAAAAACGGTTTTTGTGAGCTAATCTTAAAAAATAGACATATACTGTCGCGGACTGTTTTTTTAGATCATTAAAAGACTATTACTCTTTAATACATATTTTTTGTGTATCTTGAACCGTTTTCACGGCGCACGCAACGGAAGGCTTCAAAGATGAAATAATTTCTCCCGTTTTTTACACATTTACCACTATATCTTTGCTCCTATTGGTCGTAGCGTGATGTTATATAGCCCACAGCCTTCCTCGATAACTAGACTATCCAACACAAAAAGAATTATTCAATTCGAACCAGTAGTTTCAGAGATTCAACTTATTTCTTATTATTATATATTCTTATTATTATCTATTCGAATCAGTACTTTCAAACAAACAAACAAACAAACAAACTCTTCAGCTTTATAATATTAGTATAGATATGCCATGTTACAGACAGGATCAGTAGGGTAGTTCTTGAGCAAAGAGAGATAGAACGGATGAAACATGACTTTAGTAACCAAATTAGGAAGAAATGAGAATATATCATTAAAACATAGTATAATTATTTTGTATTATATTAGTTACATGACCCTTAAACCTACACCTGGGTCTCAAGTCCCAGTCACTGTTGAAGCTCCTCTCACTACAACGATGGACCCGACACACGCACCGTGAATACATGGAATGATGAGAGGTTTCATATCGTGTTAATTGTTTGTGCAACATGTTATATCACGTATCGATCGCTGCACCTCTCGAAGCCCGACCAGCTCTCGATGAGAGCACTAGACCTCATCATGATACATGATAAGCTTATTCTCAACCCTGACCTGTGACCTTACATAGAAAAAGTAACCCTGTCACCATTACTGAAGAGTCATTATCAGTTACAGCGCTGTTACGTACCAAGTTTATTTATTAATTAGTAAATAGTAATTAAAGTACTAATAAAAACTACTGAGACGCTGCAGTATTGTGATAGAAATGGTTTGAAAGCTTCAGTCTCGTTAAAAGATAGTGATATTACCCGGCTTGTCTCACGAGAACCAGCAATTTTGCTCGGAAAATTCCTTTAGGTTTCTGGATGATAAGTTTTGTAACTATGACGAATATATAAACATTTAGATATATATAATTGGTATAAACTTTATATAGAGATCTAAAATAATATTATATTATAAATTAAGTGAATTTTAAGTTTTCTTATCAAATGTAAGTTTTAATTGACTGAGCTCTGATAACTACATTCTGGCTTCTTGCCATTACTTACAGTCGGAATATAAATATAAGTGTAACATAGTTTTCTGTCTCTTATATAAATAAATATTTGTATGAAATATTTATTCATTTTATAAGTATTGGTGACGATTGTGATACACGCTCTAAATATAAAAGGATAATTATGCAGTGTCATGTATCAATATATTATGTGAAAAAAAGTAGTGTTACTTACACTATTTATAACTCAAGAACTGCTGTATGGATTTGGATGAAAATTCGTTAGGAGATAGGTTGGAATCAGTAGACTGACATAGGATACTTTTGAATTCTTACGACCAAAAAAATAATAATTATAAATCTGTTTATTTACTGCCTCTAAACGAAACTGATCACTCTTCAGTCTTCACCCATACATTTCTAAAACTACGAAACTAACGCGAACAAAGTCGCTTACAAAAGCTAGTATATATAAAGTATTCAGTTGCTCATAAAGATTAGAATATAGGTATACCTTAGAGGTCACACTGAAGTAACGTGGTACGAAACATTTTTAATGCTGTTATTGTATAAAGAAGGCTGGAGGTCGTCGCTAGGATACAAGAAACCAACAACAAACTATTATAACGTGATGGATATAAATGGTGGCAGAGCTTTATGTTAAAACTTAAATATAGCCTCGAATAACAATCATTATTATAAAGGCTATCACAATACAAAGCTAACTTGATGAAAATATAAATTAATTTGATTTAACACAATCAGTTCTTTCCAGTTAGTTCGTTTCAATTTTCTGTAATACTAATGAACATATAAGGCATTTTCTATAGCAACATCAATTAACATTGTTACATGTATTACTCAGCTACATATATTTTATTGCGGGGTTTTCGGAATGGTCGAGTTCCCGTAGAATTTTCAGGATAAAACCTGTTTTTTTTATTCACAATGAAGTACTCTTAACCAACAACATATTTATTTGTTTATATGAATAAAGATTAATATTATTATGTTGATACAACTTAAACAAATTATTTCTACCAAATTAGGTACCATAAAAACGGTTTTTGTGAGTTAATCTTAAAAGATAGACATATACTGTCGCGGACTGTTTTTTAAATTGGTATGAGTGTAGTTAGAATGTTTAAGGAGTTGTGTTAAAAGTTTTTGGCTTGTAAGTGACATTTCACCGATTTCTGTTCGTCAGGTATATCGACGTTATCTGGATGTGGTTCACCGGAGAACATGGAGCGCCTCCCGGAGCTGCCCGCGGCTGAGGAGCGTCGCTTGCGGAGAGCGGCACACGTGCTGCAGCAACGACTCATCCTACGACAGTGGCTGGCCACACACAAGCTACAACATGCTTATCCCAAGTTAGTATCGAAGTCATTTATAACACATGTTACTTTGTACGTCATCCTAGGTAAACTCTTATGTAAATTAGGTCTGCATTCACGGTACTCAACGCGACCGATGCTCCAAATATAAGGAGCTGTCTTCCTTGCCTACCCTTCTCAACAATTTTTAATACCAAAGAAGTCAAACGCATATCATTATATAATTATTGGTTGACCTGAGCTGCGTCAAGAAAGTAATACATATATTATCACGATAGAGCATTTTTCCTTAGCTTTTTTTAGCTTTGCGCTGTCTTGAAATCCTAGCTATGGTCACAGTACGTGCCACAGCAAAGCATCATTACTTTCGATGTGAATGAAAAGTACTTTCTTATACAAATATATAATCGATACATCTAAAGTCCAGGCTGAGGTGGTACAAAGACTTGAGCATATCTGTATGGAGGTGTTAAGTACTGATAATGCAGCATTCTAAACAAGCTTGAATTGTTTTTTCTCCACTTTAAGAACAACGCTTCCTCGTTCCATCAAGTCGTTATCTTTAAGGCCACATTGTATTGAAACGACTGATCATCTCATTTAATAGTCTCGAATAGAAGTCATCTTGCGTTGTGTTAGTGACTCAAATACAGATGTAACCACAGTTAAAACGTATGTTTATTCCTATTCAGTCATAAAAAGCAGCAAGAATTGGAAAATAAAATGTGTCGCAATGCAGCACACCTACATCTATTCTATGATTTATTTGATTTTTAAATCTCTGTGACCTCAACATTCGCTCCGACTCCATGTAATATAATATAAATGTCTTTATAATATTTGAACATCTATCATATCGATAATACATATCATGTTTAACATAATTCAACGCTTTCCTTTCACATTCTTTGTGTTGAAAACTCTTTTCGTTATATTTACTCGAATACATGTACCGTATACATTCATGAATATATAACAAGTATATGTAAAACATTTTTTAAACTTCTCTTTTAATATTTCTGCTTTTCGTTATAAACAAATATATCTCTGCCAAACAAAGCTTTGAATAAAAATAAGCGCTTAAAATAAAACACTCCATTGTGGTAAATTCCTTTCAGCGTGATGGACGAACCAATTTGCATGCGACATTTTTAATTTAGCTGGAACCATATCTCGGTTACAACTCTACCTATAACAACAGAGTAATGTTTTTACGTAAAATTAAAAATAATAATGAAAATATATGAGACAGAGATGTAAACTGCATTGTTGTAGTACATTCATAGATTAGGTGATATTTAGACCAACTATTGTTCAAATGAGATGTTTAAATGGGAACACAGCAACAAGGATTTCCGAGGAAACGAGATCAAAAGGAAATAAGACGTTTAATTGAAATGTTATCATGTGTTTATAAAAGCTACGTATTCACAAACGAACTATGTAGAGGTTCCGGGAAAGCTACGAAACTAACTTACATGTATATTATAATGAGAATTACTCATTAAAACTCATAACCTATACTTAATACTACATGATTGAACCGATGTTAGGATAGCTATACCATTCCATAGCTTGTGTGGTATCAGGAATCTTCTGGTTTACACGGCTTGGTCTTCGTTCCGCGGAGTCAACAGTGTCACTCGTTATATTTTATCTATACAACGATGTTGCCTTTGCGATGTTCATTTGTTTTTTTAACACGTTGCTCGTATGTAAAAAACGCTGCATGTTGTCTATTCAATCAAATAACTGTAAAGTTTTTCGATATTCAATAAACCCGTTCAGAAAAGTTTAAAGTTTCTAACCGATAACCCGCTTACGTCAGACCGATGTTCAGATGCAAGTATTGCCAGAGACTTCGGAATAATAAAAAGTTTACCTTCCAAGCAATCCATATTACAATGTGAGGGCTTATGCAATGCATCTGATGCAACTATAAAAGACTAATATAGATTATTTAATATTTTGTATTTGAAAAAGATGATTGCCAATTCGACAAATATTTTCAGTTGAATGCTTATTGATTATCTTAATAAGATTAATTAATATGTCTGCAAAGTCTTTTCTATCTATATTCTGTGCCTACATATGTATATATTTGTTGCACGAAATAGAAGCTTAGTTTTAACTTGCGTTCCTTTCTATCTAACATTAGGGATGCAGTTAAATGGTATGGGTCTGTTAAGAAATAAAAACTATGTGTTTTAACTCGTTAGTAATAGTGTATGCGGTGTATTCTAACGGAGCATCCTCGGTCGATCGATAACACATTAGTTACCAAGACGTCGCTGTGTCTAATCGGATAATGTTGTGTTAAAACGCCTCGTGTGTACTCGAGAGATTAACGCGGGCTTACAAGATACATGACTAGGCACCGGATTTAAAATACAATTTACTGTTTGTAGATAACTATGACATAGGCTTTGTAGTTGGAACTTATGAAACACCGCTTGGCGCTAGTCCAGAAATCATTTCAATTACTTAACATTGAACTTATAGTCTTATGTATATTTAATCCGATATTTATAAAGAAATAACTTGTGTGACTTTTAAAATACATTTATCTTCCGTATTTCGCATTTAAGATATGTTTTCTCAATATACTTAAATATAAAACAGCAGTTTTCTTTAAATCTCGTTCAGTTTGTAATCTCGCTCGCAATTCTCCCTGAATATTACATTATTATCGTGAGCCTTCCAAGCCCGATACTGAGTCCCACCGATTCAATTTCATATTGCACAATAGCATCTCCGTTTTTCTCTAATGAAAATTTTAATAAACCATCACTTATTAAGAACCGAGAAGTTGAATATCAGTTTAAAATGGTTTCTTCACGTAAATTATGTACTCAATTTAGTCTAATATAAATATTCCCAAATCAATGTGTTAGTTTTCGCCCGGTTATGTAACAGTCCCGTCAGTTACGACTGTATGTATTATGTAAAGTAGATTCTAACGCTGACTCTGCGAGGCGACGGTTTACAGAGCAAATAGTGTCAGCGAGACGAATGTATGACGACTGTTGATGACATGGAAACTTTACTTACATGGAATGTCTCGTAAAATTTTTAATCTAAAGAATAGTGAATTTAGGTAGCTGTGGCGTATGATGATTATGAATTTCAATATAAATTTGTATAAAGTTAAAACATGAACACGTTCTTAGGGTCGAGGGAAACTGGACATCTTATAATATTTTGGTTTTCAATATTTCCTAGCGTCGTGTATAACCAGCTCTCACAGACCGCAGCGAGTCCGCATAGTGACGCAAATAAAATTATCCACTTGAAACATTTTGAGTTGTTGAAAGAAATCTTATATATTAGAGAATGGTCTTAATACGAAAAAACGTAAGAAGGATCAGGTATAAATTTAATAACGTGTCATTAAAGTATTATTAATATTAATAAGAACTGGATTCGGTCAGTAGCCTGATTTCAAATAAAATTTCTTAATGGCTGCTGTGTTCATCAATCAGTATTAGGGTACATCAATATTAATAACAACGTCTTTTATGTTATTTTATTTACATATATGAGAAATTTTAAATATATATATATCATTTGTCCAGAAAAGTATGCGTTCAATGTGTAATATATATTACATGGAAAATAATATTTAAAGGAATGAAATTATTCCTTGCGAGAATATGTCGGAGTAGTAGCAAATTCTTTTTTTGAAAAAGCAGCAGTCAGCATAACTTATGGCTTTCTTCTCAACTGTCATCAAACTCCTAGGATATCGAAGGTAACGTCGGAACTGGTTTGACCCCAATCCTTTGACCCTTTGAAGAGGTCCGATTCTTGCTACGGCTCGAGCGGGAATTTCAGTATTCTGTACTCGCGCCTCTATTTATACAAACCGATACTCATTATCGCAACTACACTTGCACAGGTGGTTGCGCAGGTTATACGGGTGACACCTAATAGTTTAACTAGCTTCAAATATAGTAATATGCGCCTATGTATATAATTATTGAGAGGTTTATCTAAAAATGTGTCTGTATTATGATAATGTCTCTAGATTGCTGAGTCTAGACGTGTCGTCTCTTGAGGACGTGTACTGGGTGGAGGACTCGGCCGCGAGGCACGTGATCGAGCCCAAGGACTTCAGCGTGTGGTCCACGGCCCGACAGAGTCTGCCCACGGGCAAGGAGGCCCTGCAGTCGCTCAAGTCAGACCTGTGGAGTGCCGTGGTGAAGAGCAGCAAGCATCAAGACGCCTGGACATGGGGTGAGCAGTGGAATTACATTATTAAATTATTAACACTCTGATCTTAATGAATACAGCTTCTATTGTATTACTACAATTCTCATCGTTTAGTCCTTCTTTGATCGCGATGGTTTAAGTATGTTGGTTGTTTAAAACACCTTAGTTTTCGTAAAGATTCTATAATCATAAAAGTACCTATAATATACATATGAGAAGCAATATAAAATACCACACGATATTTGTGGGTTGGCGTCCAAACCAGACATATATTTATATTAGTGAGTTCACTCATGCTGTAGGATAGTCTGAAAACATATAAAACATGGACATGCTTCAGAAGAAACTTTAGTACAGAAGTTGTATTGATAAAAGATAAAATATTAGCAACGAAGTTCACATCCATATGTAATATCTCTATAATTTAAATGTAACAGATTTTCCAATTGTAATGTTTTGACACTGTGTTTACTGCTCGCTGTTAACCCCCCAACATTTTCATTTTAAAACGAAGACTATATTAAGATCGAAATTGGAAGGACTATTTTTACTCTATTATTATTACTTCTTTATCGTTTCCGGAATATCCCTAACTCAATGATCTCTTGATAAATTCTTCAAAGGTTTTTTCATCTCAACAAGCAGTATGGTAAACATTTTGTATTACCAAATGTAAAGTAACTGAAATTTATCTTCTTAATAAGCAGGAATTAAAGTCGGAAAAATCTCTTTTTACCGATGAAAAGTCACGAAAAAATTTAGTTTCCTTTTTTGTAACTCACGATAAAAAATATACTAGCAGATCTATAGGTAACAGATTAACGAGAAGATTCAGTTAATGTTTATGATATAAGAATTATTGTAAATTTAACGGCCTCATTCTATTCTAAATATTATGGGATTCTACGTCTATGACGGATACAATATATTGATGCTTCACGAATTGTCTTATTCTCGGTTTTTTTTATATTCCAAACATTTTTTGATCTGATGATGAAGCCCTTCCGATACATAGGTGGTATGCTGGTGGTGTCCATCTCAGTATGTGGCCTGGTGACGCTGGCGGCTATGACCCAGCCGTCCCTGGCTCCCGAGGCCAAGCACTCGCTGCTGCAGTACGTCACCGGGAAGTACCTGCACCCGCCCAGCTGTAAGGTACAGGGTTTAATGAAAATTCGTGTAGTACTGTATTCAGTGAGGAGAAATAACTAGCTCGTGTGATGATGATAGGTGGAGTGGGGCTGGGAGGAACCCCAAGCTGTCGGTGAGACGATGTCCTTCACTGTACACTGTTACCAAAGAAACGGACAGCCCTACCCAGTGTGTGATACAGACGACCTGGTTGTACACATCTCACATGGAACTAGGAAGGTGGGTTGTGGGATCACATTGATATAGAACATTCTGACAGATTACATCACTATCTTGGAGAATCTGCACGATGTTAAGATTATATCTAAAGATTTAGTCGAATGTGTGTGTGTGTGTTTGAACATGGGCTGGCTCGACCGGGGAAGTACCACCCTCTCACAGAATATCGGCGTGAAGTAGCCTTTAATGGCTGCGTTTCGTCCGATGAGTGAGAGAGCCGGTTTCCCTTTCCCTATTCCTACCCTTTTCTACCATTTCCTTATTCCCACCCCTTCCTATCCTTAAAAAACAAGGTTGGCAACGCATCCGAAACAGAGATGTTGCGGATGTCCATGGGCGACGGTAACCACCTTCCATCAAGTGGGCCGTCTGCTCGATTGCCACCTTTCACAAAAAAAAAAAAAATGTATGGTCAATGTTCCAGATAGCTGCGGTCGTGGAGCTGGGGTCTGGAGACCCGGCTAAGGCGAACACCGCGCGGGTGAAGTTCACCGTGAGGACGGCCGGCGTGTACGTCATCAACATACTGATCGGTGGGTATGACTGACTTGAACAGGCAGACACATGAATTACAGGGTAGTAAGTGGCTACCGTTGTATCTCTGTGTAGTTTAAGAAATGTTGTTGCTGGTGTGTCGTAGGTATAAAGATTGAGATATGATGGAAAGTCAGGAGTTCGGTTTAAAGACATTTATTTTCTCATAAAGAACACAAAAGTTCACTTATAATAAGAAATTACAATAATTTTGCATGAAAGTACATTTAAAAGTCTGCCTTAAGAATTATATACAGTGAAATAATGTGGCGGGTAGTTATATTACACAAAGATGGTTTAGGTAGGGTTTACATTAACTTATACATTATTTTGCACATATTCCATTACACGTTTTTTGAATATAGGAAAACTCTTGCTATGAATAATTGAGTCTGATAATTTGTTATAAATTTGAACTCCTTCAAATAAGATGTTTTTCTTTTCATAGTTGGTTCTGGTTTTTGGAAGTTCTAGTTTATTACGTTTTCTAGTGTGGTATGTATGTTTTTTTTTTAAAAGTGTAATTGTGAATGTGTTTTATTTGTTATTATTTTTCTAATCAACATGCATGTTTTTAAAGTATATAATTGATTTATATTAAGAAATTTTGTTTTTCTGTATAATTTAACGGATGGCGTCATATAATTTTATAAAGAACTTTAATAATTTTATTTTGTAAAGTTTGTAATGTCTTTATGTTCGACTTCGCAGCAGTTCCCCATATTTCAATAAGATATTCGATATGAGGTTTTACTAAAGAATTATAAATAATAATAGGACGAATTTTAGTAGGTATAAGGAAATTTTACGTAGTGCTCCTATCAAAGGGGATATTTTATTTTTAAGATGATCAATGTGATATTGCCAGGTTAATTTGCTGTCCATTATAAGACCTAAATATTTTTCATGATCAGTTTTATTTATATGTTCGGTAAAAATTGATAGTTAGTATGACGTAATGATTTGGTATATTTTTATTCTTAGGTGCGAAGATCATATACGATGTCTTTTTGGTATTAATAGTTTATAAATTAGAAAGAAACCACTCGCTAATTGTATTTAAATCACGTTGAGCTACGTCAATTATATTTTTAATGTTATCACCTAAGTAAAATAAGCTTGTGTCATCCTCGTAAAGAGTTATATCTCCGAACAAATCAATTGTACTAATGCTATTTATATAAAATAAACTTCTTAGTTAAGAACTCCTTCACAACAAAACACAGATAAAGGGACTGTTTCACGTTAATTTTGTGTGTCGCAGGCGGCCAAGTGGGCGCGGGCGGGCCTCACCGCAAGTGGTTCAGCGCGGGGCGCGTGGAGGCGCGGCGGTCGCGTGTAGGTCGAGCGCGCGCCCCACTCGTGTGTACGGAGCACCGCCCGCGACGTCTGCACCTGCACCCGCGGGACCGGTTCGACAACCCCGCGGCCCTGCAGCACCCCGCGGCGCGGGGGTTCACCGTCCACCTGTCACCCCTCGGAGACCCCAGCGGGGAGCCCGACCCTCAGCTGTCCGCGGCCGCCACCATTGAATATGACGCGGCGGAGCGCCGGGTCAGCGTGGCGCTGTGTTTCCCGCGCGCCGGAGTGTTCCGGGCGGCTGTTCACTACGAGGGAGCGCTCCTACATAACGGGGAGTTCGACTGTATCGTACTCACTGGTGAGGACGGCGTTTCTTTATTTATCTTTCCGAATGAGCACGGTCTGGATACTTTTATTTTATTTTATTTGGAAAACAATTTAGAAAAACTGTAATATAAAAATAACAAAAAACATAAATCAATAAAGTTTCCACTTAAAGCCAATACACAAAAAATAAAAAAAATACAATAAATTGAATTAAACTAAATCAAAATCGAAACTAAACAAAAAGAAAAGAGTTAAAAACATTTAGCATTTAAGATATCACGAACTGCTACTTTATAAATACTAATTTTTGGGCAAAAAATATATACGTTTTGGAAGTTATATATTATAACTAAGGCAAGAACGGAACAAAAATACATTCTTTGTAAATTTATTGTTACATGAGGGCACCGCCGTCTTAAACTAAGCTGGGGCCCTTGGGCATATCAGAATAAGAGGCCCTTTTGGAAAGTTAAAAACGCTAATTACACTAACATTTTAAAAATAAGTTTAATCATTTATTGATGTTATAAATACGTCATTAATGATATACGAATGCTGCTGTTTTTTGGTTCTGATTACGATAATGGTTTCTTTCGGGATTTCTGTTGAGCAAAATCTTCTATTATATCATTAAAGTCAATGTTTTGAAGGATATCACTTTCAATGCACATAATTGACAAATTACTTAGTCGTTCTTGTAACATTGTTGTTCGCAATTCATTTTTTATTCTCTTAAGCTGCGAAAATGACCGCCCTCCACTGCCATTAGTAACCATCAACAAAGGAATATTCTTGTAGCAATTTCTACGTTTGGAAAAGTTTCTTCCAATTTATCTGCTTTTATTAAGTTATGTAAGGTTGAGATATTTAAATCCGCCGATCGCTTTGCTATGTTTTTTTAAATATTGACTTAAATGAAAACCTTCTGTTTTAAACTCATCTGCATTTATGTCTTCATGATAAAATTTTGCAAATTCTTTGCATTTTTTGGTCAACTCATCAAATTCTATTGTTGTTAACTGACAAAGAAAACCAAATCGACTATCAATTTCTTGGTATGCTGCAGAACGTTTTTTTAAATGAGTAATTAATGTGTCAATTATGGGAATGAAAGTATCTACACGGAACTTTTCTTTGCCTCTCAACTGTGCCGTCTTTGATGATCCTTCAAAAAAAGTGATGCGTGTGCTGCGAAATCTTTTTCTTTCAAATGTGTCTTTGTAGTCAGCATATGGATTTTTTTCTTTAGCAGCCGTTTCGTACTGATCAAAATTATCGCGTGCGGTATTGGCATAACTGATCAGAGACTCGTAAAGTTTCGTTACAACGTCCATGGTCATCGTGCTATTCTGTAAACTTAGACTTGTTTTATTCATAACTAGCTTTTGCCGCGACTCCGTCCGCGTGGAATAGTGACTTCCGGCAGATTTTTGGTTCTTCCCACATAGTTCCCGTTCTTGCGGGGTTTTCGGAATGGTCGAGTTCTCGTAGAGTTTTCAGGATAAAACCTATATTTTTTTTTATTCACAATGAAGTACTCTTAACCAACAACAAATTTATTTGTTTATTTGAATAAAGATTAATATTATTATGTTGATACACCTTAAACAAATTATTTCGACCAAATTAGGTACCATAAAAACCGTTTTTGTGAGTTAATCTTAAAAGATAGACATATACTGTCGCGGACTGTTTTTAGATCATTAAAAGAGCTATTATTCTTTAATACATATTTTTTGTGTATCTTGAACCGTTTTCACGGCGCACGCAACGGAAGGCTTCAAAGATGAAATAATTTCTCCTGTTTTTTACACATTTACCACTATATCTTTGCTCCTATTAGTCGTAGCGTGCTGTGATATAGCTGTGAGCCTTCCTCGATAACTCGACTATCGAACACAAAAAGAATTATTCAATTCGAAAGAGTAGTTTCGGAGATTAGCGCTTTCAAACAAATAAACAAACAAACTCTTCAGCTTTATAATATTACTATAGATTTGTACAGTAGGAATAGCCGCAGTCATCGATATAATAGCGTAGTATATGCCCACAGTATCTGTGTATATGCCACGTAAATAGCCTCTTATAAGGTTACTAATTTGCGAAAAAAAGTAATGTGTCCGACAAATATGTTTTGGGAATAAATGTGTGAGAGAAATTGTAGGTCCTTCGGGGCCCCCCTGAGAATAGAGGCCCTGGGCACGGGCCCCGTGTGCCCTTATGGTAAAGACGGTATTGCATGAGGGTTCAAAGAATTATTTCTAGCACTAAACCGAGGACATTTAAATAATATGTTACTTAGAAGATATTTAGAGTCAACTATGTTATTAATTATTTTATACAAATATATTTGGTCTCTTAATTGTCTACGCACAAGTTAAGGGGCTATTCTAGAGATATCTTTGTTATCAAATAAACCAGCTCTAAATCGTAAATGTTTTAAGAACCTATTTTGTTAATCTTTCTATTTTATCTACGTAGATGTTATAATTGGGATTCCAAACTGTGGAACAATATTCAAGTATGGGCCTAACATATGCGTCGAATAAAAGAATAAGGGTGGAACAATGTGTAAATTCTTTACTCAATCTTAAGATGAACCCAAGCATACGATAAGCCTTAGAAGTAATATACTCGATATGACAATTAACGATAATTTGTGGTCTAAAAGTACACCAAAATCTTTAACCTCTGATATTCTGGCTAATAACATATCCTGCAGTTAATAGTTATATACCTACTATAGGTTTCTTTTTCTTTGTAAACGTTATAAATTATAATGTTACATTTTTTATATTTAGATGTAAGAAATTTTCAACACAATAGTTGCTTAAGTTATTAAGGTCAGATTGAAGTAATAATATATTTGTTCTTTCTTTGCCATAGCGGCTGATACGGAGATCGTCCAGCGTCAATTAGGTTCTCGTCGCGGCGCCACGTGGGAGGCCCGTACAGTAGGCCCCAGCTCCCCGTCTGCGAGGCCCCGCCGGGTCCTGTGTGTCCTCAGCGCCAAGCAACTGCTCCTCAAGGACTACTTCCTCAGATTCATTCCTAAACGCATCACCTCCTTCCGGCTCTGTCCATCGACAAAGGTATTGAAGAGAAGTTGCTTCACTTAGGATCGTTCACAAATTAATTAATTTAACTACTAAAATAAGAAAACTAGTATATATATTTAAAAATCTCAGAGCTCAGACAAAGATCTACTATCTTCATGGTATATTATGCTATAGTTCAATCATTGCTTATGTATTGTACAATATGGGGAGGAAACAATAAAACATCACTGTTACAGCTAGAAAGAGCTCTAAGGTTTATCTTGAAAGTGATGACTAAAAAACCCTACAGATATCCGACAAACGAATTATATAATGATTGCAGGGTGTTATCCGTTCGTCGACTGTTTATTTATGAAACTGTTTTACGCAAACACGATACCCTAACTTATGTTGATAATCGTGATGAAAGGAGAGTAGATATAATACTCCACATTGAAAACACACAGAAGTAAACTTGCAGGGACACATAATTATATCATTAGCTCCAGATTAAATTTGAATTTGAAAATCTCAAATATACTCATGCTCAAATTTACACATACCACTAATTTTATTTTACTATACTAGATATTTTCTGAGTTAAAGTTAACGACAATGTGCTTAGCATACACTATATTGTGTTGACTTTTTTCGCTATTCCACTTTAGTAAAATTTGTAAAATGAATCCTTTGCAACAGGAAAGTACTGTCGAGTACAGGTTTATACCTAGCTCAGGGACAGTAGATTTCAATTACATATAATACCTTTTACCTTTATGCATTGTGATCAGATCATGTAAATTTCTATACAATTGTAATGTGTTTGAGATAAATAAACATTATTTTATTATTATTATTTATTTGACGTCTGTCGTTTGACCTTGATCCTTGGGGGAGGCCTATGTCCTGCAGTGGACGTCTTTTGGCTGATGATGATGATGTTTGACCTCTGTTCCAGCTAATCCTGAGTCCGCGTCCCGAGGGCACAGGTCCGGGCGGCGAGCTGACCCTAGACGACGGGGTCCAACCTCCGCTGACATTATACTGCGCGCAGAGGGACCTGCTGGCGGCCACCTTCACTCAGCTGCTGATCGCCAACTGCGGCGGCGAGGACAGCTTCAAGAACAAGCAGGACTACTTCTACAGTGAGGTGCGCAAGGCCCACGCGCGCCAGCCGCACGACAAGCTGCCGCTGAGAGTGTCCCGCGCCGACCTGCTGCGGTCCAGCTTCAAGGCCACCAAGCACTTCACGCTGGCCGACTGGTGCAAGAACTTCGACGTCACCTTCCAGGGCGAGCAAGGTCAGTGACCCTCAAATTATAAATTTACATACATACATAAATATTTATTGTATAAAAATATTACAACTCTATTAAAACTTACAATTTTACTAATGTTTATAAGTAGTTTAATTTAAGAACATGCAAATTATATGAAATCTACTCTATCTTTACAATTTATAAAAACTAAAACGTATAATTGTATATGTAAAGTATAAAGTGGTTGTATATTAAAAAAATTCAAAAGTCTCTTAAATGTTACAATGTTGAATAATAAGGAATTAAAAATTGGCGTCCTAAATAAGGGTTCATTATGTACTAGGCATGACTAGTTTATCGTAGCTGTACAAAAACATGAAGTTGACATAATGGCAGTTGATAATAAATTTTATATAGAATTAACAAATATACAAAATAAAATAATACCTAACATACCTTATACATAGTAGTATGCGTTGTTGCTTACACTTCGTTTAGCCTTCAATATCGTTTAGTATGTACAATGGAAATATGTTTTTTACTGTGGTTGATACTGTCATTGCGTGGTCACAAGGGAGATACCTGAAAATCAGCAGAGGGATAAAAAACCCTCATAGCCTGAGCTGTCTCCTTTTGACTGCACACAAGTTTCATATCAATTATATTTATTTTTGTAATGTTGTTTTTGACTTTTTTGTATAATTTTTTTGTCGGTCGTGGTGTCAGGCGTGGACTGGGGCGGCGTGAGGCGTGAGTGGTTCTCCCTACTGTGCGGGAAGCTGTTTGACGCCCGCTGTGGCCTGTTCGTGTCGTGCCAGGATTCTCCGGCCGGCCTCGTGCATCCCAACCCTGAGCGACCCGCGCATCTCAAGGTCTGTATGAGAGGGGGTGAATCCTACTGTGACCCTAGCATTGTGTTCGTACTGACGGGACCTCGCCTCAGTTGAAGCACTTCGAGTTCGCCGGCCGCGTGGTCGGGAAGTGTCTATACGAGAGCGCGCTGGGCGGTGCCTACAGGCAGCTGGTGCGGGCCAGGCTCGCGAGGTCCTTCCTGGCGCAGATCATAGGACTGCGCGTGCATTACAAGGTTGATATCAAGTAATTAATTAATACATAAAGATTTCGCATTAAATTTCTCAACTAACAATGATTTCCTCAGTACTTCGAACAAGACGACCCAGAGCTGTATCTGTCCAAAATAAAGTACATCCTGGAGACGGACCTGGACGCGGCCGACTCTCTGCCCGAGATATACTTCGCGGACGACGTGTACGACACCAGCGGCCGGCTCGTGGAGACGAGGGACCTGGTGCCCAACGGGTCCAGCATCAGGGTCAGTGACGTCACGATACATATTACGTTACGTTATATGGAATGGGTTTACCTTACGTGCTGTATTATTTATCTTCTAACGTGCTTAATTACTGGGTTTGAAAAGAAACGTCTTATCTTTAAATCGTATTTAATAATATTAGAAGATTTTAACATAGCATAATGAATTGGGCCAATGGGCGGTCCACCGTATTTGGATGTATACATGAGATGTTTTATAAAGGAAACTTTACACTAGACTTAATTCTATAATATAGCATACACACCTCTGTGTCTTTGACAGGTTCGTAACAGCAGCAAGCTCCAATACCTGGACGCGCTGGCCCAGTGGCGGCTGGCGGCCCGTTGGCGGCCCGAGACGGACGCGTTCCTGCGGGGCCTGACGCTGCTGGTGCCCGACCACCTGCTGGCCATCTTCGACGAGAACGAGCTCGAGCTGCTCATGTGCGGCACGGGCGAGCTGTGCGTGGCGGACTGGCGCGCGCACGCGCTCGTGTCGGGCTCCGGGCGCTCGTGGGAGCGACGCCTGGGCTGGCTGTGGGCGGCCGTGGGCAGCTTCAGCGGCGAGGAGCGCGCGCGCCTGCTGCAGTTCACCACGGGCTGCTCGCAGCTGCCGCCGGGCGGCTTCCGGGACCTCAGCCCGCGCTTCCAGATCGCGGCGGCGCCCACGCACGGCGCGCTGCCCACCGCCCACACGTGTTTCAACCAGCTGTGTCTGCCGGACTACGACTCGTACGACCAGCTGGTGCGGGCGCTGCTGTGGGCCATCAACGAGGCCGGGGAGGGCTTCGGCATGATCTGAACCACGCGAGGAGCTCACGGGACTAGCACGGAGAGAAGCGGGGACGAGAGCTGGACAGATACAAACAGAAGAATATTGAGATTAATTTTGTTAATATTCATGAATTCAATGTTAGTTCATAGTGTCGGTCGTCCGTCTCCGCGTCACGGGCGGGTGTGTGTCATATAACCCTCTAATATTTCCTCCATCCGCCGGGATATAGTTGTTATTATTTTCCTGCTCCTGTATATGTTTTCACACTCATAGTAGATGTCGTAGTGTTCACGACCCACCAGCCTTGGTTTTTGCTGCTGGTAAATCTGATGGATGTAGTCGATGTTAACTAGAAAAAGAATAGTAAGGTAGGTGTAGAAAGTAGCTGAAATATATTGTTGAACGTAATGATAGGTCAAGTATTAAACTATCAAGTGTATAAGAGCGAGGGACGGAGTGTAACGTGATCCTGCCATGTGAATCGTCCGGCGAAGGAATTGATCATGTGTATCATGATGACTGACAATAATAACAGGTTATACGATGTTACTTCAAGCACCGGTTAGGGTAGACCGTACTAATGGTTCTCGACGTGACCTGTTAATGTAGCTGATATGTATGACAGTATTTCTCGAATATACCAAAGCGTCGACTTTGATAGACCAAAAATATTTATTTGCTTTTTAAGCGATTGTAGTAATATATTTGGCGAGACATTCTTAACATAAGTTGTTATTATAAATATTAATGTACGTATTCACTACAGTGTCTTACATACAGGAGTGTACAGAGCGGTTCCCACGCGTGTACTCCGGTCAATCTCTGATAATATATAAAATAATTACTGTATGTATGTATATGTTATCGCACAACTAGATATAAACTATGATCAAACTAAAACAAAAATAGACTCTTTAAAAAAAGGCATTTTATGTATATAATACGAGATTGTGAAATGACATCACATACTAAGCTATAGTCCTTCTTAGCGATAATATAAAAAGTTAATGCGCTAATGATTTTAACTATGTATAATAGAGGAATCACTAAATATACAAAAATGAATGAATGAATATTAAAACAAATATATTATAGGTTGTAAAAAAACAGCCAAAAAATTTCTCTAAACAAATGTACAAAAGGAGGTAAACAGTTCACAGTGAATAGGTTTTACGTAATAGTCAATAATAAATATAAAGAGATAAAAATATTCATTACTCTGTAAATAACTCTCTGTTGTATTACTCTGTGAGTTCGGTGAACATTTTCTGATTCCCGTGAAGGCTTCGAATTGAATATATTAACACGTTTCAAACCTCTCAAGTCTCCGGTAATCGTTTCCTCCTATTTCGGTTTCAGCCTTTTTTTGCCGTTTTCATTATTATATTCACGACCTCTTGACATCGAGAGTATTCAAGTGTCAAAGAATGTCCCACTTAAGATGAATATAATTTTATAATAATTTAAGGATCACTTACTTTGATTCATTAACAGCTTGATCCACTTCAAGATTCATATTTTAATATAAATTTAAGTCTACTGTAGTATTATTTTAAATTGATTTAAATTTGTAAAAGTGATTAAAGTTTTTAATTAAATATTTTACTTTAAGTAGGTATATCATTGTTTTGTTATCGTCTTAGTTTATATCTAGCTGTGATGTCCATATGATCGGCCTAATATTTGGTGACACTGCATCTCTTGCTGGACCAGGCCTTAGTACGGGTGGGTACAGTGCGTTTGATTTAAGCTGAGCTTTGCATTTGTGTGAGTGCACACGGATAGTGTAGGTGTGATGTCAAATTTTTCCAGTTTTTACTATTTTTCTTTTCTAGTTTTGAACCGGTTTACACTGCTTTTACTCCGCCCCGCACCTTCCTCACTTCATCCTTTGTACTGGTAGCAATATCAAATGTTGAAAACGCAATATCAAGTGAATAAGAATTTGTATACTTTTTTCAAAATACTTATTAATCAAAATTTTTTTTTTTCCATAATATTCATAATATTTCCATCTCGACTTTTACAAGTTTTGCTTATTTTATAGCACTTATGTTATGTATCTATTCAAAATATAATAAAATGTAATTCTAAGTTTTCTGTCTAACTCTACTTTTACTTTCACTTACACAAATGCAAAGCTCAGCTTAAGTCTAACGGACTATACCTATTTTTGTTTAATAGTTTCTCAGGCCTACCGTCCCTTGGACTACTTACTGTTGGCATATGATTCGTATGGGATATTATGTCTATTGTAGCGACATGTTAGAGATTCTTTTAAATAAATTTATAAAAAAATATTTTTTTCAAGTGTATGCAGTGTTGCCTTAATTATTAATTTTATATTTCCAAGAATATCCAAAGCTTGTCTCGACGCATCACGTCCAACATTTTTTTTGTCGTCGTGTTTAAGGTTGAATTAATATTAACTTATATTGCCTAAGTCATTATTTTTGTATTCTTACCACGGGCTAGTCATTTCGTCTGTAATTTATCAAATACTTATTATAATTACATTCCCAGCTTTCTTCTTCAGAGCAACTTAAGAACTCTTATGTTGGTAGCGACGAGAGGCAGTTTTTCATATAACATTTTATATGAGCAGTTTTAAAAATTGCTTTTGAATGAAGTGAAGTGTATAGTATACAAAAGTCTGTACAAGTTATTGTTAAACGCATGAACGTGTATGATATCAACGTGGCCTAATCTGTAGCATTCAATTCCGATGTAATATGTTTGTAGTTGGTTGAATAGAAATGTAAGACTGAAAAAATAAATAATTACACAAAATTATTTTTTTATTTGTATCAAAACCTTTTCTCTTCCTCGTTTGATGTCTCCGTCATCGGCTGCTGAAGATCACGTCGTTTTGTGCTTGTTACTAATCTCCTTACAAAGTAAAGTAGATAAACATTAATTGACATGAATGCCATTAGTAATTATAATTTATCTTAAATAGTAATAAAATAATTTACTCACAAAACCTAAAAGCTTGTAAATCCCTTAAATATCGACATACCTAAATAACTTTAAATAAATTATTGGATATATTATCGAAATTAAAACCGAAGGAGAGACGTACCCGCGAACCACACTCAAAGACTCGAGTTCATCCACAGACAATATAATCATGATTTATTTACAACAACACATTTGTCATCGCAGATTAAACTTAGACCGAATAAAAAAATCCACAGGCGGGTGCATTTCATTAATAGGTATACAGTATAAGTATTTCATATTTGTTGTTAAATAAAAAAAAAATGTTTTCTCTATCAGTGTATTCACAGCTTCATGACACTTGTTACGTACGCGCTACATACATATTAAGAAATAAATGAACATCGTTGTATGGGTGAAATATCATGTACGATAAACGAGTGACGCTGCTGTCTCCGCGGAACGAACACCAAGCCTTGTGAACCAGAAGATTCCTGATACCACACAAGCTATGGAATGGTATTGCTATCCTAACATCGGGGCAATCATGTAGTCTTAGGTGTAGGTTATAAATTTTAATATTTAGTTGTATTATTGTATACAACATCTGGTTACCGAGCTTTGCTCGGTATTTAGGAATTTTTAGTATTTATTTTGTGTCTTTTTTTTTGTTTGGGAATTTTTAGGTGAACACGTTAAGAACTAAGAAGACACAAAATAATATAAATCAACAATTAATTTCTTAGTCTAACCTTGAAAGAAACACTGACTTCCTGGTACGTAACAACGCCATCTGCTGTTGTGTCGTTAAAACAATTAGTAAAAGCAATTATCAAAAAGTAATATTACTATTCGCCAATAGATGTCAGTAAGACTCATATTTTAAACGTATATCTTTAAATCAGCAATTCTTGTATATATATTTTTATATAATTGGAATCTCGGAATCGGCTCGTACGATTTTCATGAAATTTAGTATATAGGGGCATTTGGTGGCGAAATAATAATGTTAATAGCTAAGAATCATTTTTGGAAAATGTTTTTTACTAAAAAAAATAAAAAGGAGTCGTTTAAAGTATGAGTCTTCCTGACATCTATTGGCGAATGGTAATATTACTCAGTCTAACCTCGAAACAAACACTGACTTCCTGGTACTTAACAACGCCATCTGCTGTTGTGTCGTTAAAGCAATTAGTAAAAGCAATTATCAAAAAGTAATGATGTTAATAGCATTGTTATTTCGTCACCAAATGCCCCTATATAATAAATTTCATGAAAATTATACGAGCCGATTCCGAGATTCCAATTATATAAAAATACCTATATATAGGTACAAGAATTGCTCATTTAAAGATATAAGATAGTTTTCTTGAGGCCTCCGGTACTTCCGGTTGCCTCCCTATATAATTCTTGTCTCATTGTTTTGTAAATTAAAATGATGCAAAACTTTTCTAACTCTAAAAAATGTTAAATAAACCTTGGTGAACTCTCACAGGCGGCTCGTTCAAACTATTGCCGGTATTAAAACTTTCCTGTATAGAACCATTTGTTTTCTAATATATAAATAGAACAATTCATAAATAACCAGACGTAATTAACAACATTTTATTAATAATACTAAAACCACAGACTTATAAAACTAAAACAAACTTAGTTAAAAACATCACGACTTGACCTAATACAATATAATATTAAGGAATTACATTCAGTACATACTTACCAAAGCCTTTCATTGTAAACTCCGTCGAAACTTATTATAATATCTAAGAAAAAAATGTCTCGAACTGTCACAAGTGTAGAACGCTCTTAACATTGACATTTGTGCTGTTTTAAAACTGACAGAACCATCGACATAAACTAATGGACATGCCTTAGAGATGAGAATTGTGGCACTTCGAAAGAAAGAATTAACGAAGTTTCGGACTATCTTTATCTCTCAAAATAGTACAATAATTATGAGGAAAGAGATAGTGCTACACCGAACGCATAGGCCATCTCTCTCACTCTTCAAACAAAAAAATTACTGCAGATTATACGCGTACGGCATGTCCATTAGTATAAGTCGATGGACAAAACTACGGAATTTTTTAAAGCAGTTGGATTCAGTCGGTGTATGGAGTCAGCAGCCGTGTCTTGCGGGCGTGAGGGACCACAACACCGTCTGAGACACGGACATGGGCCGCCGGACCCACGACCTGGCCGCGCACAGCAGGCTGGCGGACAGGGCGCGTTATAGAAATAATACACCTCATACAATGTGGATATATAGTGACAATAATCAGTATATAGTCCGAGTGTGAATTAGCACACTAGATACGAAGCTTCTTCCGTTTGTAATACAGTAACTCATTGCTAACGCTACTGAAGTGTAATAAATATAGTGTGTATGTTATATTATAGAATTATGCTATGTTAAAATTTTCTATTATTATTAAATACGACTTAAAGCTACAAAGACGTTTCTTTTCAAACCCAGTAATTAACCACATTAGACTACTAATATTATGTATAAATGCGAAAGTAACTCTGTCTGTCTGTTACGCTTTCACGCCTAAAACACTGAACTGATTTTAATGAAATTTGGTACAGACAGAGTTGACCTTGAGAAAGAACAGGATATTTTTTATCCCAGACTTTTGAAAGGTTCTCTTGGAAACGCGATATAACCGAACTATTTGCATATAGGAACAATGTTTGCTGTTGTCCCAATAAAAAGTTTGCTCCCAGATCAAAAATTGATCATTGACAATTTTGGTATTATTTTTATTTATTTCTCCCCTAATAAAACATATCTCGAACTCTTATTATCTGTCTAGTGTGTACCGTGTGAGGGGTGCGGGCCAGGCGTCCAGTTGGTCCCTCACGTGCCTCAGCTCCACCTGTAGCCCGGCCGCCTGCTCCGCGCGCACCCTCGCCTCCAAGGAATGACGCGACACTAGCTCACGGAGACACTCACACTCAGACGAACACTGAGCACGGGCTCTGTGGACATACACGACCATGATCAGAGAGAGAGAGAGAGAGTTTGAGAAATGAACCTCCTATGATGGACTTCGATAGGCAGCAAATACTAAAACAACTACTATAAATCTATGTCAAAGCGTTCAAAAAATGCCTCCGTTGCTAAATATAAAAAATTATTAAGGAACGCTTGTGTGCAAAAGGTTACTATACAATTAATGAGTTTATGAACGATAGCACACCTTGGGAATGAGACGATCGCCTCCTGGCTATTTCATCTCATATTAAATGGTTTATATAATAATATATGAGACAAATATACAGGCTGACTGGTGAATTACTATCGATACTTGACGTGATATTTGACGATCATATATGACAAAATAAAAATTAATATAACATAAATATTAATAAACTTCTAAGTAAAGTTAACCAAAAGTTGTGTAATTAATTACGCATCGTGTGAACACCCTACAGATTAGGTATACACACACACTCACACATACGCGTGCGGCGGCGTTGTGTTGTATCAGCACGCCGCCGCACGCCTCCACACTTGGAACACTTGGAACGTGTCAACATTTTATTTATTTATACGGAAATTTTGTCAAAAATTAAGTGCCTATTTTTTTTACATAATTTGAATGAGAATCATGTACCGAGTATTCTCCTTAAATATTGATAGTAATTCACCAGTCACCCTGTATATATAAAAAAACCGCTGAGTTTCTTTCGCCGGTTCTTCTCAGGTCAGGGTATTTTGTCCGACCCGGTGGTAGTGTCTCAAGTGACCTTCAATAAGAGAGTGTAATGCTTCTATATTGAATAAAGTTATTTGAGTGTGTCACGTGTCCATACTCGATCTCCTCTGCCAGTCGTTCCTCCGTCTGTTGCAGCAGCTGTCCCCGCTCGTCCAGCCTCCTCCTCAACGTCGCGGCCTGCGCCTGGCAGCTGCGGACGAGGACCTTGTGTTGGGACAGCTCGCCTTCCAGCTTGTCCACCTGTAGTAGCGTGTGTTATTTATTTATTCTTTATTGCACAACATACTAAAACTATAAAATTACATTTTCGTTATATATTAGTTGCATGAGGTGCAACCGGCGGCCTTATCGCTAAGCAGCGATTTCTTCCAGGCAACCTTTGGGTAGAGGATCATTATGTGGAAGGGTACAGTAACTTAAACACAAATGTGTTAGTGTGTAGTATAGTGTGTTAGTACAAGCTTCATCAAAGTCTATTATTCCACTGTTCCCACCTTATCCTGTTCCTTCTTCAGCTGCTGCTCCAGTTTCTTGGCCGCTGCGCGCGTGTTCTCGAGCTCGTTGCGACTGTTGCGCCAGCCTAGAGCATGATTCACATTTAATATCTTCCTATATCTCGTAAGTCGTCATCACTCGTGGTAACCTTACCGATACTCATCTCGGAGGCGCGGTCCTCGGCCGCACTGACGTCCTTCTCTAACGCTGTCTTTTCCTGCAATGAATTAATAAATATGACAATAACCAAGTACAAAATATATTGAAAAATTTATCTATCGTAGTCGTATTGTGATTGCTAACAACACTTGAACACTATATTCTGGGGTTGCAGATTCAATTCATGTTTATGTCGATGAATACTTTATAGCTTAAAGAGGGTAAATTTTCTTTTAAAAAATATAGACCAGTGCCGATAGCTTTTAAAACATAATTAAATTATAGTAGAATGAAACTCATTAGAAAAGGAGGGGAATATTATAAAAATTAAAGGAAAAATAATTTACGGGCGATCTGAGGTCGGGAAGGGTATTAATTTCTTACTTGCAGTACCGTTTTTGGATAAAATAATCATGTCCCTTTTAATGAAATGACAATCTATCAATTTATTTTTTAGCAGCTTAATGTCAATTTTCTGTAAATTACCTAAAAGAGGGACTATCCGGAGAACTTCCAGAGGACACAAGTATTAAAAATAAATTAGAAAGAGCATTTTCAAAACGATGTCGAGTGTCATTTCATTAAAAGAGACAGATTATTTTATCCAAAAATGGTACTGTAAGTAAGAAACCCATATTTATTTCTTCACCATCGAAAAATAGAGATTTCAAAAAACAGAAAACACACCAAATTTTTGAAAAACGCTGATATTTTGACGGGTGATTTTTCGATTGAAAATGAGGCTGATTTATCGGTATTTATTCAAAATAAGCTGAAAAAATAACTATTACTGATCAAATAAATATCAAAAGAAAGTTTTCACCAAATTTCGTGACAAAAAATTGTTTTTTGTAAGAGATAAAAATAAAAAACCAAAAACTTGGTTTTTCAAATTTATCAAAAATTTTCAGGTTATGTGAAAAAAAGTGTAAATACAAAAGTTTTAGATCTTTTTATTATTATCTAAAATTTTGCCATATAACATTTTGCATAGGACTCTTAGTTTTTCCAGAAATCGAGAAAACCTATTTTTTACCCTTAAATACCCAAGCCCGTACCCTTCCCGACCTCAGATCGCCCGTATATTATTTTCCATTATTTTTTATAATATTCCCCTCCTTTTCTAATGGGTTTCATTCTACTATAATTTATTTTCACTTTTCATCATTTTTAGAGGCATCTGCACTGGCCTAATAACAAAGCATTACCTTAAATCTCATCAATGCCTTAATTATTCCCTAACATTAAGGAACACCATCGTGTCCCCGTACCTTCTCCAGCAGCGCCCTCTCCTCCTCCTTGTCCTTCATCATCTTCCTCAGCCGCTCCAGCTCCCTCATGGCCATGCGGACTTTGGCCGTGTCTGACTCCAGTAGGTACTTGAGCGCCGACACCTGCAGCCGGAGACGCTCCGAACAACTCACCTGGAAATATATTATAAGAAGACCTGGCGATCTTCGTATCGCCCTATAATCAAGAAATATCTATTACGTTTTTTTATTTATATTTTTGGAGTTTACCTGTAAGCCATAAAAATCTCGTTTTTTGAAGTGCGACAGAATGATTGACATATTAGTTAGTTGTCAAATCTAATGTCAAAAAAAACGTTTGTATGGGAAATAGAAAAGGGCTGTTTTTATGGTTTTCCCAGTAATGAATCAATTTTTTTCAGCTTTTATACCTTCCCTGAACCTCCACGAACATTTCAAGACTAAGATAAGATAAATCCTATCAGCTGTTCTCGAGTTTTAGCGAGACTAAGGAACAGCAATCCATTTTTATATATATAGAAGATAGAAGATAGAAGATAATATATACAGGGTGACTGGTGAATTACTATCAATATTTAAGGAGCATACTCGGTACATGATTCTCATTCGAATTATGTAAAAAAAATAGGTACTTAATTTTTGACCAAATTTCCGTATAAATAAATAAAGTGTTGACACGTTCCAAGTGTTCCAAGTGTGGAAGCGTGCGGCGGCGTGCTGATACAAAACCACGCCCCCGCCGCGTGTGTGTGAGTGTATGTGTATACCTAATCTGTAGGGTGTTCATACGATGCGTAATTAATTACACAACTTTTGGTTAACTTTACTTAGAAGTTTTTTAATATTTATGTTATATTAATTTTTATTTTGTCATATATGATCGTCAAATATCACGTCTTCAAATATCGATAGTAATTCACCAGTCACCCTGTATAGTATTTATTTATTTAACTCTTTTTTGTACACCACAATTACAATACAAACAATTACAGAAAAATACAAACTAAAAACTAATGGTGATACAGAAGGCGGCCTTATAGCTTATTAGCCATTTCTTCCAGACTACCTAGTAGACTAGTATACTAGAAGACCCGGCGAACTTCGTATCACCCTATAATCAAGAAATATCTGTTGTTTTTTTATTTACATTTTTGGACTTTACCTATTAAAGCCATAAATCTCCGTGTTTTGAAGTGCGACAGAATGTTTGACATATTAGTTAGTTGTCAAATCTAATGTCAAAAAAAGAAAACGTTGGTATCAACAATTACTAATAAATTAAAAATTAATTAAAAAAACATTGTCCAGCTGACAAAATTGTGAATATAAACCATTCCCAGATCCCCTTGAACACACACAAAAAATTTCATCAAAATCGGTCCAGTCGTTTGAGAAAAGTTCAGTGACATACACACTCACAGAAGAATTATTATATATATAAAGATTAATAAATAACAGTATTACAATTTACGAGCGATTTCCCGAATATAAATAAGTCATTATTATTATTGTAAGTTGTTTTTATGTTAAAGGTAGGCTATTTGATGGGTAATAGTCACCGTCTTGCATGGACATCCGCAACCTCTCTATTGCGAATGCGTTGCAAACTTAGTGTTTAGAAATAGGGAAAGGTGAACTTAAGGAAATGTCAAGAAAAAAGGTGGGAAAATAGGGAAAGGGCAACCGGCTCTCTTACTCATCGGAAGAACCGCAACTATTAAATACTACTTTACGACGATCTTCTATTAGAGAGCCTTACTACGGTCGAGCCAGCCCATGTTCGAGCTGTAGTTACATGACTACAGCTAGTCTACCGTCTACTACGTTAAATCAGATAGGTCATTTTAATGCCCATATGTTATACTAAGACCAAGTATCTTTACACTTGAAGTGTAATAAATATAGTGTGTATACTATATTATTGAATTAAGTCTAGTGTAAAGTCTCCTTTACAAAACATCTGATGTATACCAAATAAGGTGGACCACCCATTGGCCCAATTCATTATGCTATGTTAAAATCTAAAATTATTAAATACGACTTAAAGAAAAGACGTTTCTTTTCAAACCCAGTAATTAACCACGTTAGACACTAATATCTCCATACCTGGAATTCAAGCGTCTTCCTCATGAGCCGTACGTCATGTCTCCTCCTCCTCCAGGCAGCCAGCAACATGAACCGCGCCACTCTAGCCGCGGCTCGTTGCTCCACAGACCCTGGCACCACCTTAGAGACAGCTCGACCTGACATCTCCTGGACAGTCCTATGACACAAACTCCTTGATTACTGTCGTTTCAGTAACTCTTAAACTTAGTACTCAGCTTAGCGAAGCAACAGTTAATGATAATGTTGTTAATCATGATGCAATTCTGTGTAAATCACTGGCATTCATTAGTCATATCAAAGGAAACACTTTTGTGCAAAAAACAAAACAGACTAAGTTAAGCTAAATACTCTAAATGTTTTAGATTTGTAATATTTTACGGTAATGGTACAATGAGCCAACTATTCACAACATGTAAGGCAGATTCTGTCTAAATCTTTGAAATTGCCGGGTAGAAGAAGAGAGGTATAATTAGCGAATGAGCTTAAATAAATCTTGCCTACAACATACTTTTCCCTCTTAATTCTCTTGGTGGGCGTGAGGTCCTCCATAGAGGCGGCCTTAGTCTTTATCTTGTGTCGAGGCGCCGTGTACTGATCCAGGCAGCTCTTGATCCGCTCCAGGTGAGCGCTGGGCGCGGCGGGCTTCACCGTGAACTTGTTCACAGGAGTCAGAAATAACTGCTTCCTGACATGAGGTCTGGTCCGGCTGGTGATAGAAATTGACACTAGATCATTTCAAACTCATGACAACTCGTGAAAAAGACGCTCGTTATATGTATATCATAACGTAACGTAACGATATACAGGGTGACTGGTGAATTACTATCGATACTTGAGGACGTGATATTTGACGATCATATATGACAAAATAAAAATTAATATAACATAAATATTAATAAACTTCTATGTAAAGTTAACCAAAAGTTATGTAATTAATTACGCATCGTATGAACACCCTACAGATTAGGTATACACACACACTCACACATACGCGTTTGGCGGCGTAGTGTTGTATCAGCACGCCGCCGCACGCGTCCACACTTGGAACACTTGGAACGTGTCAACACTTTATTTATTTATACGGAAATTTTGTCAAAAATTAAGTGCCTATTTTTTTTTACATAATTCGAATGAGAATCATGTACCGAGTATTCTCCTTAAATATTGATAGTAATTCACCAGTCACCCTGTATATGTATGTACATTGGGTAGAATAAAATTGTAATATAGACAGTTATAATTTTAAAGTTTCTTCTGTATGTAAAAAGCTCAATTATTTCATATATTCGAACTATTTAAGACTCTTAGGTTTACCGTAAACATTATTAAGACAATGAAAAAATCCTACATCAGAATCAGACAGATAGTGACAGCAATTAGATGAGGTACCTAAATAGAATGACAGTCTTAAGGGATAATAATTTCTTGATCTTCATCTAATAATGACTTTATTACATATTTTGGTTTCACATTGAAGCCGGGTAATATTTTTTTTGTTTCATCACCTACAACATAACACAAGAAATAAAAGCCGAATATATGTATAGCTATATTCAATATTGAAATATTAAATTTATATGAATCTGTCATCCCGTGCATCAATTAGGTTTACATTCTCAAAAATCAAAGAAACAATGGTATAATAAGTAAACATTGTATGGGATTAAAAAGTTTGCAATCATTGGAGCTGAGAACCAATTGTGACTATTAACTAGTCCCAACAGAGACTAATTACTGCAAACGTATTGGCGAATAGAATACGTGGATCAATACCAGTTTTTAATTATTTTCCTCAAACAATTTCATTCAAGTATTACAAGTCGAGCCAACGTTTCTTTTACCTCGTGTCTCATCTCATGTGGAATTAATGATGCCGCCGGTTTCCCATGACGTGGAGGAAAATGTTACGATAATATTAATATTATGACAGTATGGTGGGGATCATTGGCTGATGAGGAGCAGGCTTGGATGAACTATTGAACATTTAGAGTCTAGTGAGGTCGCATGTCTCTTAATATGTCCTTGGCATCCGTGGAGAAACGTAAGTGGAACATTGATGGTTACCCGCGTTTATAATTTAACTGACAGTGCGTGATAATATTATAGTTTAATCTGTGACTGTGTATAAAACAGTATAATATTTAATAATAAGTTTAAATTCGTATTAACTTTTACAATTTGGACTCTTTTTGGTGCTACAAGGTGTGGTAGTGTGATATACGCCTTTTAGGTGATGCATTTTTCAGGTAGATAATTAAATAAAATATTTTATTTTACTAAAAAATAAGTTTAAAGTGTTGCTAGTATACAAATATCGTTTGTTTATTTATATCTTATTAAAACGTTATGTGACCACTCTAAGCAAGATTGCACTACGCAGTAGTTTCAAGGCCAGCAATTATAAAGTCATTTTTTTTTAAATTATTCTTATATCAAATAATAGAGAACATGGCACCAAAAATGACATGCTTCATATTAACAAATGAGATAGACTCTTGAAAGAAAAATACAAATGACATACCTAAATTATATATTACATTAATATTCGGAAATGAAGTCCACGCTGCTTTAAGATTTGAAAAATCCAATTTCATCGTGTTTATTTTGTTGACACATTCAAGATATGTAATAAAAAAAACGTCGAAAAAAAAACTTTGGAACGTCTTGTAATTTGGAAATAAATAGTTTTTTATCTACTATAAAAAAAACATTTTCGAGAGAGGCGAAGGAGAATTAATGATTGGTTTTATTTTAATCAACAAGAACTGAAATTTTGATTTTCAAACTTAGTTCTCATTTTCATTTCCATTGTTTCGGAAAATTAAGCAATATGTTAAAAATATATATTTTTTTCAATATACCGGCTGAACGATGCTTCCAAACATTTACTTCATACTGTTTTGACAAGCGATAGGCACTTTAACCACAAAAATTATTCCTCATAAATATTCTTGACAACTACTTCTACAGTCTAAATTAACATCAGTACAACCCTAATAAAACCTTCAATCAACAGACAGCCACTATCCACTATGTGTATGATGTATATTTACGCAGGCGTCGCGTGCAGGCCAGCGTCCCCCGCCCCCGCGCGCCTCGCCCCCGCGCCCGCGCGCCCCGCTGACAGGCTGTGCGGCATCTTGACTCCGGCCGGGGTGCTCATACTGCTGCAACAAGGTACTACACATTAAACCTTACACTACACTATCGAAATTCAACAAGAGATCTCCTTCGAAAATCTTCAGGTGCATTTCAATGAATACTACTTTTCAGCAACCGTGATCACTGACAGACGAGATGTGAATGTAGTTTTTTTACAATTACAATAATAAAGCACGGCAGTATATCCAAAAAATATTAGTTTCATTTAAATGAATAATACTCGCGAAAGTCTCAAATCTCATTATCTTTAGCTACACATTGTTTTAGGATAGCTTGATTTTACATACTTAATGCATATCAACAATAATTATCTGACCACAATTCATCCATATTATATATCGCTAATGTTATGCTTTCAAATATCTTTTCATTTTATCTACTACTTTCATTAATACTGTACTGAAAACCTACCTACTATATAATTATCGTAGCAGACTAGTTAGTTCAAAACTCGTTCAAACTAATTCACTAATTACTTCCTATTAAGTACCATTCATATGAATATTTCAATTTAATTTAAAAAAAGCTACAATATTACATTTATATTTTATTGACCAACGAGGGGCTGAAAAATTAATTTTACGTTTTTTATGAACTGTTGAATAAATTACACCAGTCGTAAACCAGCACCTACTAAGCACCGAGGGGCTGTACGTGAAGGATTAGTGAAATGACATAAGACATGCTAGGAATACAAGGATAAACAGAACTATACAATATACAAAAACACTTCAAAATATGGAGTAAAATTTAATAATACTAGTAGGAAATATAGAAAAGGGAAATTCGAGTCAAAACTTCTGAAAAAATATTATATCTGAATGACAAAAAAGGCTGTATATATATAAAATAAAACAATCAACTCACCTTTTGTAAATAACTTAATGGGTGAATCCTAAATGTAATGTATTTTGTATTTAATAAAGATGTAGGGTCCTGTGAGCGACTTGTGACGTACGATTATGACAATAGTTTATTATAGAACATTGGTTTTGAATATTTATTATTTTATTTTAAAACCAGCCAAAAATAGTACGTAAAAAGTATTTGTTATATGTACCACAGAGAATCAATAACAGTGAATGGAGTCTTTGATAGAGAAATATATTTTTCTTATAAAATATGCAAACAATTAATGGAGTTATTACTAATATTCGGTTCGTTTCAAGGACGACCAGAGCTTGCCGGAAAACTACGAAAATTATCAGACGTACATATATCAATTATAACAAAAATTACATTTCTAAAACAGCTCATAACTTAAAACTTTATGGTTGCCCACGTAATAGTAGATTTGGTTAGGTAGAGAGAGGAGCTTGGACGGTGGAGGTGAGCGTTTAACGCGTTAGATAGGGGTCCCTTAAACCTACACCTGGGTCGCAAGTCCCAGGCACTGTTGAAGCTCCTCTCCCTGCAACGATGGACTCGATACCCGCACTATGAATGATGGAATGCTGAGAGGTTTCGTCTCAAAACCACCACATATTTGTGTGGTGTCAGGAATCTTCTGGTTCATGTCACTAGGTGTTAGTACCGCGGAGACAACAGCCAGTGTTATTGTATATCGTATCTATACAACGTAATCGCCCCGGCGATGTTCGTTAATTTTTTTAATAATAAACAACTTGAAACTTTTGTTTAGTGATTGTGTAGGAAAATGAAAGTTAAGTTAAAAATATTACAATTAAAAACAGAATTGAAGAAGGTGGAAATATCATCTAATTCATATTTCTATTAAACAAAGAAGTATTAAAAAATTTTACAAAAGATATCTTTTTAATAAATATTGATAATATTCGGTTTAATTTCATTAGTGTTGCCATATCGAGGTCCTTAGTTTTAACACACTTTTAATAGTCGCGTGGAAACAAGTTTACAAATCAATTAGATTTATACTTAAGTACTATAGACTATAGTTGTAAACTACATGCACGAATGTTAGTTTCAACTCTCTATATTAATATTGTAATATGAACATCCTCGGAAACGATTCAGTAGAAATAGACTCGTTTATTTAATATATTTAATATGATATTATGAATCATAGCATCATTAAGATTATTAAATGACTTTTTAAACATACATTTGTATTATATTTTACTACAAAAATAAACGTTGTAATACTTATTATAATTTTAATATATAAAATTTAATAATAAACATGATCTCAGATTTTGGGTAAAATTTTCATATAATAAGAAAAAAACTTGAACGTCGCGTTGGCGGGTTTTACGAGGAAACATCAAGTCTTAAAACTAACAATTATAGGTATATCAGAGATGGAACAAATTACGAAAGACAGCAGTCTGTAATAATATGTAATAATATTATTGTATTATAAAATTCCGCCATCACCTTGGCCCAGTTACTGTAATATTAATTAAGTAATACGAAATATAATACGAGGGGCGGCGATGGTATCACGAGCGAATTAAACAGGAGCCGGCGGGAACGAGCGACGACGCGACCAACAGCCGGGACACACGGACGCCATGACACCCCACCTGTAGTTTACGTGACGCGGACTATATATTATATTTTATCGGCGAACACTTCAGGTTACACACAATCAAAAACATTTATTTCATTAAATATTACTTAGTGGTTTGTTGCGAAGATCGAGATAGCATTTGGTTATGTTTAATTCTTCTAAGAAAGTTCTGCATCGGCCATCGTCAGTTGAAAAGTTTCTATGATTGACTCTCAAACAAACGAGCGACGAAAACTTGATGAGTATCTGGGATAGTATACCTGTAGGGTGGGGTAGGACTTGAGGCAGGTCATGAACCCTCGCTCCCTGTTTGAACCCTACAACATTTACGCAATATATTGAAGGGTTGCAGTCTGTAGGGTTGTTTAACATGTAGCGCCGACGACGCCGCGGCGACCACGGCTGGCGCCACACGCGAACTGACGAGTCGCCACTAGCGGTGGTGCCACTGACTCACGGCTCACCACCTACCACCTACCACCGATATAACATCAAAAAATAATACTACAAATCATCAATGTAATGTCATTTCGTTTCGATCTACATCTCAGTCTGTCAGTCATCAACATGTACCTATATTTAAAACAACTAACATATTTATCTAACGTAGTATATGTATATCAATAATGAAATTTTGATCCTGAAGTAATTTAATTATAGAAAGTCGAGAATATTTTCGTAGATTTAAAGTCTTTTATTAATTACTAATGACTTTATTATTTTAAAATCGAACCGACATGTGACGTGGTAAATTTTCTTCGATTTTTCTTAGTAACAAAAATTAAGTACTTTAGATTCAAATCTAAATAAATTTTAAAACATTCAACGTCACTTTAAACAACTATGTACTTCTTACTTTTTAATATGAGGACATCTTATGTAGGTACATATATCATTATTAATTATTTTAAATATATTAATTTTTTTCATTAATTCTCTTTCTTTAACTTACATACTTTGGTACTTAGAATGGTTTAGGTTTTTAAAACAATTTTCAATCATCATTCCTTATAACATATCACACATAAAAATTATTAATTATATTGTAGCAATTATTTCATTAAATCTCAGTTTTTATTAATTTGTTATATTATATCAATGAAGATGACGTATCAAACAAGCAGATGACATTATTCAAACTCAAATAACTGTGACTCATACTCTCTGAAGAAACACGAAAATAACACCCACGCACTGAAAATAAGGGTCAGCCTATAGAACCTCCGGGCTCCGGGGGTGAGTCACGACCCTTATAAATATATATCAGATTACTCGGCGATCGCGAAACAGAATTAATATTAACGGTATGAACCAGGAAACAAATACATTGAGACTTGTTATTTATAGTAAACAAAATTTATAATCTAAACGACACAAACAGATATCTCATTAGAGAAAAACTATTATTATATAAATCACATACGAGTATGTAAAAATATTTTTTTGCATTCCTCTGTAACATTGAAATATTTAAATATTAATGAATTATTATTGTAGTTAATTCTCATAATGAACTTCGTCTTACGTCAGATGTATTCCTGAATCCACTCATACAGCCAAACACTCATAATTTTCGAATAAAATAACTGTTGAACTGAATGTTGGTATAAATTTATTCATCGCGATCTAAATAAATGTTATTATTATTCTGCTCTTTCCGCCTATTTTAAAATGTTCTTTGTTTGTGTATAGAACTAAAGTAGGTGGGTAATTTAATGCGACTAATAAATCAGAAGAACAAAAATAGGCAACCTTAATATATTTAAATCTTGTTCTACTTTTGCCCATAGGAAGTACATACTTCATTAATAATAATTTTAATGTATGGAGACTTAATATTTTTTTTTAAGAAACAGAGTCACAATGAGTGTCAAACAACATCGCATTTTGTGATAACTGATCATTTAATTATTAAGTTTATAATATTTCCGTCCCGCTCTCGCATGTAGCAATACGTATATGTCCATCGCGCATGCTCAGGTATACGTCAGACCGCAGACGGTTGGCGGCGGCCAATCGTGATCACTCCGCGGTAGTGTGACGGCCCGCTTCGGAATACATAGACGTTATAGTAGTTCGTCGTTATTTTCGCAAAAGTTTACAACTTCTGACGATCTTTGGGAGTTGGGAAAACTATTTGTGTTAACCGTTACGACACCGCCGTTATCAGTCGTAAAAAGTATAGCCCTTCACGACAGTGTTACAATAACAAAGTAGCGTTTTGATATAACCAGTTTCTTAATTCTTGGAACCGTCACCCGTGCATGCTGTGTTCGACACGAGACCTTGATAACTAGTTCCTTGGACGAGCGAAGAGACAGTTATTATTGGATTATGCCCAAGGAGGTACGTCTTTAGTTTACGTTGCGAATCAGAGGTGCGTGTCTCCTATACGAGTTATATCGAATCAGTGTGGTTGAGTGCGAATTTCGATTACAGGATTTAATTATCGATACGGTGTTATAATGTTTATATAAATGTGCGCGAGCCAGAGACCGCTGTGAGGTGTCCGCGGACGATAGTCGTCAAAATCGTGCGATGGACAACGGCGGAGGTAAATTAAAACGGCGTGTAATATTGCATGAACTGTCCTTTGGTATTGTGTTGAGTATTGACGGTTGTCACTCCTGCCTGGCGCTGCACGCACTTGCTCTTTAATCTCTAATAAATGTAGATCGCGGTTTAGATGATCGTAGTTTTCCAATGGCTGGTGTAATGCTTCCTTCTGTTCTGTGAGCGAGCTATGTTTGTGTGTTCTATAAATACCCCACAAGCCGACCATTACTCCATCCATATCGCTGTTTAGTAATTACTATGTACATACATTGAACTTGTATTTAAATCATTGGCTATCCTAGGATTCAAAAAGAAATATAATTTTTATAAATTATAATTAAGAAGCTTAAATTAGTATATGGTTAGTAAAACGCTGTGTAGACAGATAATTTTCGTAAATATCTCTGTAAGCTTCCTGTCTTAGTATTGAATATTGTAGTATTTATTAATACAATTAATTATTGCCGCCATTTTAATGTATGTAGCGCTATCAACAAGTTCAGTACTGTCAGTTGTTTAGTTATGTATACCTAACATTATATATATTGTTTATTATATACAATGTATTATTTCATTTAATCTTAATGATTTAACGATTATTTTCTTATTTTATTAGACGGGAAATGTTCTTACTGTTTTATTTATTAGTATTGACGTTTTTCGTATTTCGATATTTGAATCATATAATTTATATAATAAAAAGACAAAAGACTGACAGACCCTGGCTAAAGCTGGGAAATTGCCCGGTAAAAAATAAAGACATTACTGTCAAAATAAAAGTAACTAATATTTTATTAGAGTTTTTATTATAAAAATATTAATAGGAGATTAAAAAAGACTACCTATCTTTTGCATCACATATTATAAACTATGTAACAATAATTAAATCTAAAACAGTAGAGCTATTATATGTTACATAACATAAAATATAATTATACAAGAATACCCCATCTATTTCCATAGAAAAAACCATTTTTGTAACCAAATTCCCGGTATAGTTGAGATGTGGGTAATAATTATGTAAAGTTATACAATATTAATGCTTTTATTGTCGATGGATGTGTTCTAACATTATTATAATGCAATCTGTATTTATTATAACTATTATAAGCCAGTAACAGGTAACTTTGAATTATAACACATTTATTTATATACATATATCTATATATTTTATTTTTTAATTAACATCAGTATTTACAGATGTAAGGGTGGCCCGAGCATTCTAAATATATATATTATGACTCTCTAAGATATACAAATAGTATTACAAAAATAGTATATATACAGTCAAAATAAGAAACCTCCTTTTTGAAGTCTGTTAATAAATATATAAAGGATGCCATTATATGATATCTTTGTAGTTATTTCTCTGGTCCTAATTACCTTTTTTTAAGTAGAATTAAATTAATTATCCCGAAGAGAAATAATATCTTTGAGCCTTGTGAAGTCGTTAATTCATAAGGAAACACAACAACCTATTATGAAGTCAACACAGTTCTTCTCAAAGGCTTGTATTACCGATTGCCGTAAAACTGGCCGGACTCATTTGTATTAACGGATAATCTTTGTAATATGTCAAAAAAACTTTATAGATTCTTATATTCATGTTTATGTAAAGGTTTCTACATTGGTTTATATTTACAAGCTTTGCTTATAATACTATAATGTGTAAATTCCCACAGATCAAGATACAATCAAATGATAATAATAAATGATATATGGCTACATATATCATATGATATTATCTTCTTTTTCTACCTGGTGATTTCCCAGCTTTAGCCAGGGTCTGCCTTACATGTTGTGAATAGTTTTGGCTAATTGTTTTTATGACCGGCCACCTGCCTGACATCAACCCTCTTTTTGAAAATCAGCATTAACTAGTGGTGTCTAAATACTATTAGAAAGTACATATGACTTGGAAAAATCACATTGGTACTTGCCAGGGCCAGGATCGAACCTGCGACCTCGTGCATGAGGGGTGAGCTTTTTAACTACTACGCCACCACTAGGATAGTCTATGACAATATAATTATATATATAACATATTGATACCAACATACAGAATATAAACAGAAAAGATACAGTAATAATGTAGATCACAAATTTGTACAGCTATAGCTAATTTGTTATAAAATACATACATAAAACATCTGCAAAAAAGTTGTTTTTAAAATAAGTTCAAATAATACTGGAACTTATCAGTAATTGTCTTATTATCAGCAATGAGAGTTGACCCCCGCACCCTCAGATAGTTTTCAATATTGATCAACTGCTTCTCATGTCACCAGTCTGTCGGCAGCTTCCCGATGTGCTTCACTCTCATACTACATGTTCATTATATGTGATGTTCTTTTCATTGTAACTGTTTAATATTTAAAATGACTCTGTTCTGGGGAATGACGGTTATAGCAGGTATTTGATTTCTTTTATTTTTAATTTTCATATCTTTTTTATTGGATAATGTTTAATTTATTTTATTATTTTTCAAGTGTTTTGTCGATTTTTGGATAACATCTAAATCCAAGAAATATTGCAATTTTGTGTTGAATAGTGTAATAAAAGTGAATGAAAAAATCTGTTATGTCTTTACCGGATGGTTATATAAATTTTTTCTAATAATTAATAATATCACACAAACTATTGAATAATTACATTATAATATTTTTTTTGTACTTGAAAATATACTTCATATTTGAAAATAATAATTTGAAAAACCATGTCCATACATTCTCAAATATAATGCTATATAAATGTACAATACACTTGTATCTTTTTATAAAACGTTTTTTTGTATGTTTTAATGTATTTCAAGTGTTGCAATATTTTTGAAATATAGAATAATAGCATATACTCTGTTAAATCCTGCTTAAAATATTAAAGGAATTAATTTATGAAAAATTATATTTCTTCTGTCTTTAACAAACATTCATTCTTTATTTTATTTTTAATGGTTTCAACATTAATAATTATTTCTATAATGTACTGGTAACATTCATCACAAGTTTTCAAATTTAAGATATCATTTTAAATATAAATTTATTAAAATAATTTAAACTTATTATAAACTATTGGACCTTATAATGTGTTATTTTACTTGAAAATATAATTAATATTTGTAAAAAGTATTGATACCAAAAATAATATATTAAATTTATTTAATATATTTCAAGTGTGGCAACATATTTAGATGTAGAGTAATAGCGTAAATCTGTTTTATTCCATTTAGACTATAAAAGAAACAATATTGTATTCATTTAATTTATTAAAAATTACAGTTTTCCACTTTATAACAAACATTTATTTTTCTTTTCATTTTAAAAGGTTTCATAACTAATAATAATTAGTTTTATATTTAAATAATGATAATATTCATCATGACTTTATATTTCAATATATGATTTTTAATATAAATTTATAACAATAATTTATACATACTTCTGTAATACTCACAATAATTTTCTTACAAAAAATAATTCTTTTCCACATTGTTCTACTTGCTTTGGCAATATAATATCGAGTATTTTAAACGAAATGTGTTATATTAATAATTACAATAAAATATATAATACATACCCAGTATGTATATTAATTTTGCTAATTAAGTAATTGAATGTTTTTATTTTAGTTGAACTATTGACATTAGATTAGCAATTCATAGATAAAAATTTAAAAATAATCTCCTACGATTGGTCACATTTGAAACGCTTGACGGATGAACCTCGTATTTGACGTTTGTTCATTTAATAATAATTTTGATAGGTATGATATTTATTTGTTACAAATAAATTATTTATTTAATGAAATATTGAATATCAGTATGTACAGAGTAGTTAAAGATAATGTATAGAAAATAGAAATGTTTCAATTAAAATCAGGCTTCAAAAACTACATAAGTTATCAATATGACACTATTTGTTCCACACGTCCATATAAAACGTTATTATTTACATGTTTATAGTCCGTTAGACTTAAGCTGAGCTTTGCATTTGTGTGAGTGAAAGTAAAAGTAAAATTAGACAAAAAACTTTTAGAATTACATTTTATTAGAATTTAAATAGATACATAAGTGCTATAAAATAAGCAAAACTTGTAAAAGACCAGATGGAAATATTATTAATATTATGGATGTTTTTTTATTGATTTATAACAATTTTTGAACTATAAATTCTTAGTCACTAGATATTGCATTTTCAACATTTGATTTTGCTACCAGTACAAAGGTTGAAGTGCGGGGCGAAGTAAAAGCAGAATAAACCGGTTCAAATCCAGATAGGCCAGCGCAGATGCCTCTAAAAATGATGAAAAGTGAAAATGAATTATAGTAAAATGACAAGGAGGGGAATATTATAAAAGTAAAGGGAAAATAATTTACGGGCGATCTGAGGTCGGGAAGAGTACGGGCGTGGGTATTTAAGGGTAAAAAATGTGTTTTCTCGATTTCCGGAAAAACTAAGAGTCCTAATGAAAAATGTTATATGGCAAAGTTGTAGGTAATAAAAAGATCTTAAACTTTTGTATATACATTTTTTTCACATAACCTGAAAATTTATGTGATAAGTTCGAAAAACCAAGTTTTTGTTTTTTTTTTTTCTCTTACAAAAAACAATTTTTTGTCACGAAATTTGGTGAAAACTTTTCTTTTGATGTAACAAATACACTATAATTTATTTGATTAGAAATATTTATTTTTTAGCTTATTTTGAATATATACCTATAAAATCAGCCTCATTTTCAATCGAAAAATCACCCGTCAAAATATCAGCTATTTTCAAAAATTTGGTACGTTTTCAATTTGTTGAAATCTCTATTTTCCGATGGTGAAGAAATAAATATAAGTTTCTTACTTACAGTACCATTTTTGGATAAAATAAACATGTCTCTTAATGAAATGATACTCAACATCGGTTTGAAAGTGCATTTGTAACATCAAAAGAAAAGTTTTCACCAAATTTCGTGACAAAAAATTGTTTTTTATAAGAGATAAAAATAAAAAACCAAAAACTTGGTTTTTCGAATTTATCACATTAATTTTCAGGTTATGTGAACAAATTGTTATTACAAAAGTTTAAGATCTTTTTATTACCTACAACTTTGCCATATAACATTTTTCCGTAGGACTTTTAGTTTAACCGGAAATCGACAAAACCTATTTTTGACCCTTAAACACCCACCCCCATACCCTTCCCGACCTCAGGTCACCCGTAAATTATTTTTCCTTTAATTTTTATAATATTCCCCTCCTTTTTTAATGAGTTTCATTCTACTATAATTTAATTATGTTTTAAAAGCTATCGGCACTGGTTTAGAAAAGAACGTGGCATTAAAAAATTTGACATCACACCTACACTATCCGTGTGCACTCACACAAATGCAAAGCTCAGCTTAAATCAAACGCACTACACACGTGACACGGAACGTTTACGGTTTTTATTCATAGATCATAGCACGTATACGTATATTAACGTAGGTTGAATTCAGAATTGAATGAGGAACTGGATGTGGTCAAAGTTTAATTAATAAAACCTTTTTGTAATATTTAAAACCGTTGTTTCATTCATTGAACTATATATTATTTTGGGTATGTTGCATATACTAACATATCAATATAAACATAATTCTTTATATATTAGTCGACGTATTTACGTACTACTAAGTGTTGGTCGAACATAATTCCTTTATTCAATGGTTGTCATCAAGTAATTTCAAAGTTCATTCATCTCACTGAAGATGCACAAAAGACTTCACAAATCACATGTATATTTTTACCTACACCCTGTATATATCAATGTATCTATTACTAATACACGATACTTAAAGCACCTGTATGATAATGAAGCGTAGTGGCCTTCGCTGTGAGGTAGTAAGTCCGTAGTGTAAAGCTTGTCAGCTAGTGGTGGCAGCTTGTTCGCGAGTGTGTGAGGGTGATGCGTGTGCTTGTTGCAGAGGGCGTGCTGCATGTAGACCACGGCGAGGCGGGCCAGCCGTCCAACCTCAATATAAGTGATGTCAGTGAGTATCCCCACACTCCTGGACAGCAACTATGGACACTTCTCAGTGACCTAAGCTAATATGAGCACCATGTATTTATGACGTCACAGTAATCTAAGCTGTATATCGTTTTATGTCATAGTTCTTATATGTCATTTTCTCTGTTGTATTTATTATTCATATATATTATATATCTCAGTATTACTCATTTTATTATCTCATCTTATATATGATCATATTTCATTGTTTTTATTTTGTCTCTTAATTTCTCTTTTCTCATATTATTTCTTCTCTTGTGAAATTATTAAAATCGTTTGTGAGGCTCTCTGGTGGTTTGTGTTTCACGCAAAAGTTACTTGACAAAGGATGAAACTTTCATAAATTTGACTTTACACATCAATGAAGTATAATAATTTATACCTAAAATACATATATCAAGGGGTAATGATTGTATTACATAGTCTGTAGATCGAAGTTAGTAAAAATTACGAAGTCCAAGTGGATAAAGTCGCGGGAAAGAATTAGTATATCTATAATGTTGTTTATTGTGTAATAAATATATATTTTTATTAAAAATATAAACAATGGTTCCTTAACTACAGATAATAATTAATGTCACTTACAATGAATTCTAATCCTCATGAATAATAATATATTATTGTTTTAAAAACATCGTTCATCAGATCATCTTTATCAGCCTGTAGTTGCTAATCTATAGTGGACATATAATATTTAGTTCTAAATTGTTTTTATAATTGGTAAACTATCCCTAGTACTAATTTGTGATGTTCGATTAAACTGTAGATATTGCGTGTGCCACATAAAGCAATAAAATTATATTTCGTTTACAACAAATAAGAAAATACCTAATACTGTTAAAATTTGTTATACGACGATCTTTGACCTATTAAATGAAGAGCTCAAATGAAGCCGCTATGACCCCAAATAACGTTAATATTTGTAACAAGTGATGTTTTTATGATATAAACTTGTTATTTATATTATAACGAGGAACATCTCTATAAACAGCGATCAGGGAATCCTGATGTTATCTGGGGTGAGAGTGCGACACTCTTATCACACAAATTATATAGCGAACATACAAGTCGAAAATATTTTGTTATGATTATTATTATTAGGTAACGCCTATTGACTCATACATACTAATATTCTTCCTCGACTTCGCTCGCTTTAATTTTCGATATCTATTTTTAGGTCCATTCATCGATGTTTTATTTTCATTAACTAGCCATTAGATATATTTTTTATAATGAATTAAATTTACGTAATACTTTTTAACAATTACTAATTTATTTGAGTCCGTAAATTCTTCTATAAGCAAGTGAAAGTTTATGAAACGTTCTCTTTATATAGTGCTGGGTTTGATGTGTGCTTAGTGTGAGGTAGTGCTGGGTTGAAGCTGATCTTACATAGACTGGAAGATTCCTTATACCAACTGAAATGAACACTAGCAATGTACAAATCTATATATATAAAAAAGTCGTGTTAGATACAGTTTTTTATAACTCAAGAACGACTGTAGGGATATAGTTGAAAATTTAGGGGTGATAGAATACGGAGACGGAAGGGTATTTGATTCTGTTCGATCGAAACAGAAAAAAAAAACAAATATATGATTATTATTTACGGCCTCTAGGACGGAATAGAATTCAGCCGGTCAGCTATACATATATTAGTTACTTATGCCAAAATTAAATTGGGGAAAAAGTATTACATAGTTGATAAAAATTGATTGTAATAATAAAATACTGATAAATAAAATATATCATGATACGTATTAAAAGCTGTGTAATCACAAACGTGAGAGATATTAACGTAAGCTAATTAATGCAAAAACGCCGAAATTATCGTATACTGTTATGAGAACTTGTGGGAGGCGTAACGTAAGTTAGTAACATCGGATCGGGTCAGGCGACTTGTGAACAGTAAACAAAGGAGTTGAAGAAATAAACACACTGGTTATTGTTCAATTATAATGTATTAAGGAAAATATAAGGAAATATAAGTAAATGAAATTAATAATACTTCAAGTACATTTACATTGGTATTCATCACTTCTGTACACTCGCCATAAAAATGCCAATCTCTTTTTCGTTTCATCTTCAACAGAGTATTTTACAATTAAACAAAAAACACGATTGCTAAGTAAACATAATCTCCATTATATGTAGTAATGACAATTAATGTTGGTCATTTGATTCATTCGTAATACCTACTATGTCCAAGGTCGTTCAATCCTCGCGCTATGTTTGCCTCCATACTCTTCTCGGTACCCTATCAACAATATTCCACATATAACAATTCGTTTCACCTCACCGTCTCCGTTGTTCGCTTCACTTTCTCTCCGGTTTTTCCCCGCTGCAGCATCCTTATGAGAGTTCACATTAACCAAGCCTATATAACGCCTACGTCATTAATACCCGACTTGTTTGGTTGCGTTACTGTATAATGAGTTTATTAAATTCTGTGCTAAATTCTCAAACAGTTATAAGTTATAACACTATTAACTTTATAGTAGACTTAATTCATAGAAAAAAAATATATTTTTAAATTATTATCTACTCAAATCATGGATGATACGGTATTAATGATAATGAATGTATTGTGATCTGTTCAGTTGAGGCGATCACGAAGGCGGACCCTCTGTTCGGGCCGGGAGTAGAGGCCATGCCGCGACCTCTCTCCTCCCACCCGGGGCAGACCTACGTCCGCATTGTGGAGCAGCCCGCCGGGAAGGCGCTCAGGTGACACACACACACACACACATTATATATAACAAGTCGTAAATATCTTTACCGTTGGTATGTGTTGATAATTAAACCACTATATTAACCTAAAGTACCTAGATATGTACGTCTTATTACATTTGTCAATAATGTCATAACGAAAGAACTGGTTTATTCAGTTAGCTACACAACTAAGAGTGTTAAGGAAACAGAATGTAAATAATTCGCACGAATATGTGATCTTACCACCCGTTTGTAACGTTACAAACTAAATACGGATAGATTGCTTTCACCTGACGACGAAAAGACGTTTAAAACAATGTTAAGTAGTAGTAAATTTTAGTATAAAATGTGGTTCAAATGAGCAGTAGAGACACAAGGAGAATAAAATATAATAAAATAATATGATGTTCTCAGTTTATTTACCATAAGTTACGACACACTACATACTTACCGTTTCCCGTTTTTTACTGTATTACCCTCGTCAATATTGTATGAAAAGATTTATGAATGAAAAACTGTTAACTATAGGTATTGGGCGATTAAAATTTGAAGTAAGCATATTGTGTTGATAGTTAAGGAACATGAGATAAGTAATTTGTAAATACTTAGAAATAATTATTGATTTTTATCAAATAAATTAAAATGTTATCAATAAAAGTAGTGACCCCGTGACCTTTAAAAATAAAGTTTTATCAAACAAGGAAAAATAATTTCGTTGAAATTGAAGCGCTCATTACGTTAAGAGTGCGCGGCGCTAAGTACGAGTGTGTGTATGAATGAAACACGTCCACACCGTCCGTGTGTTCGTGTTGTATAACAAGGGTAATGCTCTCTGACGCGACACTCTCTTTTAGACCGCGCGTCACTTGTGTCGTCACGTCTACTGAGATTTTCGTTTAAACCTAGCGCGAATTATATTAAAACTACTAGCTTTCTGTCTGCAGCTTCGCCCGCGTGGAGTTCAGTTATATCGCGTTTCCAAGAAAACCTTTTTAAATTCTGGGATAAAAACTATCCTATGTTCTTTCTCAAGGTCAACTCTATGTCTGTACCAAATTTCATTAAAATCAGTACAGTGGTTTCGGCGTGAAAGCGTAACAGACAGACAGAGTTACTTTCGCATTTATAATATTATTAGGGATAGATTTTACTTAAAATAGTTCAAAAATGTTGCTCGTCTTTCTTATATTTAATAGTAAGAGGGACATTAACCCTATTTTAAGTATATCTGTTCAAACCAAATAAAAATGCTCTAAAATCTAAACGAATGTTCCGTATTGGATGCCGTCCAGAAATCTCTATATTCTGATATATGTGTGTTACTTTCTGTTGTATTAAATTATTTAGTTGATTTTAATGACTCAAATAAAAATAATACATTTATGTTTTTATTATTATACGTCGATCATCATACACAAATTAAAATTTCTTACAAGGCGAATACTTTAAATACCTTAGGTTAAACTGATACTTTTTACAAAATATATCACTGTCTGTAAGCCGACATTTCTCAGCTCATATATTTTTCACGGTCATCATTTAAATGTATTTTTTACCTATTACCAAGAAATCTGCGGTTCCGATGACATGGCGTTTATTAATCGTCTCGCTACTGATTCATACGTATATTAAGACAATTACCTCGTGTTTTATAACATGAGAAACAGAATCAGAAAATACACATAGATTGAACAATGAGACAGATCAGTAGAAGTACAATATTAACTTTATTTAATTAATTTTCCTCTTACGACTATAGTTATAAACAGACCTGTAGCCAGGGTCTGCCTTACATATTGTTGTGAATAGTTTTGGCTAATTGTTTTTACGACCGACCTGCCTGACATCAACCCCCTTTTGGGAATGCATTAATCAGTGATGTCTAAATAATCTTATAAAGTACATATGACTCGGAAAAATCACATTGGTACTTGCCCGGGCCAGGATCGAACCCGCGCCCTCATACATGAGAGGCGGGCCTTGTATCCACTAGACACTAGGCCATCACTGACTCCGTGAACAGTAAGTCTGTAAGTTGTGACGTATTTATGTTACAATACAATAATATTGTTTATAATATACAAATGATTTTGATACTATTAAACACTCGACGTGCGTTGATAGAGGAGCTAATTACATTGATAAAATATATCACGTTGTTATATTTGAAAATGATGAAGGATAACGAACAAGCAATGAGGATTCGATCACAAAATAGAAAATAATCTAAAATTTACTATTACATATTACGATTTGTTATATGCGATGTATATTTATATATAACAATTGAATATAAACATACAAAATACCGTTCTTTATAGATTAACACACAGACAGATATATAATATACATATATGTATGTATTATATATGTAAACGTCGTTGTATGTGCGTTTATAGTGAACATAAATATAATTAGATGATCTCTCGTTTAACAGATGACTTACCACAAGTTCACACCGTCACGTTGACAGTTTTTCATTGATAATAATTAATCCAAGGACACTAGTATTATCGTGAGTTTTGAATGAAAAACGGGAAACGCTTACTGTGTAGTTACGTGATGGAACTTGTGCTAGGAACATTCAAGGTGTGGGAATTTTATTGAATTTAATATGAGATTCTCGTAACTGGACACGATCAGTTTACGCTTATGTATTATCAGTTAATATTTAACAGAACTTTTATATACTCTATATTTTTTCTCGTTTTATAATATAAAAATAAATGTAAGTTATACTTTGACTTTGTCACAAGTCCATAGTTTGACCAATATACAGTAGAAACCAAATCTTTAAATATTATGTCCCACTAAAAAACTCTGCTGAAAACACGGTTGCTTTAAAGTAACCGAAACATCGGGAGTTAGTAGTTTAGTTAGTAATTCTTAGATCTCATTATAAAAAAAAATCTGTTTCTAAATAATATACATATTAATTATAATCAACAAGTAGCACATATCTTAAAGGTTATAATGTCAATCAGTAATGATCTATAGTAGAGCACGTGTATGTGTGACGCAGGTTCCGGTACGAGTGCGAGGGTCGGTCTGCCGGCTCCATCCCCGGGGTGAACAGCACCCTCGAGAGGAAGACCTACCCCACCATAGAGATAGTGGGATACAAGGGGGATGCGGTCGTCGTGGTCTCCTGCGTCACCAGGGAACAGCCCTATAGGTATGAACACACGCACACGCACACACACACACACACACACACACACACACAGCGGCAGATAACAGGAAAACAGAACGATATTATATACATACTTACATATATGTGTAGTGTTGTGTGACTTGTGAGTCACGCGGCGTGGAGACGATATTATATACACGACGTGTATACACACACACACACATACACATAATATATATACACTGTACACATATTATACAGGATGACTGGTGAATTACTATCAATATTTTAGGAGAATGCTCGGTACATGATTCTCATTCGAATTATGTAAAAAAATAGGTACTTAATTTTTTACCAAATTTCCGTATAAATAAATAAAGTGTGGACACGTTCCAAGTGTTCCAAGTGTGGACGCGTGCGGCGGCGTGCTGATACAACACCCCGCCGCCGCGCGCGAGTGTGTGTGTGTGTGTATACCTAATCTGTAGGGTGTTCACACGATGCGTAATTAATTACACAACTTTTGGTTAACTTTACTTAGAAGTTTATTAATATTTATGTTATACTAGAAGACCTGGCGAACTTCGTATCGTCCTATAATCAAGAAATATCTATTACGTTTTTTTTTAATATTTTTGCAGTTTACCTGTAAGCCATATATCTTCATGTTTTGAAGTGCGATAGAATGATTGACATATTAGTTAGTTGTCAAATCTAATGTCAAAAAAAAAAAACGTTTGTATGGGAAATAGAAAAGGGCTGTTTTTATGGTTTTCCCACTAATTCAATTTTTTTTCAGCTTTTATACCTTCCCTGAACCTCCACGAACATTTCAAGACTAAGATAAGATAAATCCGTTCAGCCGTTCTCGAGTTTTAGCGAGACTAAGGAACAGCAATCCATTTTTATATATATAGAAGATTAATTTTTATTTTGTCATATATGATCGTCAAATATCACGTCCTCAAGTATCGATAGTAATTCACCAGTCACCCTGTATACAAGTTGACCCGGCATACGTTGTTTTGCCATATAAAAAAATAAGGGGTTGGTGATAAAATAGTAAAAATTTTGGGTTGTATGTATTTTTTAATGCTACATTATAAACAACCCTTATGACTTGGGGCTATAAAAATTGATGTTGGTCGATTCTCAGACCTATTCAATAATCAATATGCTCATAAAATTGCATCAGAATCGGTCCAGCCGTTTCAAAGAAGTTCTCTGTCTAACACCGCGACACGAGAATTTTATAAAAAAAAATTATATACAGGGTGACTGGTGAATTACTATCGATACTTGAGGACGTGATATTTGATGATCATATATGACAAAATAAAAATTAATATAACATAAATATTAATAAACTTCTAAGTAAAGGTAACCAAAAGTTATGTAATTAATTACGCATCGTGTGAACACCCTACAGATTAGGTATACACACACACACACACACACACTCGCGCGCGGCGGCGTGGTGTTGTATCAGCACGCCGCCGCACGCGTCCACACTTGGAACACTTGGAACATGTCCACACTTTATTTATTTATACGGAAATTTGATAAAAAATTAAGTACCTTTTTTTTACATAATTCGAATGAGAATCATGTACCGAGTATTCTCCTTAAATATTGATAATAATTCACCAGTCACCCTGTATATTCACATTTTTGGATAATTTCAAATATAGGTATGTAACCATAAATTCATCTTTACCACTCCGTAACACGAACATACACGTGTTAAACATAAGTTTAACCACGGCGGTAATAGCTACTACAGGCGCCTGCTTTAATCTCATTGTTAGACAGAGATTAGTTCATTGTCACCTAATATATACTGTCATTTAAAATTAACCTCTACAACCACTGTTAACCTAATTAAGGACCGTCTTTAATTCACCTTCAAGTCACATTGCCTGTAATCTATGTTATCATTGTGCACAGACCTCACCCCCACAACCTGGTGGGTCGCGAGAGGTCGTGCGAGAACGGAGTGTGCACCGTGAAGAGGAGCATCAGTGAGGAGTCACCGCAGGTGTCCTTCAGCAACCTGGGGATACAATGTGTCAAGAGGAAGGACATCGCGGAGGCGCTCAAGACCAGGGAGAGGCTGAGGGTCGACCCCTTCAAGAGTGAGTACACACACACACACGGACACATACATACATGTAGATGTGAGATTAGTCTTAGGACGCTGTATATAATACTAGCTGCGCCCCGCGGTGTTACCCGTGGATATCCGAGATGTAAAGTAGCCTATGTGTTATTCCTGGAAGTCAGCTTCCTGTATACAAAATTTTATCAAAATCAGTTCAGCCGTTTGAGCGTGAAGAAGTAACAAACATACACACACACTCACAAACTTTTGCAATTATAGTATTAGTAGGATAACAAATATAAAAATAACCCTGACCCAACCCATGTGTTAATCTCAGTTACCAAGTCGGTAGTGAACCGGCTGAGATGTTTTCAGCTTTTAAATGAGTCAATGAGCATGTTTCATCGGGCTCTGGACGTTGCTTACAGCGATGTTCTAAACTGAAATAGGGTCAATGACCCGCATACCACTCACTAGGACTTACTCCACACACAGTTCACGGACCTGTATCAACTGACACAAAAAATACTGGTTATTGTTATCTAGATACCCTTAGACTCTGATAAATGATAATATAGTATTGTAGATTCATATCAAATATAACAAAAGATGTTTAGTGAAAAAGTTGCGAAACATATCGCTACCAGGGCTGGCGGTTAAAATAGATCGCCAGAAATACTCGGTTAATATGAGGAGCGCGCACGAGACGCGCTACACGATGTAGATCATATCACCAAGGACGCGGGGATTTTATTTACTACGATAATACGTAGTACGGACTGATAACACGTAATCTAGACGATCGACACTTATCGCTTACATCACAGACGAACACCGGGTGTCGACGCTTGTATAGAAATGGAAACATCGACCACGTGTTACACCGCCACGAACAGTTTACGTAAAATGGCGTCCTAGCGTTACATCGCGTTACGTCACACTGTTTATTATTGTGTAATGATTGTTATTGAAGTACACACGACATAATGTTATCTCGTTCACACTACACACCGTCACGCTACATACTACTCAGTATGTTAGTCTTTTATAAACTGTTTCTTCTGCTATGTCTCCTAATGTCCGTCATGTTTCCGGTGGCCAGCCGGCTTCGGTCACCGCAACAAGCCGCAGAGCATCGACCTGAACACGGTCCGGCTCTGCTTCCAAGTGTTCCTCCCTGACGAGCGGACCGGCAAGATCAAGCACTCGCTGCCGCCGGTCGTGTCCGACGTGATCTACGACAAGAAGGCCATGAGCGACCTGGTCATCATGAGGGTCAGCCAGTGCTCCGACTTCGTGAAGGGCGGCGCCGAGATCATCCTGCTGTGCGAGCGGGTGACGCGCGAGGACATCGCCGTGGTGTTCTTCCAGAAGGAGGGAGACAGCGTGGTGTGGGAGGAGAGCGCGCACATCGTGCTCGTGCACAGGCAGTACGCCATAGCCTTCCACACGCCGCCCTACAGGGACCAGGCGGAGACGGGACACGTGCAGGTCAGGGACACGCGCACACACACACACACACACACACACACACACACACACACACACACACGCACACACGCACACATGATAACCTCACCCAGCCCACCTCACCTAGATCCAGGGTTGGAAAAAAAACATGCTGTTTTTAAAACTTCATTGCTGTTTTAATCACGTTTTAAACATGTTTTAAACACATAGGTACGTAAAAATGAAAAAATAATATACTAAAAAGACAAAACGTGCTTTATTTATTGTAATTGTAATTATTATTCTTATTATCAAAGTTTATATGCCATCAAGTTCAATCAACTTTCCTTCTCTTATTCTTCACCTCAACCCTCAACTTCCATGATCTGAAGTTTCTCAAGCGAACTGTTTTGATTAAGAGCCCTCATAATTGCAATGATTTAGCAGCTTTGTCTGTCCCAAGCTTGTTTCTTAATTTTGAATGTACCAGTCCGAATGTTGGGAAAAACCTTTCAATTCCTGCGGCAGAAGCAGTTGCAGTAAATAACTGAGACGTAATGTCGAGCATCCCTGGATCCACTTTATTACCCAGTGATTTCCACCACACAGACACATGCGTTTTCAATAAAAGGTCTTTTTTAAACATGTATTCCAAAAAAGGATAACTCCTCGCACGGTACGTCAGGACATCTTTCATGGCATGCGGACAGCTTGAATCTAAAAACTCCATGCCTATTGTGTCTTCTTATTCTGATAGACCTTCTCCATTGTAATTGGGCTCTAATATACAGGGTGACTGGTGAATTCCTATCGATATTTGAGGACGTGATATTTGACGATCATATATGACAAAATAAAAATTAATATAACATAAATATTAATAAACTTCTAAGTAAAGTTAACCAAAAGTTATGTAATTAATTACGCATCGTATGAACACCCTACAGATTAGGTATACACACACACTCCCACAGACGCGGCGGCGGCGTAGTGTTGTATCAGCACGCCGCCGCACGCGTCCAGAATTGGAACACTTGGAACGTGTACACACTTTATTTATTTATACGGAAATTTGGTCAAAAATTAAGTACCTATTTTTTTACATAATTCGAATGAGAATCATGTACCGAGTATGCTCCTTAAATATTGATAGTAATTCACCAGTCACCCTGTATAAGGAGCGAAATGTGCAGGTGTCATTGCGGCTATAAATCTCGCTTTAAGTTTGTCTGCTTCTTCTGGCAACCAGTCAGATGAGAGTAAATCTTTCCATATATGTGTACAATCACTCAGGACTTTTAAAAAAATTCATTCACCTCATTACCGCTTGCCAGCCAGGGGAATCCCAGGTAGTTATATCAAAGTTACCAACTCTTCGGTAAAAAACATACCATAATAATTATAAAATTAGTATCACAATTTTTTAAATTAAAAGTACAACTACTTTTAGTTAGAAAATATTAAGACACATTATAATGTGTTTTTTGAAGTGTTTTAAACATGTTTAAAACAAATTGTTTTTAATTATGTTTTAAACGTGATATGTATTTTCGTATTGTTTTAAACATTGTCAACCCTGCCTAGTCCACATCACCATCAAATCGATAAGTTCTCGCTTGCAACATAACATTAAGTGTGAAATGCATTTTACAACGTTAGCACTCCTAGTGATAAGTGTCCGCCCTCAACAATGAATGTGATGACTTTCGTTGTACTCGGAGTTGTAAATAGTTCCTCACGTCTGTCTCCAGGTGTATCTCCAGCTGAAGCGGATCTCGGACAACGCCCGCAGCAACGCCGTGCCCTTCGAGTACATCCCGGAATACCAAGGTACCGTCCGTAAGCCCGTCCCCGACCTTAGCGTCTTCTCTCTCCTCCTCTCACCCGACGGTAACAACAACGAAAGCAACATAGCTGAGGAGACGCTCTCGGAGAAAGACGGGGCGCCGGCCGCCGAGCTGGTGACCTCCACCAGCGACGTCGAGCCCGCCCTGGACACCGCCATGGACGTGGACTCCAACGAGAAGAGTCTGGACGACCTGTTGGAGCAGGTGGCCGAGCTCGACGAGATATACTGCGAGAACAGAACTAGAATGGAGGCCGGGCCGAGGGACCACGACACGGACCCCGAGGAGTTCGACGACGCGGGCACCTACACCAGCCTGCAGCTGGCCTTCAAGAACCCCGTCACCATCGCCGAGCCCGAGAACTACGAGGACGTGCAGCCGCCTGCGCACACCTACCGCGGACCCATCATCGAGTTCACGCCGCTCAAGCCCGAGGCGGAGGAGGCGCCGCCGCTGCCTCCCAAGAGGGTCCGGAAGACCAGCGAGTCCTTCAAGACCAGCCAGACCTCCGTGGACGGCATCCTCAAGCCGGGCCGCCGTCTGCCGCTCACACGCAACCCTGAGGCGGCCGGCGGGACCGGGCCCGAGCTGACGACGGCCCGCAGCGAGCCCGCCCTGCCGCCCGCACCCAAGAAAAGATCGTTCTTCTCGAGACTGTTCCGAAGAAGAGACAAGTCGCCCGCGCCCAGTGTCAAGTCCGAGGGCAAGCGGGAGGCGCGGGGCAGCCGGCCGGTTGGGCGGTCCGTGAGCAGCGTGTCGGGGCTGCGGCCGGCCAGGTTCAAGTCGTCCGCCTCGCTGAAGGACAGCGCGTCGCTGGCGTGCGCGGACAGCGTGACGCGCATCTCTCTGCACGAGGACGAGCCGTCCCGCGCGCCCAGCGTGCCGGCCGACCTGCCGCCCGACGGGACCATCCTGGTGGCGGAGAGCGTGCTCGCTCTAGACGCGGACTCGTTCCGGCGCCTGCGGGACGACCTGGAGCTCACAGAGGCGGAGCACTACGCGCTGTACATGGCCGTGGCGCCGCACGCCACCGCCTCCGAGTTCGACGACACCAGCTGCTACTACTCGCCCGTCGACGGCTCCAAGTTCCACAACTGACCATCACACTATACATATAACGAATAAACTCCTCCTCCCCTCCGGAACACTTCGTCATGAACATCCTTCTAGTCAATTTTATATTTATTATTTTATTTTGTTCTTCAACATTTTTTTTATTATTATTATTTTGTTTTGTTTCATTATGATTGTTATTGTTTAAACGATGTGTTGAATGTTTATTTAATTATTTTTTAAATGTTTTCTAGATACCAACTATTTAAAGCATAAGAGGTTGAAGAAGTTACCCTCGGTGTTGCATACCTCCTACGACACAGACAGTAAGTCTCTCAGTCTGTCTCTCTCACTCATACATACAGAGTGTGTCCCTCGCTGGTCCGAGGACCTTCAGTATATATTCAATACATGATGCATTTCTTTACTTGTAATAATTTTGTTTGATAAAATTATTGTTAAAGTATCACTAGTTCAGTGACCTCACTCTGTATGTATGAGTTATTATTGTTTCACAGTAAAGAGGGAAGGGAGATGTCTTTACTGTAGAATACTAGGTATATAAATGGTATATGGTGTTGGGGCTCAGTGTATTGTTGGGTTGTGTCTGGTGTGGTCCAGTATAGTCTGGTTCTGTCTGGTCTGGTCCAGCGTTGTTCATCAGTAGTAATAGTATTTGTTGCATCTCATCAATATTGTTTTCTTGTGATGTTTATCTCATGTATAGGAACTAGCTTCTTATGACACTTTACAAACATTAGCTTATTATTTTTGTTAAGGATATGTGAAATTAATAATTTCTTAATATTTAATTTCTTATTAGGTATATAATTGTTCATCAAGTTATGAGTTAAATTAAAAATTTATATATTATTGATATTTACAAATTTTTTGTATTAATGTTGAATTTTACAAGTTCTGTTATAATTTTGATAGTATTAAATGTTTTGGTGCTTCTAGGGTTGTAAGTTGTACTAACAGAGGCGGGCATTGTTGTGATTTGGGGCTTTTGGGTGTGGGTCTATAGTTGTTTAGCCATGGGACACTTAAAAATGTAACTAACAATGTCTATAGAATGTTGTAACAACCATGTAATGAAGTATAATAAACAGAATGATTATTGTAAACTATAAAAGGCTATTGCATACCAAGTATACAATATAAGTACAAACATGTAGAACAATATGCTAACAGAACATGTGTGTACAGTGATACAGTCAAGTAGTATTTATGGAGCAGGTGTATGGTGGACCGGTGGTTGTCAGTACTTGTGTGCCGCTTCATACAAGTGAACATATCTAGCTGTAGATTTAGATGTATTTACATCAAAGTTTTGATATACATTTTTGTGAGGTATTACTATGTACCGATTGCTGATTTTTTGAAATTATCTACACTCATGGAGATATATAGAGAGCATAGCTTCTGGACGCGTGGAAATATAATAATAAAACATGTCACTGAGGTTTTATTTAGTTCCTAAACAAACATCAACAGTGAGGACTGTCTCAGGTCAGTGTGTGTGTTAGTGAGCACGGTTGTGTTGTTGTGTTGTGTGGTTCATCTCCACTTGTATTTTTTAGTTAGTGTTTTTTATTAACACACATCTTCCTTGTCGGCATATCTTTATGTTCTGCATGTATATTTTTTTTCGCATGAACTTGTCGAAGGTCCAGCGCATTATTCCCTTACACACACGCTGTGACAATGTTATATACCTATTATTTTGCTTCATCCGTTGTAATGCGCTTCTCCTTAGAAAGTTAACATTATGTTGGACGCTACTTGTGGTTTTTGCAATAGCTTTTTATACAAGAACTTCTTATGTTTTTAATAATTATAATATCTTTCAGGAAACTACCAAGGGGATCAGAAGATTAAAGCGGAACCCAGAGGTACCCAGATAAATAATTTTCAATTGATGTCTCTTCTTGGAGTGTGTTTTAAACTGTGTTTGTATGATTGTAGCAGATAAAACTCCCCCCCACAACGCGGCCAGCCCCCTGCGAGTGTTCTCTCCGCACTATGAACAGGAACAGATGCAGCAAGACCACTACCAGGTAACTAACACTGTCATATCACTCTTATTACTGTTTCAATAATATATAAACTAGAAGATCCGGCGAACTTAGTATCGCTCTATAATCAACAAATATCTGTTACGTTTTTTTATTTATATTTTTGGAGTTTTAACCTATTAAAGCCATAAATCTCTGTGTTTTGAAGTGCGACGGAATGATTGACATATTAGTTAGTTGTCAAATCTAATGTCAAAAAAAAACTTTTGTATCAACAACTACTAATAAATTAAAAATTAATTAAAAAAACATTATCCAGTAGACAAAATTGTGAATCTAAACCATTCCCAGATCCCCTTGAACACACAAAAAATTTCATCAAAATCGGTCCAGTCGTTTGAGAGAAGTTCACTGACATACACACTCACAGAAGAATTATATACAGGGTGACTGGTGAATTACTATCGATACTTGAGGATGTGATATTTGACGATCATATATGACAAAATAAAAATTAATATAACATAAATATTAATAAACTTCTAAGTAAAGTTAACCAAAAGTTATGTAATTAATTACGCGTCGTGTGAACACCCTACAGATTAGGTATAAACACAAGCACAAACGCGTGCGGCGGCGTGGTGTTGTATCAGCACGCCGCCGCACGCGTCCACACTTGGAACACTTGGAACGTGTCCACACTTTATTTATTTATACGAAAATTTGGTCAAAAATTAAGTACCTATTTTTTTTACATAATTCGAATGAGAATCATGTACCGAGTATTCTCCTTAAATATTGATAGTAATTCACCAGTCACCCTGTATATAAAGATGTCAATAAAAATAATGAATGTTATTTTTGTAGCAGCAGGCCTGGGGAATGCAAGGCGGTTTAAACATGGCCGGGCCGAGCCATATCAACTACGGGCAGGACCTGCAGTGGAGTCCGAACTACGTCCAGCTAGGGTCCAACCTCCAGCCTCTCTCACCCAACATGACGACCCTGACCTCCAACATGCAGCAGATGTCCAGCCTGCAACCTCTGTCACCGAATATGCAAAGGATGTCCCCGAATATGCAGGCTATGTCCCCGAATATGCAGGCGCTATCGCCCAATATGCAAGCGATGTCTCCAAATATGCAAGCCATGTCTCCGAATATGCAAGCCATGTCTCCGAATATGCAAGCTATGTCTCCGAATATGCAAGCCATGTCACCCAATATGCAAGCCATGTCACCCAACATGCAACCCATGTCTCAAAACATGCAAGGCATGTCTCAAAACATGCAGGGCATGCCGCTGGGTATGTCTCCGTTGCTGGAGCCGCTGGGCGAGACTCTGACGTCATCGGAGCTGTCCGGATTTGCCGCGCTACTGGATCGAGGACCCGACCTTAGCGACAGTCTCAACCGCCTCTCCACTGGCGACCTCTACCCCATATGTAGCGGAGACTAGGCTTAACCACGGCAGAGGTCACGTTACACTGGTTATTAGTTTATGGGACTTGGACCCTCGAGTCAGACTCGAGGTCACAACACCGTCTCTACACTATAGAGACGACTGTTGGAATGTTCGAGAGATTGTTTGAATATAAATGATCGTGAATCCTTTGATATTATTGTAGTTAGTGTTTAATGTTAATGTAGATAGTCACACTCACATACTGGAGCTGAAAAGCTTCCTTCACACCAGATGGATCACTTGAACTACATGTATAATAGTTACGTCTAAGCTGTAGTTAGTATAAAACATGCACAAACAGTTGAAAAATAACTGAGTCTCATACGGCAGAGAAGAAACATCTTAGTCTAGAAAACATATACAGAAAGTTGAAAAGCTATGAAATTCGTTAAAAAAAATATGAGATTTTGGATAAGTGAGATTTTATGAAGTAAGGAAAAATATTTTTTTATTGTGAACTAATTTGATAGTTATAGTGGTTAATACTAGGACATTGCCGCGTCGTGTCTTGGAACCAAATATTGTGATTTGATAACATTCTGTGCTCGTGTGGTGCCGGCCTTATAAGGCTCGGGCCGGAGGTCGCGTGGAGAATATTTTTTGGGGAAACATCACAATAATATAAGGTTAACGTGCAATAAATTACGTACGCATTTAATGTGTTAAGTTATAATTGTTGTCATATTTTCAAATAAATAAAAAATAAAAAACTTTTGACAATGTTAATTGTTTTTTTTTACTGTACTTTTTGTTATATTATAATGTGAGAAATCTACGTACAGATTAAATTATTACAAAAATTTAATTAATTTTAATTCTTACCATTATAGAGACAGAAGAGTATTTCCACCTTATTTTTTTTTTTACTGCATGAGGTTTATAATATGACCCATGAAAGAAGTAATATATGTAAGTGGAAGATTTAGTTTTTACTTAATTTTTTAATAGGTTGGATAGCACTTGGCTATTATTAAAACAGACATTAGATGTAAATGAACTCGAAAATGATAACCACTATACCAGTTATAGAGTTATAGTCTATTCAGTCTAGTCTAGAACGTACCCAATAGTTTAAGAGTAAGGGAAAACAAAGCATTCATACTCTTATATATTGATATGCGCAGTAGAAATTGAAAACTCAATATTAAATATAAAGGAAAGAAGAAAAAAACAATCTGTTCTCTCTGATTGTTGGAAGCAAGTTTAGCTTCTCCGTCAATGAGGCAACATCATTTTCGGATTGAAACTAGTCTTATAATACCTTTGTGGTCATGATTTCACCTCACATTAATCCTTGTTGTTGTAACATTTATGAAAGACGATTTTACATGGAATTTTATTTAAAATCTGTCCTGTAATCTTGTTGTCGAGACCTTAAACTATAATAGCACATAGAATTCTAAACCTACTGCTTGATTAGAAGAAATTGTTTTTTTACGTTATGTTTATAAATCAGCAATATGTCATGAAAGGTACCTAAGACCTAAGTTATAATTACTCTGTTTAGGGTACTAAAATTAAAAAAAGCTTTTCTCTCAATATTAACTAGATAATTGGAAGTTAATACAAGGCAAAAAGTTCCATAACACATTATAATTTAAACCTACGTTTTCCAGTAAGTAAATCATTATTGGTGAAATTCGCTGAGGAGGAGATTATAAATTCTACATTGTCAGCTGATGTCAGCCTTTTACTAACCTTTATTTGGTGTGCAAAAAAGATAAATGGTATATATAGAGTATAGTTGGACAAAAAAAAACAACTCGGTTCTCTTTTCACACCAAAGAAAAACAAAATAAAGCTTAATGATATCTAAGATTTTCGAGTATACACACTTGAACGGAGCGAAGGTTTTGGAATACTACACATAATAAAAATAAATCTTAATTTTATATTAATGTGCTACTAAACATACAAAGATATATTTCAATCTAATAAACTCTAATCAAATGTTAAATTACATTATAGGTTAAATCTATTTGTTAGGCGAAACAACAGATAGTAAAAAAACCAGAAGACTTCTTTGTTCACTCTAATACATAGATAGCCGGTGATGTCTGTCATGTCAAACGATGTTTGACAAATAAACAACAGCATCGATAAACACAAAAACAAATAAAGACAAGAAAGAAAATTCATTTACGATAAAATAACAAAATGAATGAGACACCTAATTCGAATTTTCCAGAACCGAGGCGAATAGGAGTATGGACTGAAGGAGCTCCCATTGAGACGAGGCTAGTAAAAGTTTGAGAAGCCTTTCTATAATAAAACGATAACATTGCGTTTATATAGAGTTATATTTATATCGCAGGGATTTTGTGATGCCTCAGAAATCAGCTGAATCCATCGACGACATACCGACTATACCAGATTTGGATGATTTGCAAGATATTCTAGAAAAGGAAATATCTAAACCTCCCGTGTACGTTGATAAAAGCAATTTTCAAAACTTTGTTTCACTGATTTTCAGACAGGCATAGGTGTATTTTTTTATATTATATCAATTATTCAGGTCTGAACATCAAGATGCAGAGACAATGAATACTTTGGCTGAGGTAAGAGGAGTCAGTGGCTCGGTGGAAGGAATAGAAGCGGCATTAGAGGTTCTTAAGTCTTACATACCAGTTGTAGAACCTGACACAGCTGACACAGTATGGACTGTTGATACTTTGCTGGCTCAACTAGCCGAAGAGTTACTCATTGAATAATTTACTGAATTTATTTCACCTGATAATATGTTTGTTTATTCGATAACCATTACAAAAGAATTGTAATACAAGTTTTTATATGTATGGAAATGATTGAATGGTGTTAAGTCAAAGGAAATGTATGAAAAGAAGATGTTTATTTAATAATTTATTTTATAAAAAGTCTTTATTACTTAAGGAAACAATAACAATGTGTACGACCTTGTTCCGTCCAATTGTTTTATACAACTGTTTTTATTATAAACTTAAAAAATAAGGCATTCCATATCTAATATAATTAAAATATCAGTGCATTTTACATTTAAATAAAATATTAGTAACATTGGGGCCATTTGGTTTTACTTAGTTTTACTATAATGAAAATTAATTAACAAATAATGAAAAGAATTACAAAGCAAAATAAAACACAGTTATTCCATAAACCTTACGATTGATTAATGTAAAATGTTATAATATTGTATTTCATATCTAAATTGAAACTAAGCTAATGTCATGTATAGAAGATATAACTTAAGTCCTAGCCCGGAATGTCTGCAGGAAACCTTTACTAGAACCGCCCGCACACTTGAAGGCTATATATAAAGTTATTACAAGGATTATGTATGACGGGATTATTGTAGCGGCGTACAGTTCTTTCCTATTGAGTAAACTTAATCCAGACACTACTAAATGTGAGCCGACCACCCACAGGATCTTCAGGTAGCTCTTATTGTCCACTCCATTAAAGAAGATGACACTCCAAAATGTGTTGAGCAGCGTCATGCAGAGAGTCATTGATGCACTTGTAACAAAGAAGTATTCAGATCCGTGGCGAAGACCTAACGTTCCAGGACCAACCTGAAATAAAACAAAAAAATTTAAATATACTACACTTAAAAAATCATTACATTTCTATAGATAAATAAAGCTATTAGTTCAACAAACAGTATGCTCTGATGTGTACAACATCAATCGTAATTTTAAAATCTATTTTATTATAGCAAACAATGTGATACTTACAGAATCTGCTAACACATTAATGATGGCAAATGCTCCACTCATGGCCCCGAACCCAAAACCTGACACATAAGCTATCTCAGCCTTATTGCTACCAATCTCATGGTTTTCTGATATCTCCTTCAATCCTGATTCAGTCCTTTTCAATAGAAGATACACACCAAAGCGAAAAGTCTCCTGTAGACAAAGTAATATTTAGTTTCCAGATACTATATATACATATAGGTATATAATATGTTAAATTTGATATGATTCTTACCTGGATTAATATCGCAAAAACCATTCCAAAAGCTAAATAGGACCGTAGTGGTACTACGGCGTACCATATCATTGAAGACAGTAGAAATGATAGCAGCCAAAAAAACGCTGCAGCTATCATGATTATGATCCGCACAGGGTCGTTGGCTATCGTTAAAGCGAACATAGCCAAAGGCGCTCCGAATGCTAGAAGAGAACAACTGAAAAACTCTGCGGCAGTCATCTTCGTGTACTAATGTGGTATATGTTTGATAAAGGATATAACACTTTATTTATTAACGCCCACAAACATTTCCATCCAATGAATCGCACTCTATCACGTCATTGTTATAAAATATACAATTATCTAACACTAACTGTTCTATTTCATTTTGGGGAAAGCATAACGTCAAAACTCAAATAATTACTAATCAGCAATGTGTCATCGGACAACGGCCATCGCCGCTCCGCTCGCTATAGAGATATAATTAATAACAAATGTCAGACACAAAACGTTATTAATTTTTTACTTATTTGCGTAATATGTGTTAAAGTTATAACTAATAATAATTAAACAATTTGATCACTCATCGTATGTTACTGTAAATTATTAAAATATCATTTATCGAATATGAAATTATTATTGTAAGATTTATTAAAATATAAATTTTTAAAAGTTTTATCCAATCCAGTTATCAGAGGAGGAAATGGATATTAGTACGACTGTGTATTATAACTTTTGAATTTTTATACATATAAGAAAAACTTTCTGATTAGAATAAATAAACTCAAAATTAATCAAAGTGAGACTCGAATCATTCCTTTCCAAACAGAAGTCCTACTGTTTTGACATTAAATACTGTCAGAAATGACTAATAGGTGTCAAAACATGAAATAGAAGTAACCTAAAAGGTTTGCACTATAAATATAACTTTATTTATAAATGAAAAGTGATATGAAACTGCAACACAAAGGTCCATTATGCCACCAAAATTAGCTAAGAAATCTTTATGGGTGGAATGTGAGCGGTGTCACAGCAATATTTTGTCTAATGACAAAAACGCGCACGTAGAACTAAACTGCTCAAAAGATCAAGTAAAATGCCCGTTTATCGATGAAAACATATTCTACACATGGTTGGAGAGAGCCAGCGCTCCTCCTGAAAACGTCCCAAGAGACGCTGTGATGGTTCATCCATCGGCCGGAGCGTTAATTGGTGCAGTGATCGGGAAACCTCTGGAGTTGAAAAGGGACGGCGCTCCCACACTAGTGAAGCGCATGTGGCCTTCTAAAGCGTCTGCACCGGCAGCTGTAATATTACCTGCAGCAGGTATACCTCAGTAACAGTTTTTTAAATATCCACCAAACATTAGACTACAGGTTTTAAAGTGATAAAACAAATAGTAAATGACACAAATAACACAGATTTCTTTACTTTCAGATCTGACAGGAGCTTGGTGTAGTGACAATAAAAAAGTTACAGTCTCTGTTTTAAAAGATGTCATCCCGCAAGCATCATATGTTAATGTAAAAATAAAGAATCTTAAAAAAGATGTGGACATCACTGACATCCTTAAAGAAAGATTTAGTGGCCACTATGTGTGTGTTGGAAGTATCTTTGTATATTACTATTTTGGTAAAAAATTACAAATAGAGATTTTAAATGTGAAAACAACTAATGAAGAGTCTGTTGCCACTTGGTATGTCCTGAGTCAAAGTACAGTTTGGAACATAGAGAGAGACAAGGTTCAGGTTGTGAAGAAGAAATCGTCACTCGGAGGAATGGCAGATATTGTTGATGATATTAAATCATTAATTAATATATCTTTTGATACTACAGGTTTTGCGGCCAACTTCCAACCCACTAAAGGTCTTTTGTTGTATGGTCATTCTGGCAGTGGAAAAACTGCCATTTGTAAATATTTGATTGACAGTCTTGACTGCTTCCACATAGAAGTTAATGGTCCGAAAATATTTAGTAAATATTTTGGAGAAACTGAAGGAACTATGAAAGATTTGTTTGCAAAAGCAGTAGCAAATGAACCAAGTATAATATTGGTAGATGAGATAGAAACCATATGTCCTCGTCATTCATCAGCCAGCACAGAACAGGAAAGACGAGTCACGTCCGCGTTTGTGTCTTTATTGGATAACCTACATCGAGATTCTAGCAGAGTATTTGTACTAGCTACTACAAGAAAACCAGAGGCGATTGATCCAATGTTGAGGAGATTTGGAAGGTTGGACAAAGAAGTAGAAGTACCCGTCCCTGACCGAAAACGACGCGCAGATATATTATACAGTTTACTTAAAAATCTTCCAAACAAAGTTTCATCGCAGGACATGGAGTCGATATCTGACTTGGCTCACGGTTATGTCGCCGCCGACCTCGTGAACTTATGCTCTCAGGCCTCGATGAAATGTTTAAAAAGAATGAGCGAAGCCATAGAGAAAGAGGATCTGATAGGTGCTTTGACTGTGGTACGGCCTAGTGCTATGAGAGAGCTATTGATAGAGATTCCTAACGTGAGGTGGTCAGATATAGGAGGGCAGGATGGACTCAAGTTGAAACTGCGTCAAGCCGTCGAGTGGCCCTTGAAGCATCCTGAAAGTTTCCTGCGATTAGGAATCCGTCCGCCCGCCGGCGTTCTGCTCTATGGACCGCCCGGCTGTTCCAAAACTATGATAGCGAAAGCGTTAGCCACTGAGAGTGGACTTAACTTTTTATCAATAAAGGGCCCAGAGTTATTTTCAAAGTGGGTGGGCGAATCCGAACGTGCAGTGAGAGACCTCTTCACCAAAGCTCGACAGGTGGCTCCGTCGATAATATTCTTCGATGAAATGGATGCCATCGGAGGCGAGCGTGGCGCGGGCGAGGCCGGGGTGCACGAACGAGTCCTGGCACAGCTATTGACGGAATTGGACGGTGTGGTCCCATTGAATTCCGTCACTATACTAGCTGCCACCAACAGACCTGATAGAATGGATCGGGCCTTGCTCCGACCGGGTCGAATCGACCGACTCATTTACGTTCCTTTACCTGACTTCGAGACCCGGTTGCAAATTATAGAGTTGAAGCTGTCCAAAATGAGTACAAGTGACGATGTAAATCCACATGTATTGGCCATCAAGAGCGAAGGTTTCTCAGGAGCCGAGCTACACGCGCTGTGCCACGAGGCAGCCATGCGGGCCTTGGAGAAAGACATCAATTGTCAAGCGGTTACCATGGAGCACTTTGAACATGTGTTTAAAGACTTCAAACCTCGGACTCCAGCCTCCCTTCTGAAGATATATGAAGAGTTTTCATTGGGCCAACGCTCGGGATGACACTTTGTACAATTTTTAATGTTTGTAAATAATAAGGAAATGAAATACAGATGTATCGAAATGTTTTTATTAATTAAGAAAACTTAATCACTACTTTGTATAAATTATTTATTATAGTCCTTAGAGTAAATATTCAATCCTAATAACATATATCTCACAAATTGAAATTAGTTCAATAAATGTTGAGATCACAGCACATCATTCAATTTATTTTACCGCAGTAAGATGCAGAGTCAATGCATCATACCAATTTTCTAAACTATACCAATAGTGCTTTCTCACATAATTTTAATATTATTATATAATAAAATTCTTAACCAAATTCTGATGTGACAGCAGTGAGCCAAGATTAATTCTTTCAGCCAATATAAATGCTTGATATACATAATACAATACATATATTTGCTACTCTATAATACATGAACATCATCTACAGCAGACAGCAAACAGTCCTACAAACATGGGGTATTAAAGTCTTAAATGTTTTATATGAATAATGAAATGTTAATCTATTGAAAGGTTCAGGGCTTAAATGCAAGTCGGGGAACACTAATCAATGTATATAGCAAGTGTTACAGCAGTGAACAGAGTGTTGGTAGTTAGTCATCATCTTTATATCAGTCTTATGTTCAAAATTTTATTGTTGTATAATTTTTAATACTGAACCACTACAACCAGTGGACTCATATACATACAGGTCATCTTCATCAAGAAGTTCAACATTTTTGAATTAAACTTATTTCATTAGAAACAACTTAAAAATAGATGTTACAAGAGAATGATTATCTCTAATTATTATATTAGATGAAACCAAATGGATCAACATTTGTATGTATGTAGTGTCGTAGTGTATGTAGGTGTAGGTGGGGTTGTCAGTGAAGCATGTCTATTCTACAGATCTAAACTCGCAGTATCTCGGTGTGTCTGTTATAGCATATCGCGATCCAGTCGGGCTGCGTGGCGCCCCACTGGATCTGGTTCACCTCGCTCCCGGCAGCTGGACACGCGAGAAGCACAGTTACAGTGTATGAATACGAGCGACGTCACGGGACATACCCTGTATCATATACAGGATGTCCCAGACCCCAGTACATGTTAACGAATGACAGCGATGTGGATCACAGGCACATCGTTATAATATAACTATCACGATCGTTAGGTCAGAATCACAAGGCAACTTCGGAGATTGTAAAGTGGGACGCGGTGTTCCGGGGGGTAATTTCAGACGCGTAATATTTCTGTGTGTCTGTTATAGCATATGGCGATCCAGTCGGGCTGCGTGGCGCCCCACTGGATCTGGTTGACCTCACCCTCGGCGGCGGTGTACGCGAGGATGGGGTCCTCGATGGCGCGCGGCATCTGCTGGATGTCCCAGATCAGCGCCTGGTGGTCGTCTCCCGCCGTGCAGATGTGGCACGAACTGGATCAACATAATGTATACTAGCGTTTGTAAAAGTATTGGAAACCTGGTTACATACTGCTCGATAGGATTAACAGGATTTGTCAAACAATACACGAACTGGACCGACACAATGTATACTAGCGTTGACAAACTATTGGAAAGCAGGTAACATACTACTCGGTAAGATTAACAGGATTTGTCAAACAATATAAACTTAATTCTATAGTTACTTATTGCGTTATTTAATCATGCAAGATGTGTACGCCATTTTAAATATTTCATCATCTCCAACAACTTTTAATATAACTGATCCCAACTAATATTATTAATGCGAAAGTAACTCTGTCTGTCTGTCTGTTACGCTTTCACGTCTAAACCACTGAACTGATTTTAATGAAATTTGGTACAGAGATAGAGTTGACGTTGAGAAAGAACATAGGATAGTTTTTATCCCAGACTTTTGAAAGGTTCTGTTTGAAACGCGATATAAACGAACTCCACGCGAGCGAAGCTGCGAGCGGAAAGCTAGTATAAAATAAAACCTGTGCGGAGCCCACGCGATGCCGTTAACACAGGCCCTGTGGTTGTTGAGCCTCGCGACCGGCGTACAGGGAACCCTCACGTCGAGTATGATGACCTCGCACGCGTCCATCGCTATAGTAGCCAGGTAGTTGGGGTCTTGTTTGTTCCACGCTAGACGGAGTAGCGGTGTGTGTTGTGGATCCTGGAAATATTGGTTAATGAATGAAATATAGTTCTTAACTCTCTTTCAAAATAAAATAGCCACAGGTTTGATTATTTTAATACATGTGGACATTTAAATTCATATGGACGTCATATCTTCTTTTCTTACAAAAGCAAGATAACAAATAATCTTTCTTCTGAGGTTTTCCTTAATAAATACATATATTGCAAACATACTAAAAAATGTTGATTGCATGTTATTATTTTTGGATAGAAGGCTAAACATGGTCTCCCTGAAATTATTTTCCAGTTGTCATTGAGAGATGGTAACTGCTTATTATTGGGCCATAGGCCAGTGCAGAAGCCTCTAAAAATAATGAAAAGTGAAAATAAATTATAGTAGAATGAAACCCATTAGAAAAGGAGGGGAATATTATAAAAATTAAGGGAAAAATAATTTACGGGCGATGTGAGGTAGGGAAGGGTACGGGCGTGGGTATTTAAGGGTAAAAAATGGGATTTCTCGATTTCCGGCAAAACTAAGAGTCCTAATGTAAAATGGTTTATGGCAAAGTTGTAGGTAATAAAAAGATCTAAAACTTTTGTATTTACACTTTTTTCACATAACCTCAAAAATTATGTGAAAAACTCAAAACACCAAGTTTTTGGTTTTTTTATTTTTATCTCTTACAAAAAACAATATTTTGTCATGAAATTTGGTGAAAACTTACCTTTTGATGTCCCAAATACACTGTAATTTATTTGATTAGAAATATTTATTTTTTCAGCTTATATTGACTGAATATCGAAAAATCAGCATCATTGTCAGTCGAAAAATCACCCGTCAAATATTAGCTTTTTTAAAAAAATTTGGTATGTTTTCTATTCGTTGAAATCTCTACTTTCCGATAGTGGAGAAAAAGATATAAGTTTCTTACTTGCAGTACCATTTTTGGATAAAATAATCATGTCCCTTTTAATGAAATGACACTCGATATCGTTTGGAAAATGTTCTTTCAATTTATTTTTAATAGTTTTAGCAGCCCAATGTCAATCTTCTGTAAATTACCTAAATGAGGGACTATCTGGAGATCTTCCATAGTACACAACTGTTAAAAATAAATAAAAAATAAAGAAAGAGGTATCCAAAAATGGTACTGCAAGTAAGAAACTTATATTTTTTCTCCACCATTGGAAAATAGAGATTTCAACAAATTGAAATCATTCCAAATTTTTGAAAATAGCTGATATTTTGACGGGTGATTTTTCGACTGAAAATGAGACTGATTTTTCGATTGCAAATGAGACTGATTTTTTGATATTTATTCAAAATAAGCTGAAAAAACAAATATTACAGTGTATTTGTAACATCAAAAAGAAAGTTTTCACCAAATTTCGTGACAAAATATTGTTTTTTGTAAGAGATAAAAATAAAAAACCAAAAACTTGGTTTTTCGAATTATTCACATAAATTTTGAGGTTATGTGAAAAAAATGTTAGTATAAAAGTTTTAGGTCTTTTTATTACCTACAACTTTGCCATATAACATTTTTCACTAGGATTTTTAGTTTTGCTGGAAATCGAGAAAACCCATTTTTTACCCTTAAATACCCATCCCCGTACCCTGCCCGACCTCAGATCGCCTGTAAATTATTTTTCCTTTAACTTTTATAATATTCCCCTCCTTTTCTAATGATTTTCATTCTACTATAATTTATTTATGTTTTAAAAGCTATCGGCACTGGTCTACCATCTGTTTGTAGTGTTATAAATAAATTAAATTTGTCTTGAGTTTCAAACACTTTTGTTGTCATTGGACAATGGTATCTTTTGAAGTGGTTATGACCTATCCTCTTTTCAAGACACCTTTTTATATAATTTTAATATATCATAGTTATTTTGCAAGTGTTCCCACACTTCTGTGATATGCCACTCACTTTAGTTGGATAAAATAAATAATCTCACAGGTCAGTCTAACTATCTACCTTTATCTAAAGTTAATTTTAATTTGGATATATATGAAATTGAAACTTTTTATCTAAGCAAATACATTCCAAAGATCACATAAATGTCACTATCAGGTGTTATAAACGGTCAAGTCCTGTGTATAATTACTTTAATATACTATACCTCATATATAATGGTGGAATGTTCAAGGTGTCTCAAGTCAAACATTCGCACAGAGCCGTCAGCCCCCACTGAGGCGAACATGTCACGACCTCCGCCCGCGCGACTGAACGCTATGTCGTACACCTCCTACAACATTAAAACACACATATATATATACTAGACTGTATATAAATGATTGTTTGTTATATAATATATATATATATATATTTATGTTTTGGGGCTATTGAAACAAATGAGCAAAGTCCAGAGTACAGTTAAGTGATAACAATCACAACTTGATGTTGAAATTGGTTAGAAGTGGTGCAATATTACCATACATAAGAAAAATCATCCCTTAGCTTACAACAATGCATAAGTCATATTAACCTACTTTAAACTCTCATGTTTTTTCTATTGCTACTTAATACATACACTAGTTAGCAGTTAAGACATAATTATTTATACTTATTTTGACGCTTGACAAAATGGTATTATATAATGTATAGTTCTTAGATCACCTTATCATGAGCAATCAGTTGAGTCTTCACATGTCCGGAGACCTCGTTGACTCTCCCCATCACCTGTCCTGTCTCCAAACCCCAGATAGTGCATGTTGTGTCAATACTACTTGTACCAATTAAATTAGGATCAACTTCATTCCAATCAAAAGACGTGAGAGGAGCACAAAAGTCTGAGTTCTTGTTATTGTTCAATACACACTCAAACAAGGTGTATGGTTCACCGGCACGCCAGATACGGAGGTAGTCCCCTGGAAATAGACAATAATTAAAGATAGAAAAGTATAGAAACTATAGAAAGGTAGTTTTGTAGTCAGTGGTGGTTAAAGGTGGTTAAAGGGCCCGCCTCTCGTTGCCGAGGGCGCGGGTTCGATCCTGGCCCAGGCAAGTACCAATGTGATTTTTCTGAGTCATATGTACTTTCTAAGAAATCACTGATTAATGTTGATTCCCAAAAGGGGGTTGATGTCAGGCAGGCGGCCGTATGTAAAAACAAATAGATAAAACTATTCACAACATGTAAGCCAGACCCTGAATATAGCTGGGAAATTGCCAGGTAGAAGAAGAAGAAACTACAGGAAGGCTGTACATAATATGCTTGAAAAACTGGAAGTTTTTGGATATGTTTAATGTAGAGTTTAGAAAAATTTACACTAAAATGAAACATCCTCTTTAACCACACATAAAACATCAAAAAAGGTATTTTTTCTTTAATGAAAAGAAATATAATAAATAAAATTTCTTCAATATTTTGAGTTTTTAATTATAACTTCTACTACTTATATTAAACTTATAGAAAAACAGAATCTCACCACTGGTAGCCAGAAGGTCAGGATACACCCCCTTGCTGTCAGGTATCCACATAATTTTTGTGGTCGGATAAGGATGGTCAAATGTGCTCTTAGCACTGAACTCACTCGTCTCTTCATCCAATGATATGATTTGTACCTATAAATACACATTTGAAGATTTTAATTTCTTTTAAAATCAAGTTTTCAGTTTTTTATTATGAGTTGTGGTCTGTAACATATAAGCCAACCTTATTATTGTACTCTTCCACAAAACTGCCGAGGGCCAAACGGAATCTTTTGTCGGGACGTACTGACCAGTTCATTGAGTACAGAGGCCATTGTGCTTGATATCTGAAGATAACATGAGGAAAATAACATTTATAACATGATCGACTCATGTAAATTATTTCATAAAATTCACTTACTTGTATATTTCTTTACGTTTTGTGCTGGAACTCGTAGTGCTCGAACTACTATGTGGCATCGACATGATTTAGTTTTGATGTGTCGATATAAAGTGAGAAATTACGATTAAGTATAACAATTTAAGATAAAGAAGAATAACAAATGAAAGAAGTACACATCTATGGTGTAAATAAGAGACGCGGTGAGATGAAGACCGTAGTTACGCTACGGAGTATAACACAAATATTTATTTATACCTATTTTTTTACGATAAATTGTCTTTAATACAATAATTTATTCAGTGTGTATGATTTTGTTACGAAATTATCCTCCATTTACGAATTTAGCACATGTAAGTACACTTAAATAGCATTTCGATTTAATAACTTGACAATTGACACAATTAAGTTTGACAATAATATGTAGCTATATTTGAAACCAGCGAGTCTGCCAATGAATGCGTTCACATTTTATTTTTCTTATTCCTATAATTATGTGTAGACTTGTTTTGAATTTACATAATATTTAAATATGTAATTTATTTTTTTAACTATGCAAAAGTTAAAACTTTTCTGATTACATTTTTTTGTCATAAGTAAAGTTCATTTTTAATGTCTGAAATGTAATATTGGGCCAGTACAGAAGGCTTTAAAATCGATGAAAAGTGAAAATAAATTATAGTAGAATGAAACACATTAGAAAAGGAGGGGAATATTATAAAAATTAAAGGAAAAATAATTTACGGGCGATCTGAGATCGGCAAGGGTATGGGGGTGAGTATTTAAGGGTAAAAAATGGGTTATCTTGATTTCCGGCAAAACTAAAAGTCCTACGGAAAAATGTTATATGGCAAAGTTGTAGGTAATAAAAAGATCTAAAACTTTTGTGCTAATACTTTTTTCACGTAACCTCAAAATTTATGTGAAAAATTCGAAAAAAACCAAATTTTTGTTCTTTTATTTTTATCTCTTACAAAAAACAATATTTTGTCACGAAATTTAGTGAAAACTTTTCTTTTGATGTTACAAATACACTGTAATTTATTTGATTAGAAATATTTATTTTTTCAGCTTATTTTCAATAAATACCGAAAAATCAGCCTCATTTTCAAAATTAAAAATCACCAATCAAAATATCAGCTATTTTCAAAAATTTTGTGTGTTTTCTGTTCGTTAAAATCTCTATTTTCCGATGTTGAAAAAAAAATATAAGATTCTTACTTAGAGTACCATTTTTGGACAAAACAGTCATGTCCTTTTTAATGAAATGACAGTCGATATTGTTTGGAAAATGCTCTTTCTAATTTATTTTTAATAGTTGTATACTCTGGAAGTTCTCCAGATAGTCCCTCTTTTACGTTATTTACAGAAAATTGACATTAAGCTGCTAAAACTTTTAAATAAAAATTTATAGAGCATTTTCCAAACAATATCGAATGTCATTTCATTAAAAAGGACATGACTATTTTGTCCAAAAATGGTACTGCAAGTAAGAATCTTATATTTTTTTTCTTCACCATCGGAAAATAGAGATTTCAACAAACTGAAAACATACCAAATTTTTGAAAATAGCTGATATTTTGACTGGTGATTTTTAATTTTGAAAATGAGGCTGATTTTTCGGTATTTATTGAAAATAATCTGAAAAAAATAATATTTCTAATCCAATAAATTACAGTGTATTTGTAACATCAAAAGAAAAGTTTTCACTAAATTTCGTGACAAAATATTGTTTTTTGTAAGAGATAAAAATAAAAGAACAAAAATTTGGTTTTTCGAATTTATCACATAAATTTTCAAGTCATATGAAAAAAGTGTAAATACAAAAGTTTTAGATCTTTTTATTACCTACAATTTTGCCATATAACATTTTTCATTAGGACTCTTAGTTTTTCCGGAAATCGAGAAAACCCATTTTTTACCCTTAAATACCCACGCCCGTACCCTTCCCGACCTCAGATCGCCCGTAAATTATTTTTCCCTTAATTTTTATAATATTCCCCTCCTTTTCTAATGTGTTTCATTCTACTATAATTTAATTATGTTTTAAAAGCTATCGGCACTGGTCTATACAGGGTGACTGGTGAATTACTATCGATATTTGAGGACGTGATATTTGACGATCATATATGACAAAATAAAAATTAATATAACATAAATATTAATAAACTTCTAAGTAAAGTTAACCAAAAGTTATGTAATTAATTACGCGTCGCATGAACACCCTACAGATTAGGTATACACACACACACACACACTCGCGCGCGGCGGCGTGTTGTTGTATCAGCACGCCGCCGCTCGCGTCCACACTTGGAACACTTGGAACGTGTACACACTTTATTTATTTATACGGAAATTTTGTCAAAAATTAATGCCTATTTTTTTTTACATAATTCGAATGAGAATCATGTACCAAGTATTCTCCTTAAATATTGATAGTAATTCACCAGTCACCCTGTATATCCCAAAAATTTACCAAGTGTTTGTCTACAATTTCATATAAATGAACAAAACGTTATATTTGAATTAATATTTAAATTTGATTTTTCATAATGTAAAACAAGATGTGTAAAATATACAAAAAGATAGTTTTTGGCTAAAAATGCTCTTATTTTATAAAAAAAGTAATTGAAATTATATCTAGTTTTCTGTTTTGCTTACTATGATTCATGCTTTCATCTGACCTACATATATTACTCACAGAATTAAATTGATAACATCAATGCAGTCCACGTTCCACATTCCGTTTAGGGACATAGCTTTCTTTCTTACGTCAACTGAGTTTAGGTTCTAGTGATATAATATTGCACAAGGTTGCCTTAAGCGAAAAATTGGTCCACTTGGCGGTGTTATTCAAGTGGTTGGCCGATTAGGAAATAGTGTCTTACATTGAGTATATAGAAGTTATTTATAGTTAACAAGTAACAATTAGGGATACCTTTAGGTACAATATAATGTTTCAGAGATAGAAAATTGATACGTAAATATTTTTTTGATATTATGAAAACAAAAATACTAAAACTATGATACCTGGAAACAGTAATAATAATAAAAGTTAAAGAAATGTGTCGGATAGTTGAGAATATAGGAAAAAAATGTATGTTTTACAAGTATATATGTATTTTTATTTCAAACAATTTCGTGAAATTTAAACTGCTTAATACCAATGTAATGCGTTCTTCAAACCACATGATAGACATGTGGCTATAGTAAATAATATAGAAATAAATAGTTAAATACATTTTATGAACAATTAAGTAATGTTTGTAAAAAGTTAAACTAGAATACTAACTAGTGTGAGTAAGAACTGACATCGATCAATATGAACTATATTCCGTGTACCATCTAAATTCTACAGCTTCATTTGAACTTACCATCAGATGGAATCATAGTCGGTAACTATCGAGTTAGTAATTAAAAAAGCTTTAAATTATTATTTTTGGGTTTTCTTTATAAAGAATTTTGGTTATGATCAATATTTGAGACAGCTGAATTGAATACCTTTACTTTTTAATGTGTGTATTTATTAGTATGAAGAAATTTTTAACGTCTCCACATTAATAAAGGCTACGATCCTGTGATGAATATCAATTTTAAATTCTTGAAGGACTAACTAATCAAAATTTAATTTAAATCGATCTTGGGTGCCTTTTCATGGAGGAGATTGTATGTGGTTTTCATTTGCGTACTTCCATTGACCGGTGAAACTGTTTAAATCGATCAATAAATGAAAAGAAAAAAGCTTTCTTAATTGTACTCGATCGAATAATAAGTGTTTCCTTATGCATAGTTAGCAAAGAGTTTACATAGATATGATTTGATCATAGTTTAAGTTTCTACCTTGCACAATTACATTTCCTACCCAAAACTCCACCCATTTTGGGACACAAAAAGTATTGAAATTAAGCTTCTTTTATCCATTAATTATGACAACATTAAAAATTTTACATTCTGGACTTTCCAACTTTGAAAACAAAATGATATTGCGATAGCTTTTCATATAACATTGAAAGCTCTGAGTGAATACTAAGCTATACCTACTTGGTCAGAATGGTTTCTAGAATAACATTTTTTATTGTTAAAACCTGATAAAGTAAGTGGAAAAGATGGAGAACTCATTATTTAAGTAACAGCCTTTTAACGTCTTGGAGGTATCCAATTTATAATACGAATAAAACTCAGACGCAGCCAAGAAGGGCGAAGATCACCATTTCATCCTAATGTGACGGAGATCAACAAAATATACAAGCTCACCGTGCCTGTGCCTGTTCGGTGATTAAAAGAGGGATGCAGGAATTAAAAGCTCGCCATTCCTGCTCACTCTCCTGAAAGTGTATTATATATAGAATACATGGAGCCTAGTAGCTTTAAGCCTGCATTCAAGACTGACTAATTCCCTTTTAGGAAATTTATAGTCACTAAAAACATGACCTGGCATGACATTTGGCAGCGCCTGACCAAATTTAACTGCTGACTCGACTGAGGCACGTCACGCAGCATCCCAGCATCCAGGAGGTTGTAAATATGACTTCTGTTACGTGATACAGTCGTGGAGAATGAACTAAAACCCGCCACCTTCTAAATGAGATAAGAAAAGAAACAATGTTAATTTGAGCGTTTTTTACTTATTTTGTTGACCAAAATAAATTGCTCTTTAAGTTAAACAGGTTTTATCACAGGTTTACATCGAATTAATGAATAAATTTATTAATTAAGATTTGTTGTTATTAATTGTAAATCGTCTAATATTATAACTTAAATTGAGTGGCTGAGGAAGGGCTTATTGTAGGAATTGGGAATCATATTTTCTTTTTCGATAGGTTTTTTATCGTTTACAAAATGAAATCAAATGTACTAACAATAAATATGTACGCAATTTATTTTATTTCTTTCGCCTGTGAGTTGCTCAAGGAAGTGTTGTTATCAGATTAGCAGACAATGCCTGAAGTCGAACTACTCTCAAGTAAGCCTTCAAGTGACCTTTAACTTAACAATTAGTTATGAAAGATTGACCGCGCTATGACGGCTCCCTATCATTGTAACCTACTTATATATTATATATAAATATAAATGAAACTTATATTTT